AGTGCAAGGTCGATGATGGCAGCAGGCGTAGATGTGAAAGCATACAATGGCAGTATAAAAACAAATGATGTTGCTCTGCCCTCTGCTACCAACAATGTACCCCCACAGTCAACACTACCTGTCATGCATGGCCGCTGCCCAACAACCCCTGCCTATATTCCGGTATCTGATGAGATCGGGTGCATTCCAGGTGATTCGGTGATGGGCTACTGCTTGAAGTGTGCTTGCTTTTGTTTATGCGCAGGTGCTGGCTGAGCAATGGCAGAGCCCTTGGATGTTTAAACAATGCCACATCTCGGTTGAAGGAAGTGCTCGCTCCCTGACAGAGACACTGCTATGCCCTCACTACCCAGACCCCCCTTGGATTGTCAACACGGCTCAACTTTGGCAAATGTGACGAGCTCCTGCAACCCACACTGACCCGAGATGATATGTATTCACTGTGTAATGAAAATCCACCATTGACCAAATCACTCACGGAGCGTCAAATCTCATGAGATATTAGAAGCTAAACAGGGTTGAGCCCGAAAACTGCTGTGATAAGTAACCGCTAAAATAAATACAAATCTCATAGATCCACACGTTAATCTCCATTATGTTCAACGCAACACACCAATGTGCCTGAATAAGAACATTGTAATCATTGTGCACCATCTATTATGACATGTGGTTCAGAAATATGGTAATTCACAAAATAATTCAACAAAAACCTGAAGAAAAAAACTGCATACAAGAAGCATGGAGAGATGAGTGCTTGTAATTACACCTCGAGACAAACAGAGCAGCATGTGAATTACAGAACATCGGCAGGTTAATTACATCAATCTAACTCGGAAAAGTAAGTGGGCTCGGGTAGAATGGATGATGGCCGATGGTCCATAACAACAGAATAGCAGCCAAGGAATGGAACGCGTCGAGCTGATAAAATCGGCTCATGTGCAGGTGCGCTAGGCGGCTTAAGACATCGCTGAATCGCTCGAGACGGCAACGGCTTGGAGGAGGGGGGGGTGCAGAGAAGAGTCTTTATCCAGCAGTAGATTGTGACTATGTCCGATGATGGTAACGTTGAACGCACCTCGGGAGGCAAGAAAAAAATGTGTAGTGCGTGCAGACCACCCGACAGGGCCCGTGTGACAAATACCCAGCCGAAGTGAGACTGTCAAACACCCGGTACCATAGACCTCACTGTTTAGAAGCAGCGAGACCCAAAAAAAAAACCTCAAGGTAGCATTCATCCAGAAAAACAACTCCATAAAAGCAAAAAATGGCCCAGGGAAACATCGAGACGGCACAGTGGGTTGTAAGCACATCATCCACGTCTAAAGCATTGTCCCTGTCACAGGAATTTGCCGAAAGGCAGATTTGTCAAGCTTATACTCACAACCGTGAGTCTCACTGCACCTATTGTGATGTTACATTATGCACAGGCTTGCGCTAATGTTTTCTAATGCAGCCAATATGGAATGGCACACGAGGTTATGACGTCAGTCTTCCATGCATTGTGAAATGGATGTTGCGTCGCCGCTGAATATTGTGAGTAAATCACCCAAAATAAATGCGTTTGTACGTAACTGTGTTGACCATAAGCCACGGTAACTCTGAACCCAATAAACTGACTTAATTAAGTGAAGCCAGACAGCACTGTAACACTGCTATAATGAAATGCTCAACATTGTTTCTCACACTTTTCTTATTGGGATTTTTCCCCCCCCAAATTTGATTTCGACAGTGCCGTTGGCTGTGTGTAATGAGTCGAAGGTTACATTCAGAACTCTCGCAGAGCAGTGCAACGCCATGCATTAAGAGGACGGCCCGTAAAAGCAGATTTCACATAACTACTGCTGAGCGACTTTGTTGATCCGCGCACATGTGAGCACACTCTCTCAAATGCCCTGCCATGGAGAAATATTTTCACATTACCGTAAAAAAAAACCGATGCCTCTTAATTCTTATAGAAAAAAATGCCGCTAAGTTAAACAATCCAAATGTAATGAGCTTATTTTTTTTGCACTCATTGGCGACTGGGCAGAGACAAAAAAACTCACGACACTTGAGAAGTCAGTTTAAACACGGGCAGCTAAGCCGTCTCGCGATATTTGTGAACGAATATACCCGTGGAAACGAATGTAATATCACAACGCGCGCGTGCGCGAGGGCTCATGCATGAGAATTTGACGGAATAGTGATTTCCCACACCGCGAGACCTCGCTAGGCACGAGCACACCATTGTGGGCAGATCCAGGCGCCAATAAAAAAACGTGAATGATTGTTATCGCCGCATGCTTTGTTTCATACGATGCGTTCGGTCAGCGTATGACCGCACAGAGGGGCAATTTATTACTTTTGGTTTCCCGATAATCCGACATTTTACAGACAATTAAATTAATCTTGTTCGAGCCACAGCTTGGGAATGATTAATGCCAATGTGGTCGGCATAACTGGAGGAAGGGCAATACTGTGGCACCGTGAAATTAGCGCACCATTCAATTACGATTTACTTATCACGCTTCATGGGCAGCCACAGGAATAAAAGGGGAGAGGTCAGGGCATTATTCACCATCCGCTTCCTTTGCAAAAGGAAAAAAAGTCATTTCCAAACGTGTCATGCTGAAAACTCTGCAACAATCTAATAATGCAGATGTTAAGTCAAAGCTTTGATTTTAAAGCGGCCGAAGAATTGAGTTGCGCAGGGGGGCACATCAAGCAAAGTCGGCGTTGTACCCTCCATCCGTACGGCTGTGCGACACAGGCTTTATCAAATGGCTAAACTAGCTGAAATGTCACGGCGCATGGCCTCTGAATTTAAAGTGTGGTGTGGGATCTATAAATAACTCGGCGCTTTGATGATATTCATAAGTGTGCCACCGTCATGTCAAATCACTCATTCTCCATTTGCCAGCAATGCCTACATTAGAAAACCACACCGTCGTCACCGCTGGTTACAATCCGCTTTTGCACTTAAAATTATTCAACGGAGAATTGTTTAACAACAGCGGTGATGCTCAATAAAAATAAGAGCCCCAACCTTAAGACTCTCTTGGTATAACATGTGTTTTATTTCACACTTTTTTTCTCTCCATCCTCTGTGGTAGTACGCACAGAAGAGACTAATAAAACATTTTCCGTAGCGTCATTAGTTAAAAATAAACTTTCCTGGCTCGTTATCTCAAAAGACTGCTGCAATCAGAGCAGAAAAGAGTTGTCAAAATAAGCAATTAATTTAAAAAAATGTCTTTCATAATTTAAAACAGCTCGAGTTAAGTGGCTTCAAGTCATGAATTGTTAACACCTCAGGCTAATAATGTCACTTACTAGGCATTTGTTTTTTCTCTCCTGGAAGAGCTTTAGAGTTATCGCTGTCCTCAAATCAGAAATGCTTAATGCCTGAGGTGACTAATAATTAACGTGCACACAAAGCAACCTGTCAACCCCTGCATCTGACAAACAACAGCTGACGAGCTCACAAGACCTAAGGACGTTCCAAAAATACTGAAAAAGAGAGCTCACACTCACCATCTTCAAGATCCCCGATAGACTCGCTCCTGCCTACCTCTCCCCTCTCATCTCAATCGACGCCCCTCAACGACTCCCTATCTCTCATCTCTCTCTCTACTCCCCTCCACGCACTCTCTAAAGACCAGTCAACCTTCACTCAGTGGGCAGAGTAGCTCATTCTCCTCTGCTGCTCTCCAAGTCTAGAACGCCCTTCTCCCAACTATCCATTCCGTTGACTTCCTGCTCCTGTTCAAGTCCAGGCTTGAGACCTTTCCTCTCCTCCTCTTCCTATGACCGACTGCCTCTCTCTATAAAATATGCCCAGTCTCTTTGTACAGCGCCTTGCGATGCAGTCGCATTAAGACACCCACACGTCCATAATGTATTCTAAATTGTATTGTATTCATTTCACATAACGCCACGGTTCCAGTGCAAGTTACTAAAGAGACACTGCACATGGCAGCAGCAGCACAACACACACAGACCTTCGAGAGACTAAAGGTATCTCTAAATCTTTAACATACAACAACAGGCAAACAGGGCGGTCGGAGAGTGTGACTGCGCTTGCGAGCCACCGTCAGGGAGAGTTGGGGCACAGGCTGTTAAGAGTTCACCTTGGCCTTGGGAGGCATGCACACTGTACCTTCGTATCAATCAGCCACCCTTGACAGGTCAGGGTCACCTCCCCAGGCTCGCGGTTCATTACGTTGAAATTACTTGCTCGGGAGCAGGTTTCGGGTCTCAAAGTTGCGCATGCCGGATGAATACACACACAAAGATCCCCCGGATAGTCTTAACAGACTGTTGGGGAAAGTGGTGTTTGCGAGTACCTACGAAAGGCCGAGTGACGATGTTTACACACCACGCCAGGGACTGAATTGAGGACGAGTCCACACACACACGGGCTCGCGCCCCATTGCTGCCTCTGTGCTCGCTTGCGATTGTCGTTTCTAGGGCTTTGCTCGTGGTTGTTAAGAGCACATAACAATAATATTTTAATTTACAGTGATTAAATGCCTCGGCAACTCAAAGCGCCTTACATCACAACATCTCGAAAAAGGTCACCCCTAGTGGCAGCTTTCCCCGTGCGGTACAAGGTGACTCAGCACAGGCCTGCAAGTGGAAATATCTGCCAGTAATGAGCAATGCTGCGTAGTGTAATATTAATATTTGTGTATTTTATTTTTATTACATTTGTGTGTATATTTGCATGTGTGTGTCAGCATGCGTGGGTCTAATGCAGGGAGTACAGACCCATTGAAGGAGAGTAGCGCTTAGCGCACTGCGCTATGAACCCAACGACCCAAGTTCGATGCCCGCTCACCACCAATAACAGTGGCGATTTTTTTAAACCAGTCCTGGGACTCTCCTAGGCCGACTCAGCCTCAAATGAGTACCCTGTGCGATGTGTAAACACTGCCACTGGGGAGACAAAGGCGGTCGGGCGCGGTGCTGGCCACTCATTTCCTCGTGTGCCGTGCCGGCCTTAATAGGTACTCGCTAACAGCACTTGCCTCAACAGTCTGTTCAGGTTATAGGGGGGATCTTTGTCTTTGAATGGTGTGTACATGAGTCACACATGGTGTAAATAACACCGCGTCAAATTAAGACAGAAATCGTGTGTTCGCGTGTATGTGTGCCAACACCAATGGCGATCATTTGATCCCGGTCCTGGGCCTCCCCTAGGTCGACTCAGCCTCAAATGAGTACCTGGTGTGTAAACATCATCACTACGGAGACAAAGATGGCCCCGGACGTGATATTGGCCACTCGACCCCTCGTGTGCTGTGTCGGCCTTCTTAGGGCGCTGGCCAAAAGCACTTTCCCCGACAGTACGTTAAAGGCGATGATGGGAGAAGATTCCCCGCCTTTATTTGCATGCGCGAGCTTGTGTACCTGAGTTCATGAGCTTCCAGAGATTATCCACCAACGCCTCGCTACACAGCGGCGAGTCCGAACCGCGGGCAAACGGCGGCACGCGGATCATCATGCTGAGAATCTTGTGCCTGCGGGATGAGAGCGGAAGGAATGCGCGCACGGATGCCATGAAACGATGTCAAGACAACGACCAACGATGATCAATTACTCGCCAACGATGAAAACCCCTCGGCCAAAACAGGATTTGATGCCAAAAAACCCCCTTCTCACCTGTTAAATAATGTAACATTGTATTAAAGCACGCGCGCGCGCACACACACACACACGTGGTAAGCGAATGTATGCTAATGAGTTTGGACGTGAAGGAACATTAATTTATTTTTACTGCGTATTATATTAGAAAAGGAACAGGCCGGACAGTTAAATATAGGTTCAATTACAGTGCTTAGGTGAGACTATATTAAGAGCTGATGAAAACAATAACGCTCGCATAGAATCAGGCTTGCAATAGACGCTCAGAACATTCCCAAAGCATCTACGATGGCAATCATAACTGCAAACTGCACAAGTATTTGTTATCAACAGGCAACTAAAAATGCGACAAAAAGGGTGACCTTCAAATATATGTTTTTGCTACTGAAGAGACATTCTGCAGATCAACTACCATGGTGAAGGGATGGAAACAGCAAACAGATCAATTTTAAAGTTTTGAATTTCAATTTCTTAGATACTTCTGACAAACATAATCTCGATGATCTTTTTATCGTAAACAAAAAAAATCGGTTTCAAATGTCAAAAACAAAAGTTTACGCTTCTGCTGCTGCATCGGTCTTAGCTTGTCTCAGCCTACGACGACTATATCCGCAATTGTACATTGACACCGCCAGTCAGATAAGCCGGGGGGGAGCGCATGCAAAAAGAAATCGTAATTATTTTAATAGTCTGTAGTGCATATAAGTATGTGGCGCGCGCTCCGGTGGTATATATTTATCCGTGTAGATAGGCTCGTCTGCAAACACGAGCACGCCGGAACAGGTGCATGCACGTGCACACGTGCGCGCACGAGCTCAACGGCAGAGGCGCACGACGGGGGCCAGCCGCGTGTGTGCAGGCGACGCGGTGGGTTTCATTCACGCCGCGATTAGGGCTTCGATGAATATGTATGTGTGGCAGGGCCCGTTTCCCAAAACTATTGCTCAAACTGAAGGAGACCGATGGGGCCTGGCGGGCTGCAGGCGTGGGCGACGCGCTCAATGGATGGGGGGGGGGCTCGACACGATCATGTGTGACCTTTGTCGGCGGATTAACCGACGGGCGAATTAGTCCGGAGCGACGGGTGAATAATCGGCGGGCAAAGCAGCTCGTTGCGAACAATCAGCATGTTTGCATTACATTGTGTTAACCTTTAAAGGAATAATACGTAATGCAGCGCTATTGATAACGGCGAAATCCATGATGCCAGTCAACGGCACATTGCAAAGGAGAGGTGATGAATGGGCTTGTTTATTACCTGATGTAAGGTATGGGGTCCGTGTGAACTAGGTCAAGCAACCACTGCAACACTTCTGCGCTCATGTCCACTGCGGTACAAAAATAGAAAGAGGAAAATATAAATTACGCATTATAACAACATATATACAATTTCTCATTACATTTCAACTCATATTTTATTGCATATAATGATTTTTATTGGAGTTTTGAGGATTAAAAATTTGCTCCTAATCATGAAAAATTTCAGCCCACCCTCATATTTGCAAACTGCCCCGTAAGGGTGCAATAACCCACAATGTTTACTCCGCCGTGTGTAAAAAATTATACAGCAGGAAGCTCCAGTCGTTTGTGTCCACATAATTTACTTTCCAGATTATTCGTTGGGTTTTAAAATACGAGCTATAAAACATAAATTGTGTGGCAAGCATTTATTATAAGAAACGGTATCTTGATTGGATGCACGTGTGCATGCTAGGTGCACATGTTCACTGGACCATTGCTCCAGGTTTTTGGGCAGGTTTGTATTCATTCTTACATTCATTGGAAGACTATGGATCACGCTATGACAGAGATGCTATCCGTGTGTTTAATCAATGCTGAAGAACACACACGGTGGTTTGTACTCTCGAAAATGTGACCCCACTCGAATTTCCAATCACTGTTCTATTTAAGTTGAGAAAATTACAAATTACATTTTTAATCGGGAAAACCCATTTCTTTCCAACTGCTTGTTGATGTGTTTAGTGTGCTTGACCTTCCCCCGCACCTCTCATTACCACGGTTGGCTACGTACGGTACAAAAAAGTTCAACATACAGTAGATACCTAAAAAACGTTTATCTCTAGGCACGCTGGTATGTTGCTTTTCATAACTGAAATCTGTTTTTTTTTTCAAAACCACGCCAAGGTGCTCTCATCCACCACTTTATTTGATAATTTCTGATCTCCCAGTCTGCCTTTAATAAATGCCCTAGGTACACACACCAATATTTTCTGGTTGTGTCTCTTCCAACAGATGTCTTCAATTGTCTAGCGAGCTTCTTGTACGTGACGTTAACCTGGGCTCAACTTTGCAACCATCTTTTATAAAGTCCTTCAATAATTTCCTGCAGTTCATTCCAATTGGTTGTTCCAATGCCTATGTTCGTAGAAAATCAGAGATGGTTAATCTTGTCTCCATTTATGTTCATGCTATAGATCTCAAGCACTATTTACATAAAAAAATCTCTTATAATGTAACTGTGAATAACTTTGTCAAAAGTTCTGTCTATTTATCAGACTCCTTCTAATCCGTATTTTGTTACTTTCGTCATGCAAGCCCAGTGTCGATGTTAAATTTAGAAATAACTTCAGAATCGGAAGCTTTATTTAGACTGGAGGAATCCGATGAGCTATGAAGCTCGTTTTCACAGATGTTCAGTTGTAAATATTACCTCCTATTAAAAATGGATCACAAACATCAACGATAAATAAAATGAAACAAAACCTGAAAAACATGCAAAGATGCAACAACTGTGGTGCACCTTCAATTAAAAAAAGTGTCATATTCAAGACTAATAATAATATAAATATGCAAAAGTGGAATGCACGCACGTTATCGCTTGAATGCGCGTGAACGACAAAATAACAGCGCAACGCCATGGTGACAGCCAACACAGAATGCGGGAAAGAGGCAACGTTGCGGGGTTAGGGGGGGGGTCCCACCTCGCGTGAAATCCACCAGGGCCTCGAGTGCGGCGAGCCGGATGTCGACAAAGTGGCCAGCCTGTGCGTACGCCTTGAAGATGGCCGGGTCGCTGGGGATGTGTCCGTTTTTTTGCAGAACACGAATCGCCTTCAAGCAGCTACAGCGGCGTGCGAGCCAGGGCCAGCGTGGGGCAATTGGCATGGCGGCGGCGGCGCCGGCGCCGGTGGTGGGAACGGGGACGCAGAGGGCAGAGGTCACGGTTAACGAGCGGGCATCAAGGGCACGGATGTCGATTTAATGGAGAACGGCAGCCAGCGCTTGTAAGGTTAAAATCGGCACGAAGGTGCCCCCCCCCCACCCCAGCTCCCACCCCCCTCTCCTTCTCTTTCGATTTTTTTACCCTTGCTTTGCCTTCCCCTTAAAAAATTCCACGCTCCCGCCCGGAGTCCCTTCATTGGTAGGGCAGCGAGGCCACCTTTCTCCCTTTCCCCTACCCCGAGAGCGCCGCGCCTCGGGCTTTTGTCCGCGGAATTTCTGTGGCCCCCAATGTGGTATCGACTGCAAACTTAGTATACTTATGTCATACTGATGACAATACTATATTCTATCATTAAAAATAAAGAAATATTTTTTTTACATTATTCTTTGCATGTTATGTTTTGGCTTGGGTCTAATTGTCCACGCTTAACTAACGTTGGCTGTAAATCACCACGGTCCCTTACGTTATGGCAAGCTTCGGGGACACTTCCTGGAGTCGTGGAGTTCTTCCATTACTAGTATGGTACATTTCATTAAAGCGTGTTTTAAAAACAGTTTTTTTTTAATATTACTTATTATTGCTCGCTTCTGCAATAAAAAAATCGGCACAACAGCTGGATTTTTAGCATCTCCACCAAAATCGTTTCCCAATCATTCACTCTCTCGGATATCTATTGAGTGACTAGCGTTCACTTTCACCGGTGCCTATTTAAAGAGACCACCAAAACTTTCCATTCCACTGAAATAAACTCGACAATCTACACGACATGCCTTGTGTTTGCAGTGATCCTAACCTGGACACGGTGCCACGTCAGTCCAATATCACCTTCAACCAACAACGGCTAACATATTCCAAAAATGAAATTGAATAATAGGTGTACATGACAGGAACAGAACAATTCAATTCGCCATGCTCCGATGAATTGCCACGATCTGGGATCATGATTCGATGAGCGAATCATATATTTTTGTAACCTGGTGGTAGATGTAAAATCCAGACAAACGTGAATCGATAAAATATGTCGCCTGTCAAAATCTATAAACGTATATAAATGTTGGTGTACTGGGACTATAATATTCGAATTGATCAATGAACGGAGGAAACTTGACATAAGTTTTATTTCAATAAATTGTGCGAGCGGCATCACGTCACAAGAAAAAGTGTCCATTCGGAACTTTCGCAGAGCAGTGCGGGCCCATCTGTTAGACAACGTTACAGAACTGCTGCTGAACTCCATTCAAGTGACCTTTTTGATCCAGACACTAGGGTGTGTAGTATCCCACAACCAGTTCATTGCTTGGGGAGGCTGACCCACAGTTGGTAATTTTGAAAATCTGTAATACAGCTAAATGAAAAAATATTTCCATAATTCCATATTAGAAAAAAACATCACATATCATTCATGCGTACGCATGGATTATGTAATTCATTGTGTGCAGTCATTGGTGAACAGACTGAGACCATAAACTCGCTACAGTGTTTATTTACTGGCGGCTGAAGCTCAGACTCAAACGCAGGATCACAGTTGCTACCAGCTCAATGTGCTCTGACGCGTGCCACCGACCAGACCAACCGCTAAAACAAACACCTCTCATCACATGCATGGGGACTGGCAGGCACATCTATCCAGTCCACAGAAAAACAAAAGACCTCCTGGTTTAGCATACACAGGCTGTTGAGGCAAGCACCGTGAGCGAACAGCTGTGAAGCCGACACGGCGCACAAGCTAGCCCGTGTGGCCAGCCACCTTTATCTCTCCAGTACTTGCACATTTGTACCAGGTACTCATTTAAGACCGATTTGACCTAGGGGAGATCCAGGACCGGTCCAGAAATACACAACCGAAACTGGCCACGGGCGTGAAGCGACCTCAGAATCCACGCGCTACGTAAACAAGCACGCTGGCGTCCGCCGCACGTGAAGGTCTTGCACGCGCTCGCACAGACGGAGGGACGTACCTGATGGTGACGGTGTGCCGATAGCAGGGCAGCAGCTTCTCCATGTTAAGGAAGCGCGTGATCTCCTCGAGCACCAGGCGCACGTCCGCGTTGAGGTTTTCTACCGTGCGGTTCTCGTTGCTCACCGCCACCGCCGGCGTCACGGAGTTGGCGAGCGCTTCGATCAGTGACGCCCGGTAGTAGTTATCCGAGAACTGTTGAGCATCGCACGTGGCAGCCGTTGAGAAGCGTTGATAAATTATCGGCGAGAAGAAGGCGGTTTCCGAGCTGCAGTCGATTGTACGTGCATTAAAGAGTGATTAGCGTAATAGAATTCAATGTGCTTTTTTTTTTTTACAAAAACATATTTCCGCCCAGGAAAGTTCTGCTAGAGAGCGTGAAAAACTCTAAAGATCTCAGTTCCACACGCAGAATTTTAAATGGGTTCATGTGAAACGTAGGAAGATAATTATCTTTAAATAAAAAATTCCAGCGGGGAAAAAACAGGCAGATTATAATTGCAATCATCATTTTGTGAAGGCGGTAAATGAATGTCGCAATGCATTTTAGAGAAGCCTCATTATTCATGGCAGTCATTGTGGTTTTGGTTCCAATCTAATTACCCACCTGCAGTAAGAACGCTTTGTATGCTCGACCTGAATGTGAAATTACATTATACATGAAAGACAAAAGAACAACTCTCCACTAACTCAACCTCCAGCTTGAAAACAGCTATATGTATACATATGCTATATGTATGAAAAATAAATACATGCCTCCTTTTCCCCACGTGATAAACACGTCGCAGCGTGCCACGCAGCGTCTTGAGTTGCAGTTACATTGAGATGCTCTATAATTCCAAAATGAAATTGGAAATGTATTTCTGTAAGGCCTGTATATGTACAGTATGTGTTGTCCATGTACATTTAATTAAACCACTGCTGGATGGAGACGGTAGTATAGTGTTTTTTTACAATCAACAGCAGAATGCTGTGATTATATTTTCTGTTACTATTTTTTTAAGGCATATTCTTATGAACTTTGTGAATAACGTGGTGGCAATTCAACGGTGGGTGTGCAATAAACAAAATGGTCCCTGCCGTAGGAATGTGGAAATTGCATTATTGTTTTTCCCCTTCATATTTATAAACGTGAGTTTAAGAGTATTTGGCTGCTATAAATTTCCACACGACGATAAGCCAACATCGTTGAACTAACACTCACGATAGCCAGGTCACTTCTAAAACAAGAGCGATGTAAAATTTGATTTAAAGCTTTCGTGACTGCAGGGATTCGTATTCTTGGTTCTTTTGGTAAAGTCACGTAGAAGGGAAACAATAAAATAATAAAAAATATTTTTTATATTTTATTGTTTCGAAAGAACCATGAATAAGAGCGATGTAGCTCAGTGGGCCTCACCTGGTAAAATAAAAAAATAGTTCAGTTTTTTTTTTAAATGTGGCCAATTTTCTGTTGACACATTTGTCAATAACACTGCCTTAACAAGGACAAAGTATAAAAGGCGGGGATAATCAGTGATGCAGATATAAGGATTAAAAAAATAATTTAAGGCAGTGTGATTAATGAATGTGTTGAGTTTTTTTTTGTTATTTACGGTCGTGCACCACTGCCAATGCAGCATCACCAAATAATTCGTTCAGCCAAGAGATCATCACAGAACCAATATTGCAATGCTGTTCTGCTCTTTGTCCAATGACCACCGTCTAGGTGCCTCTCCATTGTCTCTCTCAGTAAACCTGCTCCCCCGCACTCCGCAGATGTGCCCACCCATAACAATATCATCTAATTCGATTACGCTCACGTATATTTTACATCGCCACGTCCCTCTTCTGACTTTGCAAAGCCAAGCACGGTACTACACGGGGATAATAGAACAATCATTGATTTCGAACTGCTTTTTGTGTTGAGTATGTTGTCTTTCCCCTGCACCTCGGATTGGGTGGCTACGTATGGTGCGGAAGAAGTTCAACACACACGCATACACACATAAACGCGCGCACATCGCATTACAAGAGGGCGAGCAAAAAATTCAGTACAACTGAGAATAACGGTCACCTTGTTTTTACGGTTGTCGTTATACTTGATGAGATCCAGCAAGAATGTGAGCACCTCCTTGGGACACATGCCGTGAATGTCCCTCTGCATGGCCATTGTGACGGGGATGGTCTGCAAGGGAAGAACATCGTCGTCGTCATATGCGATCCGAGCCACGGAGGGCAACGCAAAGACGTCGCAAAAAAGGCTGGCGACTTAACGTGACCGCAGATGCCGAGGGCCACCTTGAGGAGGAAGTAGCTCTGGAAGTTGCAGAAGTTGTTCGTTTTGATGATGTTGGGGCAGGTCTTGCAGCAGAACATCCGTGTGAAGATCGACTTCATCGCTGGGGGTCCGTTCCACGTGTTCACCATCGCGTTGGCAATCTGAGAATGCGAGGCACGGATTAACTGTCCTGTAATATGACTGCGTGGTTTCACGAAAGACAGTGAAAATCTCTCAAGAGTTTCCACAATTCAAATTACTTTTTTTCTTTCTTACCGAGCAGTTTTATCGTCACATCGTGACCATATCTTTCCCTATTAAAATCGCATATTGTGTTTATCTTTCTACCTAATCTATGGAAAAAGAAAAGGAAAATGGTCTCAATTATAAGTCTGAACAAGCTGTTATGAAGATTAACGTGAGTCCATGTCAAGGCAAGCACATGCGCATTAATGGGTGCTAGGAACACCATCGCACGTGCCTGACTAAGTGAACCAAACGTTGCGGCAGGAACCAGGCCACCCGAGTTTGATTCCCGGCAACACCTCGCATCAGTGGCGAGTGATAATCTGAACAGGTCCTGGTCTACGCAGCTCCCTTTCACCAATCCACACTGACCAGCTCGGTGAAAGATGACCATGAGCCGACGACACAGCATGGGAAGGTCTTGATTTGGTAGTGGTGTTAAGGGTTGCAAATTATTACCATGAAATACCAAGAACAGAAGCCCCGACTAGGTTAAATACTGATTAACACAACAGTTCACATGCACTCATTGTGTGGTTTTCCACTCATAACGGGCATTGGAAGGTACTCATCTCCAATTTACAGTCAAGTGGTGAAATTTCGACATTACAATGGCAGGATCCATAAGACAACCACTGCTTACCCTTCAACCAACTCGTGGTACACACGGGCAAAGCAAAAGTCACCCTCTCCCCAACAGAAACTGTGCAGCGGGAATTGCATTACTCCAGACAGCTTGATAAAAGCCTCCGCACTTATTGTGGACGCGCAAGAACGCATTAAAACGGCAAAGAAATTTGAAAGATCGTGCATACGCACGCATTATGCGTATGCCTGACATGTGCCCGTAAACATAAGTAGTTAATTAGCAGTATGGAAGCGGAAGGGGAGCTGTCATAGCCAATCCGTTGGCATATTTGCAAAAACAAAAAATTATCCTGGTTTTCTCATTTGTTTCAAGATAGGGCAATCCTGAGATAAATTCAGAGAGCAATAGGGTCAGCCCCCAATAGCAACACAACTCTACACGCACGTTTATTCACATCGGATCATTTTTACAAAGTGGCAGCATCTTCCCCTTTACGGATGGGCATAAGAGATCTAACTTAAATTGGAAAGCCTCCGAAATCTACGAGCCAAATTGCACACCTGCCAAAACAAACACACAAAGTAGCAGCCTGGTATGTTGCGGCAAGGAAGCATAAAGCAAGAGGGGTGAGCGGGCAGGTGGGTGAGCGAGCAGGTGGGCGAGCGGGCAGGTGAGCCAGTGGGCAGGTGGATGAGCGGGCAGGTAGGCGAGCGAGCAGGTAGGCTAGCGGGCAGGCAGGTGTGCAAGCGGGCAGGTAGGCGAGCGGGCAGGTGGGTGAGAAGGCAGGTGGGCGAGCGACCGAGATGCACCTGGGCCAGGCAGAAGGTGGACTGCATGCGCACGCGGTAGAAGCACTGCTCGTGCTCCAAGATGTCGGTGAGCGCCAAGCGCGACTGGGGCGTGGGGAAGCGCTCCAGGGCGGAGATGGCCTCGCCCTGCGCCACCACGTCGCGCTCGTAGCGCAGCTCGTACTGCCACATGAAGTCCGGCTGTTCCAGCTCCACACGTCGCAGGATGCTCATCTCCGGGTCGATGCGGATCCACAGGAGCGGTGAGTCCGCACTGGCCGACAGACGGGACCGGGAGTGGGGTGTGAGGCGACGGGAGTTTGTTTGCTTAAAGCACATCCTAGATACCATCCGATGTTATACCCGATGGTGCTATCGGCATCATAGCATGAGATTAAGTATCCATTCAGATCTTTTGCAGAGCAGTGTAACCATTGGAGAACAGCTCACGGATTTGGATGTCACAGAACTTCGGGTCCACAGAGCAGAGGGCAGCACTTATCCCTCTAGGCTACATATTATCAAGAGCTGTTTTGTAAGTTAAGAGCAGCAACCACATTTCATTTGATGGGATTTTTTGGATAGTCATCGGTGACCAGGCTGAGACCATCGACTCACTGTTTTGGAGGACCCGGTTTAACCATCTGGGATTTGAACCAGGACCGGTGCCAGCTCAGTGCCCTGCCACTGTCTGTGAGTCTGATCCAGAAGAATTACATTCATCGCGCTTCTCTAAACTGGTTTCGAAAGCATCATCATTACAATAATAATCATTATCAGGTAGTGAAATCACAGTTATATTACCTACAGCTGTTTTATTGAATGCAATGTATATAATAAAATAACATTACAAATATTTCATTGAAAACTGCCCTTGGTTAATAAAGCTTAATTCCTAATTGTATTTATATTAGAATACATTCATAAGAATATTATTGAGTGATGATACATGGGGCTTGAAGGACAGAGATAAGAGATGGATGTTGGGGTATTGCTCAGGAAGAGGGCAGCTGAATGAAGACGTAAAAGCCTGAGGAAGGGTTACTCATTCTTGAAAAGGTGACTTAGATGGTTTGTGCTTGTATTGATAGGAAACAATTAGGGTTATAGAGATTAGAGACTCATAGCCTCATACAGAGACACACTCACACAGAGGCCCGCACTCACACAGATACTCATGCGCACACAGACCCATACACACAGAGACCCATACATAGTTTCACACGGAGATATATAGACTCACACTGTGACCCACAGATTAGAAGGTTTGTGGAAATGCCACTGATAGAGGGCAGAAGTTAGTTAGTTTATTAAGTTTTTTGAGCCAAATGGCCAGAATTGGGCAAAACTTAGCCCGCTTTTCACCCAGGCCACTGGAAAGCACAGACCAAGTGTTTCTAACCTAACAATTAAAACTAACAATAACATATTTAAGAATCACAGTTAAGAGACAAAAACATATATACTATTCAAAACAATTAAAATAAAACAATGAAATCTTATCAATGGTATTTATAGTATCCGAGATACAATAAGTAGCTCAACCCCCACACGAATTAGGCTTTTGGCTTAGAAAATTGTAACTAACAGCAATGTGCGATGCAAAATCGCAATAGTTTGAAAATAATGCAAGGGCACAGAAGCATCTGTGCAATTGCTGTGCAGAACGAGATGTTTTTTTTACAACTCATCGCTCACAGAATCCACATCATGGTTAACCCGTCAGAGTTTTATGGCAGGGATGCTTCTGTGTCGGGGTCATAACAGGTGGACTATAATTGAGTGAGTGAAGAGCAGAGGTTATGCGGCAGGGCACGCTGCTGCATTGAAAGGTGTGCAGAAATCCAAAGAAAATTAACAGTACATTTTCCCCACTGACGTCATCGGCTTACCTTCACAATCTTGCCTCTAAGTACCATTCCCTCTTTCTGCCGCTCGTCTGCCCTGTTACTTCTCGCTCTGTGACTCCTTCCTCCCTGGAGACCTATAACTCCCTAAAGCTTCCTCAACATCCCGTCTCACTCCCTCTCGCGTCCTCGCCCTCCCGTGTCCTCCCTCTAGTCCTACGCTTCTTCTGGCTCAGCCTGGAGTGTGGATACTCGGGGCTCTCCGCGACGCTCATAATTCTAGCATCTACAAAAAAGTGCACCAATCACCAGGGAACTCCGGAGGCCACCGTGAGGTATGGCTTGTGCGCAACTCCATGAATAAATCATTAGAGAATAACCAGAACAAAGCACAGGAACTGCTGCGAGACTAATCGTTACGCACTAAAAAGGAAAATGAGGGGGAAAAAACCGACCTCACCGCTCGTCAGCTCTCAGATCTTTTAAAAAATGAAACGCATCAACAATAGCGGATGCCGATTTAAGAATGTCTGGAACACGCTCATCTGAGCCAACGGTGAGCTCAAGCAGTAACGTTTTTTAAATTACTCGCTTAATTTAAAAACCTTGTAAGATGACATTTCCCTGACAATAAAAAAGACTGGTTTCCCTGTTAAATAATTTACAAACTTCCACATCCCTAACGGCCTTGCACAGCGCTTCACTGGGCTTGTCGCAGGTCTTGTTCTTGTTGTTGTTGTTGTTTTTTTGAAAGCTCAAGACACAGCTCAAGGCAACGAACCCTATAAAATTCAACAGTTGCCTTTAAATTCACAGCTCTGCTGTGTCAGCTGCATTCGCCAGTGACCCACTTTCTCCTGCACCTGGGCTGCACACAGCCCCCCACCCCCCAAACCCCACCCCCCACTGTCTGAAGTGCTGATTTTATCCCTCTCTGGGTTGACATGCACTCCTTAATCCTGTAATGACCTTATTTTATTTTCTTTTACAGCAGCCCGCGCTCAAATGCTTTTCGGAAATTACTAAATATAATTTCTGAGGCAGGATTTAAACGTGGCCATTTCCGTTGTGCTCTGCAGAATAGATAGCAGTCACAGAATTATGCAAGCAAGGTGGTGTGAAGATGGTACATATCGGGGTACCTGAGCTTGACGCGTAAAAAATATATTAATTTCCGCTGCATTATTTTTGCGCCAGATAAATAAAACAATCGTAGAGCAAACATATTAACAGTTAAGTTTGGCACACGTGTGAATACATTAATAATTAATGCATTTTTGAGCATTAAAGAGTAACAGTTTTTAATTTAACCGGTGATGCTGTAGACAAAAAGCCACCAAGGTAAACACACTTGAGTGGTAAAAAAGTGCATCATTCAGAGGCCCGAGAGCAAAAACATTTGTGCTGTCGATTTAATCATTTCGCTCAGCCTGCTGTGTAAAATAAACATTCAACAAAATGTAACCTTGGACCACCCATAAAAACCTGGCTTCCTTCCAACTGCTGTGCGGTTGAAGATAAGGCCAGAAGTCGGATGCAGTGGCTTACATAAGTCCTGCTTTGACAACCAGTGCGATCCTACGATGTGGTCATTTTGTTTTCCACACGTCACGGTGCCGGTAAGATGAGCCAACGTCACTCACTCCATCAATGACAGATCCATGTCGATCTCCTCCCCGTTTAGCAGAGGGATCTTCTTCTTTTTGTTCCTGTATGAGTGAGGAAACGACAACAAATTAGGCTTTCGCCACCCCCCCCCCCCCCCCCCCCCCGAGTCCAAGTTTAATTTTAAGGGCAGAAACGTTCCACAGACACGCGAATTCACTTGCATTTACAATTCAATGAAACGGACTTACAATACGCTGTCGCATATCCGGCCCTAACACATCCGCCCTGGCCTTGACCAAGTGACAACCGCCCGCACCTCGTGCAGTGTTAGTGTACGAGTGGAACTGTTATCTTATGGAGATGTTCACAACACAAATCTGACCTCTTCACTTTACAGTGATGTGTTCTTAAGCACAGTCCAGCATTGGCCCGTGTTTAAGGCTCTGTGCACTTTATTTTTGTCCAGGAACCTATTTGCGCACGGTGGCATAACCGTAATAATTTTCTTAAGACATTTACATATCCAATATTTTCACTTATCTGCCTACATGCGGACATTGTACTGGTGTATGTGGTGGGTTTTTTTTGTCATGGGTAGCAGAGCTCAGTTGAAGAGAATATTCCACCGCCTTGATAAAGTGAGCTACTGCAAGGTCCCTTGGGCCAAACTGCTGCAAGGCAACAGATGGCAAGCAAACTGATGATGCAATGCATATTCCAACTGACGTTAAAAAGTGTGCGTGTGGCGGTCCGGATGCAGCTGGCAGATTTCCCCCGCAGTTCTTTCCGACGGCCGTGATATTTTAAAGACTGAGTGTTGCTTCCACCAGGATAAGTGTGAAAGCAAGATTAACTGTTTTGAACGTGTGTGTGTGTAATGGAAGGAAGGTTCAAGTGGTTATGAGACAGATGGTTTCTTGTAGCTGATGGTTACTGGTGCCAGTGGATTAGTGTTGAGAAGTTATTCAGATGTTTAACCAGGTGGAAACTCAAGGGACCAGGATAGTCTCGTTTGCGTGAGTGAGTGGGTGATTCAAGTCTAGTTGATTTTGTTTAAGCAGGTGAGGCTTCATAAGACCAGGACCGTCTCATTTGCTAGAGTGACCTGGGGCATTAATCTGCCAGTAGGTGACAATTATTATTATTATGTGTAATCTGAATTGAGTAATTTTCCAGGTAGTTTTAAAATTCGGCAAATTTCACTCAAGTTTAAGAAGACAATACTGCAAATGCGTATCAAGGATGTGGATTTGTCCCTATAATAATTTACAGCTCTTTGCCAAACAACTGATGGGGTAAGGACTCCCCCATGCTTCATGAGTCATGGGGGGTGGTTTTGACCATACTTAACCACAGAATCAGTGCAGGTTGGTGAAAGTCCCCCCGAAAAACCGTTTCAAATCCCATTCGCCACTGATATCATGGCTGGAATAAAAAGCAGTGTCTCCGGGTTCATAGCACAGTGTGCTAACCACTGCACCTCTGCTCTCCGCCAATTAAAATCCATATGCAACAGTGGTAACTTGGATTCCAATTTGGTCTGTCTCAAATTAAATTAGCTCGGCTTAAAATGAGTACCTGGCAAAGGTGTGGTCAATATCAGGCAGCTGGGTATTGTGCTGGTACTACCGATCCCCTCGTGTACAGCACTGGCCTTGACGGATGCTCACTAAAGAGTGCCTGCCCCAACAGTGTGTATCCTTACTTGGACAAAGATGTGTCGCTCGGCATAAAATGATGGATCGTTTCATTGACAAAATCGATTGTCATGCTCAAAGATGCATTGAATTGTGTGTGAATTTATGCAACAACAAAAAAGACAGAACCCAAATAAAAAATATATACAGCTCATTACTGGGAAGGTGAACTGCCTCTACCTCATGTCCACTCATAACCACACATTCACCAGTTCACCACTTATATTTGCAGTGAAATAATTGAAAAACAATTGAAAAGGCGGACATGACAGCCGATAAGAGCACGAGCGTTACTTCAATTTTAACGCAAATTCGTCTGGGGAACGGCAAAGCGAAAGCAGCGGTGCGCTAAGGAGGAGCCACCTACCGGCGGCTCTTGGAGTGGCACGGAATCTCGTGGCGCGTGCTGTTCTCCTCGATCTGCAGGTTGTGATTGAACGAGCCATCCAACTCTTGCACGGTGACTGTCAGAGGACCCTGCGCGCACACACACACACACAGACGAGCGGTCAGCCAACAAAGGGCTCAGTTCAGTTCAGTTTATTTTGGTATAGCCCTGTGAGCCATTCGGCTCTTGAATCGGGTGCAACCACAACAGACAAAAAAACGAACAAGAAAAACATCTTAAAGTGACTATGTGTGACTGTGCAAACAGAAAATCCATGGAAAAAAACCAGCAAAAAATATTCCTGAAAAAAGCACCATACACCAACGCTGTGTGCAAAAAATCCCAGTGGGATGCAAGTCAAACAACAACAACAAAACAAACATGTCCAAACCAAAAAAACTTTTCCAAATCACCAAAAAATAAAGCCATAATTGCAACGTAACAGTGATCACAAGGACTGTGACCGAATTTTTACAATAAACTAGATAAATAACATGTAACACCAAGGGGGCCCCTCAATGCCAAGCCAGGTCAAGTGAGGCAGCATATGCCCTCCACCCTCTAGAGCCAAATCCTCGGGTCCCTGGTCTGGTCGCAAAGCTCCCACGAGAGACCCCTTCCTACCCACGAGTCTCAATAACAGCGGCTGATCTTATGCAGCCCCTTTTACAGGTGACTGAAATTATCTAATTTGTGACTGAATAAAATTAAGAAAGCTAAAAAGAACGAGTGAAATATAAAACGCATGTAAATGTGCAGAAAGACTACATTCACCAAACCTAGCTCCCAGCGCCTTGCACACGTGCAAATGAATCACTTGCAGAGGGCAAGGTGATTTTCCTACTGATAACAATGCAACGTGTGCTGCGAACTAACAGTTCGAAGTACAAGACCCAAAAGTTTATCCAGACGGGGATAAAAGCTTTGAAAAAATCAATGGACCAAGTACATTTTACTGTAAAGAGACCATGCAGAAAAATAATGCACTTTTGCCAAGGTTAGCCGAGAAGCACAGACTTGTCACACATTCCTTGAAACGCACGCACATCAAGGGTGATGCGGAACCCTACTTGCCGAGTTGTATGTACGTAGCCAACCGTGCTAATCAGAGGTGAGGAGGAAGGTCAACAAACTAAACACAAAAAACTGTTCTAAATAAAAGAGTTTTCAAACTAAATTAAAAAGTGCACAGCTCCAGTGGCTTCCTAATATCGAAAGAGCTTTGCAGATGGCCGCAGAAGCGCATCCGAAGGCACGGGATGCGGTGACTGTCCCCGTTCGATGGCCAGCCAAAAGCCGTCGCGAGGATAACCGGAGTACGCGTGATGGGCCTATGCGCATGGACGAGATCGGCGAGTTGTTGCGAGTGAACAGAGCGAATGAGACGCGGTACGCACAACGCCGCTCCTCGGCCTCACCACGTATTTCTGCGTTCCCTGCGCGATGCAGTCCTGCTTGAGCTCCAGCTCCAGGATGTTGCGCTTGCGGTTGAACACGAACGTCCCGTAGAACTTCACCACACCAGACTGGTCGCTGGACGCCCCCCCCCACCACCGAATGTCAAGGGAAACCCACTGCCTGCGCCAGAGCTACAGCCAACGCTAGTCCAAAGATTAATGCGGTGAACGCAAAAAAAAACACGTGCCTGATGCTGTGCCCTCGTTTACACTCAAAACACGTGAAATAAAGTCACAAAGCACCACGGCCAATGGGGTTGGAGAGTGGAGAGAGGCTGGGTAGAGCAGCAGCAGGTAGCGACGTGGGAGCGCATAGCACACTAGGTAAATCTGCCCATTATCCCGCGACACTATCACACAACGCTCTACACACTCTGGCAAATTACATCACGGGGTCTTTAAAGCCAATTTTTTGCACTAAACAACAAATTTAAATTTACATAGCATCTAAATGCAATTGCATCTCAAGACACTGCAGAATAAGAAAAGACAAATGACTTTAAGATAGGAGAGGTGTGTGGTGGGGGGGGAGGAGGGCAGGGAAACACACGTGAGGGCAGCACTGCAGCAGAGCTCGGGATAGAGGAACCATGGCCCAGTGACACCAGGGGAAGCCAGGGAATTCAGGGCAGCACCAACCAGTCCCAGCATATTTAAAACATTTCCTAAAGAAACTACCAGGCAGACGGAGGAATCAAACCATCAGCTATATTCATATACGTTTTGAGTAGGGTGAAAATGAATCGATGGCAAGCAAAATAACCACCAGACTGCCAAACTGCTTGCTGAACAGATGTAGCACAAACTGCAACCGGGAAAGGTTACGGAATGTCTGTTTGCATCTCACACCGTGTCGGTGACGAGGGTCACGCTGTCACGAGTGCGATCGGCGATTAAACCCCCCACGGATTGAAAATAGAACGAGCTCCAGTGATAGCGGAACCAGTGGCGCTGGGGCGAACGGTTTCACATCACTGCGGAAAGCGCTTCAATCAGGAACAAAATTATGCGGCAACATTCTGCGCCCACAGGCTACGACATCTGACCTCCGAGCCACTCAACCACAGTTAAACTCACAAGTGCAAGCTGATCAACGGCGTATCTCACTGACGCATACCTAACCAGCGTGGAGTGGCAATCACATCAGTGTCCAACAGCAGGCATCTGTGATTACAACCACTTATCTAGCCATTCCAATTACGTAACTCCAATTAAAAACTAAAATATTCGAAAAGTGACTTGGTGAGTTTAAAAATATCTGCAATTCCCAAATTGAATTGCTCTTTGTAACCCGCTAAACCGAAGACAAGGAATTAAGAGGTATTTTCAGAAATTCTCTCGTGGCTTGTTTCGGGTGCTCTAGTGCTGCACCAAACAGCATTTCAGTTTTGCCCTGCAAACCACGCTGATTTGTGCCAGGTTATTAAAATGAGTGGGCAACTAATTAGAACTACCACTCACACACTCTCAATATTTTCCCAGCCGAGTGAATGGATGCTCTCAATTTCAAAGAAAAACAATCACATTTGCTTACACAGCCACAGCAGGATTTTGTGAAACCTTCCTACAAATATAAGAAACAAAGGATCCCAATAAAGTATCAACGCCTCGAGAAAATGACTACATTCGAGAAGTCTAAAGGGTTTTGTTAAAGGGTGAGATTATGAAGGAACGGTTCGTTTTAATGTCTCATTAAAATTATTACAGTGCACGCAGCCTAAGGTCGTGTGAAAAACAATGAATTTTGATATTGCATCTGTAGACAAGGAAAAGTGGCTGACGCACAATATTTAAACAAGACCCATTAGTGCAGCTAAGTTACCAAAACATTACTCCCACTCTCCAGATCGGCATCTGATTTGATTGACCTTCATCAGGCAGCTCGATGATTAAACACAGACTAGCTGGCTCGCCTACACAAATGTACCACTCACGACAAACGCTCTGAATCCATACCTTCTCAAGAGAAAAAAACTAATAAAAAAATTTCAACGGTAGCAATTTGAGAAGTGTGGATTCAGAATTTTAAATCGAGCGGTGGTGCAGCAATTATCGCAAAGCACTATATATATACCCGGCGACCGATTGGTGGCCATGCGCTCCCTTCTTCAGCCAACCTACACTGACCAGCGTAGGGGAAGTATGGTCAAACATCCAATTGTTGGACTTCGTCAGAAATGTCACCATGGCATCTGCGACCGGTCTCCTAGTGACCGAGGGCTCAGTTCGAGCGAGACAGCTGTCACTTTTTGAACATGCCGCCCCGTCTTGATGCGCAAACTCCTGGAGCAATTGCGCACTGAAGCTGGTGGTTGGCGTTCAAAGTGGACTGCGACCCTCAAAGGAATGTCGCCGCCCCCGTGGTTGTTGCCCCCCCCCCCCCTGTGATCCGTGGATCAAACAAATTCCTCGAGACACCGGCATGGCTGCAAGAGAAGTTTACGTGAATGCTGTCACAAGAGGTCACACGTTTGGCCCAACGGTCCTTCGATGACTACGCGTGATGAATTTAGATATGAATTGCTGCAGCAAGCCCATGAGCAAAGGATACACCCACTGACGAATCAGCGGCTGGATATCCTTGCCCGAAACAATAGAGATGGACTTGAGGAACGCACTGGTGGACAGCAGCATCTGGCTCCACATGTGGGACTGGAAGCGCTGGGAAGATGCAGTGTTGGCCAGAGAGAGCAGCTTGTTAAACACCTGCCAGGAGACAAAAGAGGGAAAGTCGATAATTCAATACAATTTTTGAAAATGTTTTTAAGTGGCCAGGTGAACTGAGAATTCAGAGCACTAAACCGATACCGCAGCAAGTGTATGGGCTCAACCCAGTCACCAATCACTGTACAAAAAAAAAATACGTTGAATGTGAATATATGAATATAACGTTGAATGTGTTTCTGCAGTTGAGGTGGCCAGGGTGGCTCAGAAGTCACAGCACTGAGCTGGCAATGCTGAGATCAAAGATCTGAAATCAGGGGGCCGCCTGTGATTAAACCGAGTTCTCAAGACAAATTTATGGTCTCGGTTTGGTCACCAATGACTGCAGGAAAAAAAAATTACATAAATTTAGTTTTTGCGCTTAATTTGGTTAAATTCCAGTTCTCAAAGTTAAATCTATGATTTCAATGTCATGCGACAGACATTGCTAGCAGTGGAAGGGCGAGTAGGCTTCCCCCCTACCATGTGCATCAAAGGTCACTTTACGGGATCTCAGAGGAAGCTGTGGTATTCACTTCCGTGAGCTTTCACTAACATGAAGGGTGCACTGCTCTGTGAGAGATAATTGCATGACACATTTCGCACAATCTGTGAAATAAATTGGGGAAATACGTTTAATTAAAAGATCCATCTCAAAAAAGTAACCAAAACCAAGATGACAATTTTTTTGATATGAGAGTGCCTACTTAGGCAATGACCGTAAAATGTTTTTTAAATATTAATAGGTACTCAAACCTTTAAATACTAAATTGCTACTTAATTTAATATATATCCATTTACATAATGTAATAGATTTTTGTTAGCGTACTTCATTTTATAATTTATTGTAATAGCTTTAAATTTCACTATATATATACATCTGTACTTCGTTGTGGTTTCACTTTAGTATTTTTTTGGATGGATGCTGCCTTTTTATTCCAATTTCTAGATTGTGTATTTATTATTCCTGCATCATTCGTGTATGGTCGAGGTTTTGAATAATTTGTATCGTGGGAACATCCTTGCCGTTATGATATATTTATTACTACCAAGGTCTCCCTTGAAAAAGCCTTGCGTGTCAACGGACTTTCCCCTAGTTATGAATAAATTCTGCGTGTCTAAACATAGAACATGCACGTGTAAAAGTTGTTCTACGTTCATCAATATTTATCTCCCTATCAAGCTCAAAATTTCATTGTGCATGTATTATTCAGAATATTAAATCACGTGTTATTATCACTTACCGTTTGTATATTTTTTTTTACTAAGATGAACCGCTGAGTTGCACTATCTCCATTACCGCGTGGTGCAGTGGTGTCACAGAGGTCACGTCATTACGTAAAGGACCACGCATCAATCACTCCAGATAGCCTACCCCACCAAAACACCACATTAGAAATAAACGGAGCTGCCCAACGACAAGAGAAGATACCACACTGGTCGCCTTCATTGCATTGCTATTTACTAAACAAAGTGATAGCCCATTGACATCCGTTGTCACGCTATCTCGCTCGCAAACAAGGGAAGCCTGGGTAGTCCTGTCACGCTGGAAGAGTTATTTATATATTTAAAATAAATAATAGGTTACGAATAACAGCGTTGGGTTTGCGGTCACCAAGAGGACAAAAAATATGAAGGCCAGTCAGGTGGATTGTCGATTTCTTTCCCAGCGGTGACAGAACAAACATACCTAGTTATTATTTTAATTAACCTGTTTTTTTATTGGGAGAGGTGGCTCTGTGGGTTACCGCACTATGCTATACACCAAGTGACCTGAGTTCGATGCCCGGTCAAGGCTAACATTGGTGGCGAGTGATATCTGAACCGGTCCTGGTGCCTCCACCCCTTCGCCAAATCAGCACTAACTGGCGTGGTGAAGTAGGGTCGAACAATCCCAATGACCGACCTGTTATTTGGAGGAGGCCTTCATCCAACAGTGCACAGGGTGGTGGTCCAGATGTCTTGTCATCTCCAATTAATTGACCCCGAACATTTGTTTTCCTTTGCATATTAATTTCTGTTTTAAATAAACCTGGTATCGACTTAAATCGAGGTCACAAGACAGCTGGACATCCCTTTACATTAAAACATGTTTTGCAGGTAATTATAAATGTTGACTTTGGGGGCTATGATACAGACAAGTGCTCAATAACCTGTTTTCAATAAATGTTTAGCCCATTTTCAATCTACTGGTGGATGAAGGCCTACCCAAGATGTTGTACATAGATGTTATTTGACCATAACTCTCCACGCTGATCATTACTGGTCGTTGAAGCGGGTACCCACAACCAGTTTAGACATTCCCCGCCAATGATTTTCACCTTGGCTAGGAATCAAACTCAGGTCACCGGTTTCATAACCACTGATGGAGTCTTTAACAACTCCTTCAACGAAGATGAAACATTTTGTTAAAAAGGCCTTGCGGCATGACTTGTTGGCTGATGGACATTAAGTCAAGCATATGCACTAGGGTGCTACTTTTCATGTCCGCTCCTGCTACTTCTACAAGCACAATATGAAATACATGTGCGAGTTGCTGGTCACAGGTCACACACAAGACAAAGATTCCCATTATAACCTTTGACAGGCTATTGGGGAAAGTGGTTAGCAAGCAGCTATTAAGGCTGACACGGCACACGAAGGGGTAGAGGTGGCCAGCACCGCATCAGGTGCTGGCTCATGTAAGGCTGAGTCGACCTCGGGGACGCCCAGGACTGGTTCAGATATCCATCACCGATACTGGCCATTAGTGCTAATCGTATATGGGTCGCCGGGTATGTAGCGCAGTGCGCTAACCACTGTGCCAACGCCCACTTGTGTTTGTTTGGCCTTTGACGAAGATCCCCCGTATACCCTTAACAGACTGTTGGGACAAGTGCTGTTAGCAAGCACCTATGAAGGCTGGCACAGCACACGAGGAGGTGGGTGGGCCAGCACCACGCCCGGCCGCCTTTGTCTCTCGAGTGGTGATGTTTACACCAGGACCAGTTCAAAAATTCGCCATTGTTATTACTGATTGTGATAGGGAATCGAACCCAGGTCACCGGGGTCATAGCGCAGCACGCTAACCACTTCGCCACCGCCCCCCCTTTAACACACACACACACACACCTGCAGCAGGAATTCCATGCTGATGCGGTTCTCTATGAGCCTGAGCACCAGGTGCGCCTTCGCCTGGTACAGTTTGTAGTATTCCCACGAGAGCGTGTGCGGGTAGCACACGGAGAAGTGCAGGTGAGGAGTGGGACTGCACACACATACACACAGACATTAGTGTCACACACACATGCACACACACCGTAGAGCTACAAGACAACCGGAGTGAGAATACCTTTGAGAATGTTTCCTCTAAAAATAATACCCGATGAAAACAATTGTTAATATAATATATCAGTTTTTTTTCAGAAAAGCATCCATCATTCCTTGTGAAAAGCATGTCCTGCCCAAGCCTACTGACTTTTCTAAACAGAAATATCCATAATACAGGTTTTTTGGGTTAGATCGCGTAAATATTTAAATGTATCGTTAAATCCGCCACCACCCGACACAGCCGAATTGAAGAACCGCGTAACAGTGAAAACTCGTTGTGTGAACACACATTAAAGCGAAGGCTTTCTGTATGTATTCTTATTCTGTGTTTTCGACTTTTGTCCCGTCAACAATTGCGGCGTTTTGTTTAACGCTTAGCCATCCCACTTTCATGTCAGAAACGAGCCATTGCAATTGCTCCCTCACCCACTCACTGGAGTGAAACTAGTGGGTGAGCGAGCAAGCGGGTGAGCGAGCGGGTGAGTGCAAAGTCCACCTCTCCTTCTCCTTGCCGGCAGGGAAGGTCGGATGGAGGAGGATGCCTCCGGTTTGCAGCTCATAATCCGTCACTCGGGACAACCACTGCAGGAGGGACAGCATGGCAGGGATTTGTTGACGCACGGCTTCGGGAGGCAGTGGAGTTAACTGCGGGAAGCGCAGCCGACGTGTGACGTACCTTTTTAATCCAGTAACGATATTCGTTGTTCCCGAAGGTCTTTTTGATCCACAGGCCGTAAATGTAGCCGGAGATGCCTTTAAGCACCCAATCGTCAGTCCTGGTGAAGAATGAAACCCAGTTGCAGATAGATTTGATTGCCTTAAATGAGAAGCGCTCCTGATTTTGTTTTTTCAAATTGTATTAATTTAGTGCCAAATATAGCCCCATTGGTTTAAATTACATTTTTTCTTGTTACGGTTATTGTATTTTTGTCACATTTTTATCTCAGAGCAAAACATCAACCCCTGTTAGAGAAGGGCACACTGTAGGTGATATCGCAGAACCATTTCTGAGATCCCTTTAAGTAACCTCTTTTCCACACGAGGAGCGATGTGGCATGCCACAGAGGATAATAAGGCTCATCGTATGGCAAACAAACTGAAACAATAAAAAAAAACCTCTCAAAAGCTGGAATGGAATAAATTATGTGAAAGCCCATATTTAATTAAATAGATATTGGGTGCAGTCTTTGGTGACCAAGCCAGGATCGTGACATTTATATACTGGATAGACCGCCTTAATCATACGTGGGTGCATGGATATGAATCCTGCATCTAAGTGCTGTCGGCTCAGAGCTCTGACCCTTGAGCCTCCCAGCCACCTCTACGAGATGTATTTTAACAAGGGGAAATGGTGGCCAAAATATAATCACAGACGAAAATGGCTGAAGACTAATATTATTTAAGGAATACTATATGGGAGTTTATTGTGCATAACTCAAACACCATGCAATTTACAAGTATCCCCCAACTATAAAATGATGCGGTGCTCAATGGATTAGAGGATAAGGGAGCAATTACATAATCAACACAAAAATGGTAAAACCAAGCTTAACAAAGCACGAGTCAGATGATAAGGATTCATTAGCGCAGGGAAACAAGCGATGAATGGGTTGCAAGGAGAATGTGAACAAGTCTGTGCATACGAGTCAAAAGTTTGGGGTACGAACACAGCGCCAATTAACAGGGTTTTTTGCATATTAAAAACAGAGATACAAAAAAAGATGCCCGTACCAGGACATTCGTGAGATGAAACAGCCAAAAAACTGTTGCGCCAGAGCCTTGGCTATTCTCTTGCGAGTGATGGGCGTCTGGTCGATTATCGTTGCTCCGTGCAACAGGTTGGTGCTGAAAGAAGGGCAGAAGATCGGTTAAGTGAGACAGCCTGGTGACACGAAAACCCCATATCTATGCATCTACATTACAATTACACCATGATGTAGTTTCATTTGCAGAGTACAGCACAGCAGAGACGGGATTGTAGTAATTAAACAAAGGCGTGTAATTAAGAAATAAAACCAACGGGGTGGGGAGTCTCCGGGCTAATTGTGCTACTTGACAGCGGCAATCAGAATCCATGTAGAGTTTGCAGCAGCAGTGAACTCTCAGCTAGACGCCTTTGTTTTGGTATCCACAGCTTTTCGAGTGGGAAACAATATTAAGTGGAAATTACACGAGAAGTGAAATTTAGTTATTGAGAGATGTTTTTTTTGGAGTTCAGCCCCACTGGACTGTAATCCATTTATCAAAATTGGTTTTTCATGCTATTTATGGAGCATAAATCCATTATAACCAAATTGGGCTATTCCATCAGCAATTATAACATCCACTGTACCGCACCAAAGAACTTAAATAAACTTGAACCAATATAATGATGCATCGTCATAATAATTCTTAAAATATATTATCTTTCAATAAACACCCGGTGTAAATACTATCGCAGAATACAACTCAAATACTGTAATAATCATTTATATTTGGAAGGCGCATTTCATCTATAGATCCCAATGCACCAATAAAAGGAACATGGCTTGCTCACAATATGAATAATTTAGTTAATATATTTAGAATACTAATCTACTATATAACAGCAAAGGGTTACAGGACGTTGGCAGTGGTATTCCACTGCTAACCTGTATTTGACCATCCACTGCCATGCATGTGGATTGTGGGGGTCAGGGCGGGTTAGTGAAGGCAGATTGCATAGACGTGGTAGCATAGTACAGGACAGTAAAACAATAAAGTTTGCTGCACTGCTCTCTACTGACAGCGTGGCCTTGCACCATCCTCCAACACCTTAAGCCAAGTTGTCGCCCATCCAACCACTGTCCAGGCTTAGCTTCCGGTATCTGATGAGATCGGGTGCATTCCAGGTGACTTGGTGATGGGCTACTGCTGTGTGTCAGCTTTGTTTGTTGATGTGCAGGTGCTGGCTGAGCAACTGCAGAGGCCTTGAATGTCGTTTTAAAAAAATCCAATGTCAGAAGCAGCAAGTGCTCACTGCCCGGCATAGACAACACTGTGCCCCCTCAGAATCTTTCAGAATCAGAATCTTCACTTAGAATGGAGGAATCCGATGAGCCATGAAGCTCTTTTTTCACAGACGTCTGGCTCGTCAACACGGCTCAAATTAGCAAATTTGACGGGCACCCGTAACACCACACACAAAGCCTGCTTGGTTTTCCGAGACCAGAGATCTGACACGGTTGGCTACGCACGGTGCCAAAGAAGTTCAACATACACACATACATTTGGTCACAGCCTGAGCACAGCAAAATGCGGCCCCTCAACACCCCGTTTAGATGTTCACACCGAGCGAGGCGAGCGCCGTCACCCGCGTCAAAATGGTAGGCGGGGGGAGACACCTGAATATGCTCATGGAGGCGTAGGAGGTGGCCTCCACGTAGGCCTGGTCCACGAACACCGTCTTGTAGCAGGTGTACGGGTAGCGGCACGTGAGCACCTCCTCGTAAAACTCAAAAATCTCGTGCAGGAACGAGGTGGTCTGCTTGAGCAGCGGCAGCAGCTGTGGCAGGCAGAAGTGCGTCACCTGGGGGCACACGAGTGCACCGGCGGCACGGGTCACGTACAGCACGGGGCGTGACGATGCGTGCCCCCCCGCACGCCGCGCGGCGAGTGAATTGTCACGGTTCGATTCAGGGGACGTGTTCGTGCTCGTCACATTTGTACGGTCTCGTTTTTGCATTCCCCTTTCTCTGTCACGAGTACAGTTTTGTTCGTACCATTAGCGTAACTGGTGTAACTCGAACATCCGTGTAACATTTGCATTAGAAATTACAGGAAAATAAATCGATTCTTACGGGCACAATCGCGATCAAGGTTTAATAGAGGGTAAGAAATTATTGGAATCGAGGATTTGATGCATTGCTACAAGCCTACAGAAAATTATAATTTGATCCTGGAATTGAACAATTACCCCAAATAATCACAATTCATTGAATCGCCGAGTGACATTGGACAGAAGCCTAAAATGTTAAACCATCCATCGGCTTTGACAAGGGACAAGGTGACACCTGACTTGTGTTCGATATTTAAGAACTAAAAATATATGCTGCCCTCTCGTGGTGGTGCAATGTCTAAACGTACAGCCCCCCTCCGTGAATCCACAGCTAGATGAGGGCCTCCCCACACTGCGTGGGTCCTGGGGATTACTTCAGAATACATCACCACCCTGGTCAGTGTGGGTAGGTGAAGGTGGGGAACATATACCTAGAAGCAAAGAGTGCAGTACAACTGAGGATTTTGCTGCACTGCCCTATGCTGCAAAAAAACATAGCAAAGTCCCGCAGAGGCCTAAGGTGGTATGATGGCACTCAATTTTCTGTCAGGCCAGAGATGTTTTTGTTACATAAGTCAAAGGGTCATAAATAGCTCTCGACAATCCCACGTCCCTGGTTCCTTACCGTCAGATTAACTTGACTCTAAAGGTACACGTGCATTTTTTGCTCAAGGCACTGATGACAGTAGGGCCTCCACAAGAGGGAGCTCAAGAGAGCCCCTCTAGAGGGTATTTGGCATCCTCTTCCATGCTGGTCAGGCATCTTGAAAGAGGTGGATATATCCTATAATTTATCCCCACCACGTGCAACCCGCCGATTGACTGTCGTAAACCCGTTTATAGTGCTGGGTGGACGGAAGCGGAGGGGGATTTAAAAGATTGGTACCATTGTTTCAAGTGCTGCGCCGGAAGGTCGAACCTGCGACATATGGATTGCAACGTCCAGTATGCTAGCCATGACACCACGACACCCTCCCGTACTCACCTCCATACGACAAAAGTTACTGAAGCAAGAGCTGTGCCTAACGCAGTGTGAGAAGCTAATATTCTCAGCTTCACAAAGCTCATCTTGCGTCACCTCGTGCATGAAGGGGTCCACGAGGATCTCAAAGGGCCCCACAGCGAGCGAGATGTTGGGCGCGGCCGTGGGCGTCGTGAGCTGGTAGTGGAACGTCTTGCGGCGCATGTCGTGCGTGTATATGGTCTCCACGAGGTCGCCGTTAGACACGGCCACCATGGAGGCGTCCACCGTGTACTCCAGCTTCCACATGCACAGCTCCGAGTACGAGTCGATGCACGGAAACCAAGACCTGCGGGCCGGGTGGCAAGAATAGTCCCCGCGTGGTTAAAACACCGACTGTGTGTGCAGATGATATGTCAGGCTGGCGCAGTGATAACACTTGTGCCTCGCAGAAAAAAGAACCTGGTCCGATTCCTGACTCCGGCGCCGTTTTGTGTTGAGTTTGTATGTTCTCCCCTGTTCTGCATGGGTTTCCTCCAGGTATTCCATTTTCCAAACATAGCTAAAAAATATACACTATAACTGGCATTAGAGAGAAAATTACCATATATGTACTGCATTGGGATTACATAAAATAACAACACCCTCTCACTGCGAAAACTTGTCAGGACCCTCGTGAAAAAGCATCTTGTTATTTGCCATCACCACCAGCAAAGATCTAGCCCGTGCTAAAAGAAGGACTCACCAAGCGATCGTCATCTCTTGCAGCCTCACAACGCAACAAGAACTCCTACGCACAAGCCAATTTCAACACTCCATCTCTGCAGTTGACATCATCCCAGGCATGTTCCCTCCTTTGGCTGCTACTCTATCATCAGTCTTCACTAATGATCATCAAACCTTTTCGTGAAGCGTGTCCTGCTCAAGCCAACTTTTCTAAAAAGTACAAAAAAGACGTCTCCAACTTGCGCGAGTTCTCTCCTCCACGTGTGTTCATCATTCTGCCTCTCAATGCAACTCCATTGACCATAGGCGCTAAAATTTTACAGCTGACCTCCAGGTTCACCATCGCCCATCTCACGATAGGTGCCTCAAAGCCACCGACCTCGATGCATTCTGGTGCCCATAGGAGAAGACGTGGGCGGCCCGTTCAGCCAAGGTGCCCTCCAGATCGGGCACCACAAACTGCAGTCCACCCTTGGGGTTGTCCATCCAGAACTCGACATGCACCTTCAGCATGCGCATCTCTGGCACGCAAAAACACGTATGGGCTGTGTTTACAAAACTGTAAAGCCAGTCCAGCGAGCAAGCCTCGATTCTGTTAAAGGATTCGATTCTGCAAATCAACGTAAGGAAACACGTAAACGAACATGCAAACGGATGCACATGTCGGACACGCGAGATTACAACCACATACGTACATGCTTTACAATAATATACCAGCCTTTTGTCCATCTATTGCTGGATGAAGGCTCCCTCAAGCCAAGCTTGTCATGAAGAATGTCTAATGTCTGACCATAACTGCACCACAATGGTCGGTGTGGGTTTGTGAAGAGATGGAGGGGGTGGGAAGCAGGATCGGTTCAGATATCACTCACAAATAATTATTGTAGCCACAGCGGCGAATCAAACTCAGGTTACTGGGTTCACAGCAGAGCACGTGATCCACTGCATCATTGCTCCACCTTGCCTTCTAAAACACACACTGCATGTGCTGCCACACGGCATGTTGTTGTTGTTGTTTCTTGAAATATAAATACTTAATGGAAATATGCTGTGGCAATCCTGCTGAAAAAAGTATCATGGTCTGGACACCGGAATTGGTAAACCGTTGAAAATTGCATCGTGATTGGTTCAGTGTTTTTGCAGTTATGTAATAAACATATGAAATGCACAGCTAGATGAACATATTCACCTGGCACAAAAACAGGCAGCCTATTGCCTCCCTGAACAAAATCAAGTCTTCCAGGTTTTAACAATCACAGGAATCTACATTGAAAGCCACGTGGACAAAAGGCCTTTATCTCACTGTGAATGTCAATTTACCAAGATAAATTTAATTGGGTGAAACAAATGAGTGCAGAGTGAAAAAAAAATTGGAAAAGAAATACCAAGTAGTCGATGGTGGATATTTTTGTACATTAACACTCACATAATAGTACCGTGTAGATTTCATTTTCGCACGACAAATGTAGCAAATTGGTGGTATATTTTGGAAAAGTGTAATTCTCATGACGATTAACAATGAGCTTTGTCGTTGACAGTGCTTCAAAATAAAGTTTTGTTTGCAGAATAGCATGCATTTACATTATAAAAAAGTTCACGTATTCCTGGTTTCATTAACCTGTTTTCATAAAAGGTGAGGGCAGTGAGGTGACCGGGTAGCTGCAAGGTCAGTGGGGTAAGCTGATACTGCCAAGATCCTACAGATGCCTGTGATCATTGAGCACATGATAAAGTGCTGCCCCTACCATGTCCAGCAAAGGTCACTGGAAGGGATTTCAAGAATAGCTCTGTGACATCTGATTCCGTGGGTCGCTCTCTAACACCATGCGTTGCACGATGCCGCGTGATCGATCCGGATGGATGCATTCATCTCGTAACGTGATGCAGATAGCTCAATCGGGACAAAATTATTTTTTTTAAAACGTCAGCGAAGTTGGTCAAGGGATCGTCACCTTCCACATGCTCGCGTAGGTCCGACGGCACTTTGATCAAAAGCTCGCCGTTGCCATAGTCTGGCTCCACCGCTTGCACGGACGCCGCGTACGCATTGGAGAAGAAGTTCAAGTTGCGCCTGCAGAAGACAATTCACAGTTACAATAACGTTCTCGGCTCGCACATACTGTCTGCATTATGTTTGTCGTCATTAGCCGGCCGGTGGTGGCGTACGTCTGGAATCCAGCATTGTGCAGGCAAGGAATAGTGGCCCACAGAGATGTTGTGAAACTGCCTTCCCATGAGCGTCGAGGTGCCACACCCCTGGCTCGCCAAAAGAGGGAAGTACACCAAATAGACTAATTGCCATCCGTTTCCATCTGTACGGAGATAGAGTGTTGCCCTCTCGCACGTGTGGGTTTTTTCTGGGTCCTCCGATTTCCTCCCACAAGTATAAACAGTCATCATTACTTGACTGAAAACATCCCAAAAAAAAAACCCAATGGAGCACGACCCTCCTGAAGAAGAGTCAAGAGACTCAGTGTGGCTTCCCTGGATAAATAAGTAAAAGTCTGCCGTACTTATTGGACTACAATGGCTGAGCGCTAGCATGTTCGATAGATGTTGCAGAGGTACATGGTTTGTGCCCAGCGGCCGCCCTGCTTAATACTTTTGTTATTTTCCATCCCCGCACCTCCTATTAGCAGGGCTGGCTACATACAGCGCGAAAGAAGTTCAAAATACATAAATACAACACTGCAGGTGAATCAACAATAAATATACATTGTTGTCTGCTCCAAAGCGGACGTTAAAGATCTAGCAACATTGTTTAAAACAAATGGGCAAAGTGCGCCAGGGTCATGCTATAGATTGTCAAAAACATTTGAAAATATACCAGCAAATTGCTGAATTGAAAAAAAACCACATAGCAACATAGCCTACTACTGGCTGACTAAATCGTCTGCCAGTGAAACATAGAGTATCCGTCACACAATTACCCAATGTGCCGCCAGATCGTTAATTTTCCACAGCGACGGAAACAGAGCTGTGCAAGAGGGCCTAGCTGGTACTAGCCAGGCGTGGTGCGAGCTAACGGCCCCTCGCCCCACCAGTCTACAGGGTCTCCAAAGGGGGCAGCAACATCTGCCTGCGTGGGAACGCACTGTTTGTTCTCCTGATGGCACACTTCCAGCGTGGGGTCATTGTACATGAAGGCGGCCTCCTTGTCGTTGACTCGCACGCGGTAGATGCGGCACTGCTTGCAGTTGAGGCGGATCTTGTTGAGCGTCGCCGTGGTGGGAAACAGCGTGAGTTCCACATGGCCCTGCCGCACACACATCGCACCGCACGAGCCATTGCAAAACCCAACAGCCTTCAGACTACGGACGCATTAATGCATGTATGTTGAACTTATTTCGCACCATACGTAGCCGACCGTGCCCATCAAAACATATCGGCATCGTCGACTCTGGAATCTTCCAAGTTTACACGTTTTAAATAGGTTTCCTGAATGCGCACATTACTTGCGGAAGTTGAATAGAGAAGTGGTAATTTGAAAATGCCTTTAGTTTTAAATAGGGGAGGGGGGGGGGGACTGGTAGCGCTGTTGCTAGCACGCTGCCCTAAGTCACATTAGTTAGGCGTGATATCTAAACCGGTCCTGCGTGCCCACCTTCACAGCAACCCTACGTACGGTGCGAAAGAAGCTCAACGTAAAAATGAGCCTCGTGACAGGCACTGCGTGTGAAGATAATCGTCTAGCAGTGGGTCGACTAAGGCCAGTAAAATTATTACTATTTTAGCAAGGCTTATTTATACACACTGCATTTGCAGCAGCTGCATTATAGCGTGGCGTAAATATTGTTTAAATGTATGGTGTTTAATTCTAAAGCAGTCTTGTGTTGAAGTAACGTTTGAAATAAAAGTTATAAGGAAAAAAGGCTTACAATGATGGACTTCTTTTGGAAGTTGATGTTGTTGATGCTGAGTACCTGATGGTTCGTAATGACACGAAAAAATGCACGTTATTTTTGAGTCATTGTTCATTTCTAGAGAAGTGGAACAGATTTCAACATCAACGTTGACATCACCAGACATTGCTCAAATACATTTGTACCAACTGGCTCACGTAAGGAACTCTGCTGACGAACAAAATACGAACACACGATTGCACACACATTTAAGTTGCAATATTGCCAAACCAACAATGTGCCGTCTCGCTATCGGCAACTTTCTGATATTAATTTGGGTCAAATTGACATTTCGAACGCTGCTTTTTGAACCAATGCTTAAATTCAACACATTACTGTGCGTTACTTCTACGCTAACCGGGCCTCCGACCAACCCGCGTCGACCAAGCTGAAGTATGGTCAAATATAACTGCCGCAGAGTGCGTTGGAGGCCGTCATCCAGCAGCGGATCGGCAAGGATCATCCGTAGACACCGCGCACGACGTGAACGCCACTGCGGTGAAGGAGCGGTGGCGCAGTGGTTAGCGCGCTACGACGCGAACCCTCGGCCCGGTCGAGTTCCCATCCTACGGCCTACTCGCAGCGACAATCGTGCACGCAGCAGAGAGTCCGGTAACGTCTCGGGGTGGGAGGGGAAAGGACGCCTTCATCCAGCAGTGGATCGGGCAAGGCGGAGATGTGTTCATCTCGACGAGGTACTTATAATTTGAACGGGCGCGGGCTCTCAAATCCCTTGTCGCTTTTCTTTCTGTTCATCGCGCCGCGCTGGGCTTGTTGTCGCCTACTCCGCGGAACACGGGGTGACGAGCTGAAGTGTGTTTTTGTTTAAAAAATAAGTATCTATATTTGATCATCGTATAAATAAGGCGGAAAATAAACAAACACGCGCGGACGCTGACGGTACGCTCGGTGCGAGGGAGCGACCCCGGGGCGGGCCTCCGATTTGACCCCCGCGGTTGGCTCCACCTACGGCGGCCGCGGTGGGAACGGGAGGGGGGGCGGGTGAACAAAAAAAACGCGATTTTTTTTGTTGTTAAAAAAATCGCCCAAAGTATTTGGTAATAATAATAGTTTTAGGATTTCGCGACCAATATTATCAATAATATGTGTTTTGGGTTTTAGATCGCGACAGCCAATTAGTAAAGGGTTTGTCACGTAAACAGAGCGTGCCAATTCGTTACGAGTACAGCACACCCGGTGTGCAATGTTTACAATCCGAGTACGACGTTTCGCCAGTAATTACAACTAGCAGCATCAGGCAGTCAGACAGATTTGTGGATAAATCCTTCTGGCTGTCGTCCGCCTGGGATCCTTAATATCTACGTACGGTGCACGATTTTATTCGCAGAAACGTTGAACTTCTTTCGCACCATACGTAATCAACCAGTTCAGTTTCAGTTTATTTTGGTATAGCCCTGTGAGCCATCCGCCTCTTGAATCGGGTGCAACCACAACAAACAAAAACACGAACAAGAAAAACATCTTAAAAGTGACTATGTGACTGTGCAAACAGAAAATCCATGGGAAAAAAAACAGCAAAAATATTCCTGAAAAAAAAACCAGGCTCATCGGAGGTGTATTGAAATAAGTAATTTTTTAAACGTTTTTTAAAAACACGCTTTTATGAAATGTACTAGTAATGGCAGAACTCCACGACTCCAGGAAGTGGTCCCGAAGCTTGTCATAACGTACGGGGCCGTGGTCATTTACAGCCAACGTCAGTTGAGCGTGGACAATCAGACCCAATTCTAGATTTGAAGCTTTCGTGACTGCAAGGATCCATACTCTTTGGTTCTATTCGGTAAAGTCACGTAGGTAAAAAATAAAACAACAAAAATCACGACGTTTCGGCCACAACTCAAGTGGCCTTCATCAGGTGAAGGGGACCGTACTGTCACGAGGACAGCGTTGGAGTGAAGACAGTCCAGCCCAGGTCGCGTCCTTTTAAGCTGTGTGGGAGGAAACAAAACGCTTTGACAAAGGAATTAGCATAAAATGACCGTAAAGCACAAGAGGACCGGCACGGAGGGTGGGAGGGGGTGTGAAGTGGAACGTAGAGGACCGGCACGGGGGGGGGGGGGAGTTTACAAATGTAGGTGTGAAGTGAAATCAGCTTCTATCTAAAAGTTTGGTATATCACTAAATGGATAAATACCATTGAAAATTAGTTTAATGTTTGGTATGATTTAGAACATCTTTCCAATGGTTGCTTAATTTGAAACCATCTTCTCGGTTGAAATTGTGTCTGTGTTTGTAAATCTGAATTGCCTCATGGATAAATCTCTGATGAAAACCCATGGGTTTACAAAGGACCTTGGTATCGGAGAAAACTATATCGTGATCACCAACAGCGTTGTAACAGTGGTCAGCTACGGCAGAAGAATTCGTTCTGCCGTGTTTCAAATCTGATTTGTGCTCGCGAATTCGGTCAGAGACATGTCGTTTCGTCTCCCCGATATAGCAGTCACCACAAGTGCAGCTCAATTTGTAAACCCCGGGGTACTGTAAGTCAGGAATGACATCCTTCACGGATGGGATCAGATCACGAATTTTGTGTACTGTATTGAACCGGACCAGGATCTTGTGTTTGTTTAGAATTTTGGAGATCTTTTTAGTAACGCCTGCTATATATGGTAGTGTGATGGTTTTGATCGGAGTATCAAGTGGTTGTTTCTGTATGGAGGGAGCTGATTTCACTTCACACCTACATTTGTAAACTCCCCCCCGCCCCGTTCCGGTCCTCTACGTTCCACTTCACACCCCCTCCCCCCCTCCGTGCTGGTCCTCTTGTGCTTTACGGTCATTTTATGCTAATTCCTTTGTCAAAGCGTTTTGTTTCCTCCCACACAGCTTAAAAGGACGCGACCTGGGCTGGACTGTCTTCACTCCAACGCTGTCCTCGTGACAGTACGGTCCCCTTCACCTGATGAAGGCCACTTGTGTTATGGCCGAAACGTCGTGATTTTTGTTGTTTTATTTTTTACCTACGTGACTTTACCGAATAGAACCAAAGAGAATTAGACCCAAGCCGAAACATAACATATAAAAAAGAATGTTTACAAATATATATTTTATGATAGAATCTAGTATTGTCATCAGCATGACATAAGTATACTAAGTTTGCAGTCGATGCCACATTGGGAAGTGGGTTGAAATTTAGTTACAAGATTTGAGGATACAACGACAACAACAACAGAGTGAGTTAATAAAAAGCGTGTAAATAAAAAACAAGGGTGGTCCAGATGTATTGTGACCCCCCAAATATATTTATTGACCCCAAAATCCTTTTTTGTTGCTTTGTATATTAATTTATGTTTTAAATAAACCTTACTTTAAAAAAATATTACATTTCATAGAATTAAATGTGGAGGGGGGGCACAAGACATCTGGACTGTACTCGCCAGAAAAAAGGGGGGCATTTCCCTTCTCGATGTGAAAGAAGATTCATTGCCTGAAACGTCTTTTGTTATATCTTCACTTATCTTGACCTTTCCTTCACCCTGTTCAGCCCTCTAGCCCCCTAGTGGCTGATATACCGTCACTACACATTGCCGTGTTAATATCTCACAATACAACGGCCACCTCAGCATAAGCTCCAGCCCCCACCCTCTTGCCCAATGCGGCACCCCCCCCCCCCCTCTCGGCTCTCTATAAAAGGACTTGTTGCAGCAGCAGCCTGTTTATTACTCCCACCTGAAGACGGTTGCTTGTGTGGCAATCGAAACGCCGTGATCTATTATTATTTTTCTATCTACGTGACCTTACCGAAAGAACCAAAGAGTATGAATTCCTGCAGTCACGAAAGCTTCAAGTCAAGTCTTGATTTGAAGTTTTCGTGACTGCAGGAATTCATATTCTTTGGTTCTTTCGGTATTATTTTTTCTTTCCACGTGACTTTACCGAAAGATCCAAAGAATGCGTCTATTGTTATATTTGCCTATTCGCCCACCCTATTAAGGCAGCTTGATACAGTACATGTGTAGTGGGTATAAATGTAGAGCGAGGCTTCTCTGGAGGCAACACGTTTATTATAACAATACTCGCTAACACAAAGGGGTAGTTGCCCCTTCCACCAGGTAACCTGGGGAGGTAGTCCCTCCGGGCTAACGAGCCCTAACACAACTGGGGGAGGCCTTCAAGCCCAGACCCCGACTCGAGTCCTGGTCTTGACTTCGGTGCTTCGGCTTATATTCCCAGTCCCGGGGCTTCCTCCGCCCCTAGGCACGCCTCCCTTCTCGGACCTTCCAGAGGTCCCTGGAACCGGTCCCGGGGTCCCCCAGCCCCCCTCTTTGGGGGCCCCACCCCCGGTACCTCCGGCCACCGGCCCTCCGGGTTCATTCGGAGTGCCATGCCCCCCTGTCACCCCTGGGCCGCTCCAGGTGCTCTCGCTCCCTCGCCTCCAGGGGCTGACACTGCACACGGAGTGCAATGTCGCACAACCTGCCGTGCTGTAGGTGGTGTGAGCAGCGTGTCTCCTGCTGCACACACAGGCCGGCCTTACGTGGCATGCAGTGGCATAGCCCGATGCCACTACACATGTGCAGTGACGTAAATGGTGTCACTAGGGTGTTCGCACCAGCTACTGTTACAGTAGTGCAACTAGATTTGAAGCTTTCGTGACTGCAAGGATTCATACTCTTTGTTTTTTTCGGCAAAGTCACGTAGATAAAACAAAATCAAAATAGAAGAAAACTAAATCAAATCATGACGTTTCGGACTTTACCGAAAAACCAAATAGTAGTGCAACTGTGCGCCTGGAGCCTCTCTCGAGCACCAGAGTAAGTGCGGCGTGTCAGCCAGCCCTAGGGGGCATAGTCCTGGTGATGGCTTGAGAGAGGGCAAATGAGGACACGGTCGCCTGAGTGGGGCACTTGATGCTCGGTCGAGATCCTTCGGGAAAGGTCTCGATGGGGGCGTGGCCGAAGGTGGAGCGAGGCCACGCCCAGGAGCATCAAGGGGAAGTCCAGAGAGTGTTCTGGGCGAGTCTGTGGAATCAAGCCTGGGTCCCACGTCTCGTCCTCCCCGGGTCTTCGTCTAAAGTTAACTCGCTACTCACAGCACGACAATTGATTTTTCTGCACTGACATCTTTTGCACACCATGTAGTTCCAATAATACATAATATAATACCACTGCCATTACAATACAGATTTCCTAACATCCCCCTGGACACGGACATCAATGAAACAAGTACTCGAGAACATTGTCTGGATCGTGTAATCACACTCGCAGCAGAGGGCAGGCCAGCCAGAGACCGACACAGTCGGACGTTGTACATGAGTGAGTTGCCATTACACGCTGACCTGTCATTTTGTCGCTGACGTAAGTTAGAGAGCCGCACTCTTCCCTAATACTGTCAGTTATACTGGTAGGAACCTCCTGGTTACACCAGCCCACAGGGGATTATTGTGTCCGTCCATCGTGCATCCAAAAATGGGAGGGGTGGAGCTGGGTGGAGCTGGGTGGTGAGGGGATGGTGGGGCTGGGTGGGGAGGGGAAGGTGGGGAGGGGCTGGGTGGGGAGGGTGGGGCTGGGTAGGGGGTGAGAGAGGTGGGGCTGGGTGGGGAGGAGCTGGTCACCCCGTAGTGCCCTTATAAAACTCAACGTTTAACCGACTCACGCCAGCTTGTGCCCGCCCTCACAGTCGGGCATATGTGCGGAATACACCATGCCGCCGTTGACCCTGGCCATTGACCGAGCAACCCAACGTTCCTACCAGCTCCCTCCGCAGGAATGTGTTTTAATTGTCCAGGAAAAAAAAGCCTCGCCTAATTTTCCAAAAAGGTCATACCTTGGGATGCTTGGCCAAACCCTAACGCTTACAATGCGCCGTGCAAGTGTGAGACTCAATGCATGGATTAGTTCTACGAAAACTATTTTAAACAATTTACCAATAAATGCAATCCAAGTTTCCTACACAGCTTAACATAATTGAGGAACAGTCCATTAAAAAAAATCGATTTAATCATGATCAGCCACTGGTGAGGCCAGTGCTGTTTTATGGGGCCGAGTGCTAGGGCACAAGAAAGAGGGAGGGGACCAAGCTATGGCAGTCACAGAGATGATGTTTCAGTGGATGTTGGGTTTGACAAGCAAGGACAGGATCAGAAATCAAGAAGTGAGAGGAAGACTCAATGTGGTCGACATCACAGAGAAGATGAGTGAGAAAAGGGTGGTGTGGTTCGGTCATGTGGAGACACAACAGGAAAATTACGTGAATCAGGTGGCAGGTGATGGAAGGAAAGAGATCAAGAGGAAGGCAGAGGAAGGCAGAAGAGGTGGGGGGCGATGTGGTGCGATCGGACATGATGGCCCGAGGAGGGGAAAGAGAGATGGAGCTGGATAGGGCAGCATGGAGAAGGTTGGCGAGGACAGCAGACCCCACATGAGTGGGATAAACGCGTGGAAGAAGGAGCCACTGTTAATCCACTGCGGGTTGAAGGCCTCCTGACACCCTCAAAACACCCTCGTGGTCATGCAATGCCAAAACTCCACTAATTAGTTTTACCTTGAATTTATATCAAAACACATGGACATGATTTACACTTCATCAGCCACGGTTAGCGGTCGGCGACTTTGGAGCCGCATGCGGCTCTTTAAGGACTGCTTCGTGACATTATTTATTAAAGACCACCGTCTCGCATTCATATGAAGGGGTATTTTTTGACCGAATTTGAAAAAAAAACTCTTGTTACTTTGGTTGTCAACCCATGCTCACGGTCAACCCCCTGCTGGACAACGGCCCACCCAAGCCACCACCATCTCTCATGATCCTCCGATGTAATGACCTACCTAGTACTTGCATAAGAGCTGCTGCCATCACTCCTCTGTGAATCTCATCTCAAATGCATTCCATTCCTTTTGGCTGACAATCCGTCATTATTCTTTAATATCTGCCACCATCTCTTCTCGAGACATGTCTTGCCCATTCCCACCGACGTTTAATTAGAACTTGTAAAAAAATGTAACTCAATAAAAAATTTCACTCCTACATTTATCCAGCTTATATAGAATTGGTGACGCTATCCTGTAGGTGGTTATGCAATTTGCAACACTTTTTTTATTTGGACTTTCTGTCGAATTGCCTTGCCATTTGAAATATCCCCAAGTCTGCCAATGTTCCAAGCAGGTGGAATCCTCATGAAGGCATAATAGGGACCTTTTCACATTTGGGTAAAGGGCCTTTTTTGCTCATTTGAATAAAGAACACATTGGAAGAGGGAAAAAAATACATTGAGTTAAAATTAAGTGACATTAACCTTGGGCGATACCATCATATTCCTCTTTTGAATTAAGTCATGTGAAAGGGCAAATTACATTTAAACATAACATTTCTTTTCGCGGTGCTCTGGGAGCCATCTTGCCATGTGGCTGTGCACACAGGAAGATGCCCGGGTGTGCAGGGACTCAACGCTGTAATATTTTAGGTTATTTAGTTAAAAGCACAATCTTTTTTATTTTATTTTATACATCTCGAATAGTATAAAAAAAATACTGTAGAGGAATTAAGGAGCCTACCGAGTGGCAAGGTCAGAGCGCTTAGCTGTCAGAGATGTGATCCCGAGTTCAAATAAAGCTGGTGTGGATGGCCTCAGCATGGCCATCAGTGTACAAAATTGGTTTGTACTTAATTTCGTTTTTTAAAAATGCATCATTACTCTATGCACAAGAGCAAGGTGATAATGCGCTACACCCGAGTGTAGACAGGCCAACTGCATGCCTGGATCATGTGTTAATTGCCCATAACTCAAGTGTCAACTACAAAAATGTAATTCAGTGAGATCACACCAGATCCCACTTTGCTGAGAAATTAAATCGATGAGACCTCATTGTCTTCAGAAGCCAGCTATGGATATTATCCCCAGCAACATATGAATGGCCTATGGCCAAATCACCCAGAATGTACCCAATATTTATCATATCTCAGCAGCTAAGCAGGGTTGAACCTTGATAATGAATGCTTGGATGGGTGAGAACCATGCATAAAACAAGGACGTTACCAGCAAAGGGCAGTGCAGCAAAATCCAATGTTGTACTGTACTGCTCCATCTAGGTGTTTCATCTTCAGTGTTGTGCAGCGAGGTCGAATCACCCCCACAGCATGTTAGCAAGATTCCCAAAGAGACGCGTTGAGTTTGAAAACATTTATTCGTACTATTATTACTCAGCTTAGGTCCCACCAGATGATCTCCATTAAACTGTACATAAACCGCGGTGCATCCGTTATTTTTCTTTACATAGAAAAACTATATATGGCTGTTCCATATACATTGTTTAATTAACATCCACCAGCGATTTCGACTGCTACACCCTCACCACAGCTGTGAATGATTGGAAATTTGTTTTTACTAAGTATTGGGCTGATAAAGTCATTGCGCACAATCTTCTTTGCAATCCCCGCTAATGTTTAAAGTCAAATTTCTTACATCTCACTTTTTTTAAATTTCATATTTGAATTCCATATATATTATTATATATACCACGACCTAAAGTACACGCATCGACCCGCATATAATTAACGCATATGAATCAACAGCAAAACAAATTTATACACTTTGTCCGACTCCCTCTCTCCCCGAGAGCACAGCGCAAGCAGAGAAGTCATCAAAGAGCGAGAAGAAACCGGAGCTCATTTCCAGCATAACAGTGCTTTTTTCACGGGACGGATAAGGTGGCGTCTGAACATACCCCCCCCCCCCCCCCCCAAACCAGCAATGCTTCCACGTTCGAGCTTGTGCTCTATGCTCCCACCGTAAGCTACGCCGAATGCACAATGCTGCCACATTGAAGCACGGGCACGCGAAATGTCACGTCCGAATTAAGCAGCCTCCAACAAGGCGAGCGCTGGAGAATGGGGATTCCTAGTCAAACGCAATGCCCTTGTTGCAAGCCGGCACGGCAAAGACACGCTTCATCTAGGATTGGCTCCAACACCGCACGCTCGCTGTTATAATAGTGTTGCCGTATAATTTTCTTCTCCGAGGGAAATCCGTCTCCCGAGTTGCACACCACGCCGTGGACGTGGGCTGCATGCTCAATGCCAGCCAGCCATCTAACTCTACACTGCGAAGCGAATGACCCCACGGTCGCCCAGCTACTTCTCAGTGTAAACTGTAAATGTATCTAACACCCCCTGCCATCAAAGCACCGTGATATGACGATGACCATGCAAGCGGCTGCACGTAGCCAAAACAGAATTTTGGACTCTGCTGTGCCAAAAAAAATTACGTTGGAGTTTTTGTTTATTTATTTGCGTTGTTAAACAACTTAAGTTTCAAGGCCAACATACAATGGAAAAAAAGCTATTGTACCAATGTGAGATAATGCAACGATGAACACTCAAAAAATAAATCTTTGACAAGGACATTTTTGCAATGCATTCCCGGTGCAGGTGGACTTAGCGGACACCGCTGCTAAACTGAAGACCTCTGATTACAGAGTATGATGTTGTTTATATAACTGTGGTTCCAATATACACACACACACATTCCCTTCAGTAAATACAATCCCCCATACCAAAATCAGACTCCCAATTAAATGTACATTAAATTATAGGAGCACTCTCGGCCCTTGGAGATTAACACAACGTAACACGAAAGTGATTCAGCGAGAGACCGCCTGTGCGTGCGCGTCATAAAATGTACCAGCGCCCTGCACACACACAGCAATGTATAAAAAAAAGTCCATAAAGCTTCACAAAGAAAAACACATCAATGAAGATCTCCACACCCATAAAGTGTTCACAGTTTAGTGCTTGCTCAAGCTTATATCTTACACCTTTACCACATCAGCAGGCCTCTTGTGCATGGATCCAAGCAAACAAAAACAATTTTGAACTTTTTTTTTTTGCCTAAGTCATGAAGGAGTACACGGTGTTTTTATGTCACTTTTTAGTTTTTTACAAATATGCAGCTTGACCCAATCTAACAAATAATTGGGCTTTTTTCCAGTTAAAAGCATCAATATAAATACATGCAATGCTGTACAATTATTAATATACTTTAATACCCTTTCCGAATGTTCATATGACCTGCCGTCGGTATCTTAAATAGGAATGCAGATGGTCTGTCGATAACAGGGCAAGGTTGGGTAAGCGTTTAGCCAGCACAAGAGGCGGTGGGGGGGAGGGGGTAAGGCTACAGACGTGGGCATGATCACACTTCACCACTGTGACTCTCAAGAGAAATCTCTTCCGTCGAAATCATCGCAAGCTCTTCAACGCCTCCCGCCCTGAGAGAAGCGCACACCAATTGTAGTAAATGTTTACAGCTTAGTCACTCGCAGAGGACAAAACCCTCCGGTCATGTGACGTACATTTCACCTTCTCGAGTTGAAAACCTTTCCGTAACTGAATTAAATGACAAGGACGACATTATAATAATAATAGTACAGTAATGATGATAATAATAACAACTGTGAACTTACAATCAAATGTACCACCCTTTTCTCCTTCTTTGCTAAGCGGAACAACGGAGACATCTCTACTTGTAGCCGGGCGTCTCCGGCTGCTGCATGGAAATGCCAAAGACGGCGCCGATGCGGAGGAAAAACTTTCGCAGCACGGTCCTCAGCTCGGGCACGAGGTCGAACATCATGATCTCGCACAGCAGCGGGTAGTAGCTCGAGGCGTGGGCTCGGAACTGGGCAACAAAAAATAAACGGGAGGCACCGACGGAAGAGTTAACAAACATATAGCCCGATGCGCCAGGAGAAATACCCGTGCATACGACGGACGCGCAGTCAGCTGTGAAATCCAGTTGCTGTGTTGCCCTCGACTATAACGTTGTTGCAGTATGTGATACAGAATTTCAGTAGCATATGGACCGAGATGAGGCTTGCTACGAGTGTGATACAGGACTGCCAACTCTGGCTCGTTGGGCACGTGGCTTCCTGGCTTCCCCCCTTCGGTTGACCCTGCCCACCTGGGGTCTCTGAGCTCGAGAACCTCGTGGGTGAAGGAGGAGGCTAATGGGGGTTTGGCCAGAGGCCCAGTGGTGCATAGCAATCGGCCGCTCCCTGTTCAGACTCGGAGATAGGAAGGGGGTTTGCGCGGTGGCTTTGCCCAGAGGGACCACTAGAAAGGGGCTCTCGCTTGGGGGGCTTTGCCAGGATGGGCCCTCTGGTTCGGTGCTGGTGAGTGCCTGCTGCTGCCCAGCGCACGCACCCACACTTCACTTGAGGTGGTGATATATTGTCCACTTTTATTAGTTGGGGGAGTGAGACTATGTACGATGTGGACACCCACTCGCTCGTCGCTGATCTTGAGGATCTTGGTGAGGAAGAGCAGCAGGAGGTTGGTCCACGCCTCCCGGTGAGACTCAGAAGTCAGTGACAAGAAGTAGCTGAACGCCTCGCTGCACGCCCTGCAAACAAAATACACCAATGGGACGGTTAATACTACCGGCTTCCTTGGCGAACGACTGACAGCATGAAGAACAGGGGAATGTTGCAGTAGCTTATGACCAAAGCACTCAGAATGCAGCTGATCTCATCAGATGTCAGGGCAAGGAGGGTATGAAACTCGGATGGATGCATCATAGGTTTTTCAGGCTGTTATGGTGCTCCGTTGTGGGCAGAAGAGGGCAAAACTAATTGTTGTACTGTACTTCCATACTCCCATCTCAGATGGTGTCCATTTTCAACAACGCGACCTGACCAGCGTGGTGACATACGGTTCTAATAATCCCCACGACCCACATGGTGTAGGGGAGGCCCACATCCAGTATTCCTCGACTGCTCAGTGAACGCTGCACCGATTGAATTCGCTTGGAACGGCGCCGTACCCAATGAGGCGGTTCTGGACCTCTCCCCAGGCGTTCTGCCTGCTCTCGTCCATGTACATGCGGAAGAGGATGCGCAGCGAACACGCCAGGCTGCTCGTCTCCTGCTTCAGCAGGTTCGGCTTTGACTTGCCCTTAAACCCTGCATGAGCACACACAAATTGGACGCGCACACACGGGCACACACACGGGTGGCACACATACAGGCAAACATACACGTATAAGCACACACACATGGGTACACAGACACAATGACAAAGATCCCCATATAGGCTTAACATACTTGGGGCAAGTGCTATTCGCGAGCACCTATGAAGGCCGGCACAGCACGCGAGGGGGTGGGTGGCCAACACCTTGCCCGGCCGCCTTTGTCTCCCCATTGGCAATGTTTACACATCACAGCAGGTACTCATTTGAGGCTGAGTCGACCTAGGAGGGACCCAGGACCGATTCAAATAATCGTCACTGGAATTCGCCGTGAGCGGGAATCAAACCCGGGTCACCAGGTTCATAGCGCACAGGCACACGAGCACAGACACATACACACACACGGAAACACATACAAGCACGCACATGCACATACAATGGCGTGAAGCAAGCACAACCACAAAGCACGCACCGGGGTTCCCATTAAGAAATAGGAGACATAATTCTCACTAATTTAATAAAAATTTCAAGATTTTTATTGGTATCGAGTGACTTCCCCTTTCACTAAAGCAATTTGTTTCCATTTAACAGCCTCCACTGGCATTGTGTTTGGCGATGTATACATTTGTGACATTATTTACCTAATTATAGCTGTACATTAGTAAATCCAATTCATATATGTAGTGTTCCTCTCATTGAACCCTCTTTTACCGTGACCTGAACACATTCATTAACATATACATAAAGGATGTGTAAGATTCCATCTTATTTATGACAAGAATAAGCAGTTCTTTTAGGACGTATACATATTTAACCCTCCTATCAATTTTCCAAGCGATTTTTCAACAAATAACTTAATCGGACCAAACAAAGTAAACCAAAAATCTGACCAGTCCTAGTTTTCATTTAATACGGTAAAGCAGTGGATCTTAACCTGGGGGGTGCACACACCCCCTGGGTGTGCGAGAAGCCCTTTCAGGGGGTGCAAGACATGCCAGATTTTTTTTAAAGCTACATAATCGAAAACATAATTTAAGCCTGGGAACGTAAAGTACAACTACTTTGTTCCATCAAACCTAAGTATTTATTAACATTATACTTTTTTGTTACGATAGAGAACCAAAGGGGTGTAAGACTACAGTAAAGGTTCGGAACCACTGCGGTAAAGTATCATTTTAAAAACGACTGAGAAATTCTTCTCAATTGCACTTCCACAAGCAGACAACACAGTCCATGAACCAAGGCCCAATTTTGGTGGTACCGCCTAAAGCGGCATAATTTTAGTGGTTCTCATTTCTTTGTGCGACCAACAACAGCCAACTGTGATAACCATTTGAAATGAGTGGGTCATCAAATAATTCACCCTTATTGGACATTTTAAATACACAGATACAACAAAGGTTTTGTCACCTTTATTTAATTATTACTATTGAACAAAAGCCCGGTACAGAGCGCAAGCGGTAAGGGGGGGGGGGCACAGATATTCCGCTGACAAAAAGCCCTGAGGTCAGGTGCTCACGGGGTAGGAGAATGGGGAAAAAAGTGGGCTCACGTCAAGACAACGATGGCATTTTTAGGGAAGGTTTTCCAACTCAAGTGGTACCAATCTCTGCTCTGGCCCACGGATTAACAGTTGGCTATGAGCAGCTTTGCCAACGCAGGCCAATACAGGCGTTGCCGGGGCATTAAACTAAGAGGGGAACAAAAAAAACACTGGTTGCGTGCGAGGCCCCTACCAGCCTTCCAGAGTGCGGTACGCTGCTCGTGGCTGGCGTTGAAGGCCTTGGCGAATCGGTGGGACTCGAGGAGGCAGTCGAGCAGCTTGAACAGCTGGTTGGAGCTCAGGTAGCGGTACATGCCCTGGTCTTCCGTGTCAATGTGCACGTCTGCGTCAGAGTCGCGCTGCGATCAGACAATCGGCAAGCGACATCAGTCACAGGCAAAGTTCGGGTTTCCCGTTACTTTCGTTTAACTCGGGTGAGAAGTCAAAGAGAGACGAGGATCGAGTCTCAATCGTTGCAAGAGTGACCCGAGTCACCGAAATGAGGAAAGCAAAACAAACAAAATTAAGCAGTCGTGAAGTAGCGCAATTTGAACAAAAAAATGTTGTTAGGAATGGAAAATATTGCAAAAGTAAATTAACGTTCAATCTAAGCTAAGTATAAAATTCCCCATGTTTACGGAACAAGCATTAATTCTCACATTCAGGGAACACGCATTGAAATGCGAGCATATGAATGCAAAATATATACGCTAGTTATCTGCGGACGAACCTTCAGCCTAACAGACTCAAACGAGCAGTAACCCCCAAGGCAAATGGCACAAAACTAAAACAAGAACCGATTATTGAACCGCATCGTGACCCCGAATCACACCTGGGCTGCGGCAAGATTCTCGGCGTCCTCCTTCTTACTGGTGGCGGGGAAGAACACGATGTTGTCGATCGTCTGGATGAGCTCCAGCTGGACCACGCACTTGATGAGCAGTGCGGCGAACAGCTTCTGCTCGGACATCCCTGCGTGCGGCACAGACGTGGCAGGCGTGAAGGGGGGAGGGGGGGGTTGCGGCACCAACTCCTGCCAGCACAATGTCTGTGTCTGTATGTTGAACTTCTTCCACTGTGGTGCGGTCTCCACTTTGGCTGCCACTCCGTGGATAGTTCTGACCAACCGGCCCCCGCGAGCCCTTCTTGCAGCATGTCTTGCTCAGGCCCACTTAATTTTTCTCAATGATTCATGCGATGGACTCCAATTGTGCGCGTGAAAAAGTAGGCCAATTTCCCTGTACTCCACGTTGTATGTATGTATAACACATAGGTCTTCGCGACCAAAATCCATAATACAGCTTTTTTTGGGTTAGATCGTGTACAATATGTGTCGTTAAACCCGCCACCACCCGACAGCCAATCACGTAAACGGAACATGCCAATTCATTACTAGTACAGCACACCGGTGTGTTGGAGAGCAAAGCTACAACATTTACAATCGTAAGATTGTAAAAAAAAATAAAACCTGTATTATGGATACGTTTTGACTTAAAACTTTCGTGACTGCAGGAATTTATATTCTTTGTATTTTTTCAATAATAATAAAAAAATAAAGTGAATACAAATAAAAACAAATACCATGACATTTCGACCATTAAACTTAAAACTAAACTTGTCTTAATTGACCAAGTAAGGGCCACTGAGCTATATAGCTCTTCTTAAGAAGCCACAAATAATAGCTCAACAAAGTGACTTATCACGCAGACAATTATAGCAACCAAATACTCTAAAAAAACCCAGGACCCCCTCAGCATGGGGCATGCTGCCCTCATCCAGCATTGGATTGACAAATAGCTATAATCTATCATCAGAGCAGCTTTTTTTACTTTAAACTTTCGTGATTGACAAGATTAGTGACCAGTGCTGGCGCCATACAGAGGCCCGCGAATGTCCTCCTTACTCAGGCCCTTCCCGCAGCCCTGCTTGTCGCCCGCTGTCGACACCAGGCTGAACTGGCTCTGCATTGTGAATGGTGCTGGCGTCATGGATTAGTGAACGGTGCTGGTGCCATACAGAGGCCTCCTTACTCAGGCCCTTGCCGCGGCCCTGCTCGTCGCTCGCTGTCGACACCAGGCTGAACTGGCTCTGCTTCCAGGTGTCGCCCGATGGCCGGTCAGCGTGTTCGTCCGTGCGAACCGACACGTCGAAGGAGCGCTGCGACACGGCATCCTGGCCATCGACGGCAGAGCGGGAAGCGCAGGGAGGGGGAGACCGGAAGACGAGGGATGGGTCAGGTCGGTCAACTTTATCGGGTCGTGCCCGCAAGCGGCAATCCTGCCAAGCCAGACGAACGTGATTCATGCAACGGCTCTCGCCCTCCCCGGGGAAGTTGCTTACCGAGGGCTTTTCGCTGCCATCGCCGTGAGACGGAGAGGACTCGCCCTCCACCCCCACGGGTCTCCACGTCAGCAACCTGGTGGCATCAACACCAAAGGATTCTCGTTTGAAACGAAATGCACAACTGGTGACGGAATGACGGGCAAAGGGAAAAACACACCAAACAGGACAACTGCTGTGGAGATGGAGCGACGATGCGATCCACCCGTGTATAGCGGTGACATGGATTGCACCGCTGTAAGACTGTGAGGCACGGCAATGGTACGAGGACTTAATCTAGCAGTGGATGGACAATGGCTGATGATGATGATGATGATGCATCATTGAGCTTAATAAGCTGCCACAAGCACAATACTGGTAGTTATGCTTACTTTCAAGGTCCACCTTCTCCAGTTATCAGTGAAGTTCATGTATTTGTACTATTTATAAAACGCCAATTGCACGCTACAAGATCCACAGGGTTGCTCTGACTTTGGCCAACAATAATAATGCTCATGACAATGGTTGTGATGATGGATTGACACCGTAAAATGCACAGGTGTACAGGTGGTAGTTATCTCGGTTAACCCATAACGCCTAGGCTAATTGCGCGACCTCCTGCCAGCGAGCCTTACGAACACCGAATGTGGCCTCCAAGTGCACCTTGCCTGGCACAAGCGCCTTGGTGGCATCTTCAATTGTCGTCGTTGACGAAAACGCTGCCACTGTTAATAACGATAATCGTGATTACAATTTCCACGATGGCAATGCGCCGCGAGCACGTGACCAAATAAGTTTGGCTGGTTTTGCGTGTGTCTCACGCGTTGGGGATGGTGGTCTTGAAGATGTCGAGCATGCAGGAGCACGTCTTGTCCCACGTGCTCGGCGAGAACTTCTCTCCGTTGAGAATCACCACGTTCTCCAGACAGTTGGTGCCCGAGCGAGCCAGCTGCTCGTTGTCTGTAAGAAAGCAAAGATTGATCCACGGGCACCCGTCGACAACACGCGCACAAGTGAAACGTCACGTCTTAAGCGTCAATGTACATTAAGAATTTACAGAATCTGAATATTTATTTATACTGGAGCAAAGTTAAGAGCTATAAAGCTCTTTCTCACAGATGTTACAACAAACATCACAAAAACGCGATAGGAGTGCAAAGTACAGGAAAGGAAACACGTTATCACCCAAAGAAACATACAAATAAAACTAAACCATCCTACCAGGCAAAGACCACGGAAGTTTGAACTTATTTTTCAGAAGGGACCTGGTCACAAATGATAGCTCAACAAAGTGGCTTATCATGTGTAACGTTATAGCAGCAAAATTATCTAAATAACCTCAAAGCACTTTTTTTTAAAAGTGGAGCGGAAAACCCAGAGAACCCTGAGATTTCCACGCGACCACGGGGAGAACGCGCAAACGTACGACGGTAAAAACACCTTGAGGCCTATCACCAAATCACCCGGGATTGCGCTCAATCTCGTCAAGTCTCCGAAGCGAAGCAGGGGTTGAGCTCGGACAATGTTTGGATGGGTGACCATCAGGCACTAACGGGTTGTAGTAGGCTGCAGAGCTATGCGGTGTAAGTGGCAGAGGGCAGTGCAGCAAAATCGATCGTTGTACTGTATTTCTATGCTCTCACATTACACTGGCCGACATCAAAGTACGGTCGGATAACCTTAAAGAGCCACACGGCATGGTGAGGCCCTCATCCAGAAGTGGATTGATAAAAGGGCTGTACATGTGTAGTGACATCACGGATGTCACTGTGTGGTGCCGGCCTTACAGAGGCACGGCGTGCGATGTACTCGCATCGCAGACATCACGTATGTAGCGACATCCTGGATGTCACTGGGTAATGCCGGCTCTAGTGAGGCACAGCGTGCTTTGTATTGCCATCGCGGACACCCCGTACATGTGGGTGTAGTACCGGCCCTAGAGGGGGCTTGGTGAGCACTGATTGACAGCGCAGTACCGACCCCTACAGGGTAGGGTGTGAGAGTGCGGGCCATAGGAACGGGGTTACTGTGGGCCATGGCACTCTCGTTGACCCCGAAGGACACGTGACCAGTGGGGGCTAGGGGGTGGTCACGTGTCGGGGTGAGATCCTACGAGAAGGGTCGAGAAGGTGGTCGTGGCCAAGGGCGGGGCCAGCCACGACCAGTGAGGATATAAACCGGGTCCCCACAGGGACCGGGGTTCAGCGTTGCTGTTGTCATCTACGTTCTACGTCCGAGAAGAGTCACCAACACGCGGACCTGGACCCAAGCTGGGGTCCTGTCTGTTGTAGCTCCTCCCAGTGTAATTAGGGTAGTGAGCCTGGTGGTCCACCATCATAGGGTGTAGTTAGCCTGGTGGTCCACCACCATAGTGTGTAGTTAGCCTGGTGGTCCACCACCATAGTGTGTAGTTAGCCTGGTGGTCCACCACCATAGTGTGTAGTTAGCCTGGTGGTCCACGACCATAGTGTGTAGTTAGCCTGGTGGTCCACCACCATAGGGTGTAGTTAGCCTGGTGGTCCACCACCATAGGGTGTAGTTAGCCTGGTGGTCCACCACCATAGTGTGTAGTTAGCGTGGTGGTCCACCACCATAGTGTGTAGTTAGCGTGGTGGTCCACCACCATAGTGTGTAGTTAGCCTGGTGGTCCACCACCATAGTGTGTAGTTAGCCTGGTGGTCCACCACCATAGGGTGTAGTTAGCCTGGTGGTCCACCACCATAGTGTGTAGTTAGCCTGGTGGTCCACCACCATAGGGTGTAGTTAGCCTGGTGGTCCACCACCATAGGGTGTAGTTAGCCTAGTGGTCCACTTCCATAGTGTGTAGTTAGCCTGGTGGTCCACCACTATAGGGTGTAGTTAGCCTGGTGGTCCACCACCATAGTCTGTAGTTAGCCTGGTGGTCCACCACCATAGGGTGTAGTTAGCCTGGTGGTCCACCACCATAGGGTGTAGTTAGCCTGGTGGTCCACCACCATAGTGTGTAGTTAGCCTGGTGGTCCACCACCATAGCGTGTAGTTAGCCTGGTGGTCCACCACCAAAGTGTGTAGTTAGCCTGGTGGTCCACCACCATAGGCTGTTATCTGGTAAAGGGGCAGTTACCCCTTTGTGTTAATGTGTTGGTATCAATAAATGTGTTGCCTCCAAGAAGTACGTCTGTGACTCAGTTAAATCCACTACACATGTACAGAAAGTTTGTGGGATAGTTCTTTTCTCTGTTCATTAAATAAAGATCGACATTGAGGACCTTGAAATGTTATTAGGAATTTTCTACATCGATTAGAATCAGAATATGTATTTATATGGAAGGAATCTGATGAGCCACGAAGCTCTTTTTCACAGATGTCTGGTAAGGGGCGGGTAAGAACGTTACAACAACAACAGTACAAAAACACAATGGGAGTGCAAAGTATAAGAAAGGTAAACAACTAACCCAAACACATACAAATAAACTAAACTATCCCCACCAAGTAAAGCCCACTAAGGTATTAACTTATTATTCAGAAGCTTAAATCAAATTCTGATCGAGCAAAAGAAAACCTTCTTCCTCAAAACATTACAAAATATCCAGCAGCGTGCACCTCTGATCTTTGAGCCATTGAATGAAGATTAAACAGCAAGTGGTATGTGCTCAAAACAACATGCTGCTGGATGCATTGCAAAGCATTAGTTAATAAGGCTGGAAAGCTGAAATCCATAAAAACCCCACTTTCTTTACAGTACTGAAAAACAGGCCGAAAGAAGCCATCGCCGGTCAAAACAACAACAACAAAACTGTAATATATTTCATGCCGTGGCACTTAGTGGCTCAGGTTGACGCTCTGGGATCGTGAACGCGCGATTAACTGCGTGTTCGGCAATTGGGGCCATGCTGCTATTGCAAGCTATAAAGCTGCGGGGAGAAGTGCATCCTTAAAAACAATGTTCAAGCTCAACGGTAATTGTGCCCGGGGGGGGGGGGCTCCCGGTATCCTAACGCGTCCACGTCAAAGTGCCCTGGACTTCAGCGATGATCCCCCGTGCGATGCGGATATGGGGAGCAATGCATACGTTACAACGGCACTTTCATCTGTAAGCACGAAACAACGTTTTTGCTGAGCAGCATGTTCTTTGTCCTTACGGCCTGTGGCCACAAGAGGCCTATTGCTTTGAAACGGCTGCCAAATGCAATTTATCAATCACTGCAAACATATTCTTATTCTTGGTTCTTTCGGTAAAGTCACGTAGAAGGGAAACAATAAAATAATAAAAATATAAAACAATAAAGTTCTCACGACGTTTCGACTGCAACACAAGCAATCATCATCAGGCATGAAAATGTTTTTCATGCTGTGGTTTTCACACCTGATGATGATTGCTTGTGTTGCAGTCGAAACGTCGTGATAATTGTTTTATATTTTTATTATTTTATTGTTTCCCTTCTACGTGACTTTACCGAAAGAACCAAGATTATGAATCCCTGCAGTCACGAAAGCTTTAAATCAAAATTCACTGCAAACATCTTGTCTTCATTAAGTACGTGAGAGGAATGTCGGCATTGCATTCCTGTGCGAAAGGTGAACCATCATTTTTTGCATTACAATTGGAAAATGTGAAGGTGTGGGTTAATGTGTGGTCTGCTAAGGTTATATCTGTGAAATACTGGACGTATGAAATAGCTTTAGAGCTCATCAAATTCCTCCGGTATAAAGATTCCGATTATATAAGGAAACTGTTACCCCATCGCTGGTGTACATCATCAACTAAGACTTGGACTCTTGGGTTGCTGTTCTGTCGAGACGTGAAAAGGGCATGTGGTCATTGGTGATCAAACTGAGACTATGAAACTCACTGCAATTAAGAACCTGGTTTTATTAAGTGAATGTATATATATTTATTCAAGAAATCACTCCATTGATGACTTGGCATCTACGTATGTATGTTGAACAAATTTTTTTACCGTACGTAGCCAATCGTGCTCATCAAAGGTGCGGGGGAAGGACAACAAACTAAACACAAAGAGCACCAATGAGCCACCTAGTCACTCCTGGCAATAAACGACTTCTTCATACCTGTGCTTTCTAACCAGAGGTGTGTGCGTGCGTTTAAAGGTTTGTGAACTTGCAGATGACTGGACATTGCGGTGTCAAAATCGGCATCTGTGCAGGAGGCTCATTTAAGAACGCTGCTAGGCAGCTGAAGTAACAAGAGGAGGGTGAAGGAGCGACGCTCACAACAATGAGTAGAGCACCAGGTGGCTAAAACGCAGCGAGCTGGTACAATGGGGAGTGCAGGGGGTACATCTGCCAGTTATCATGGTCAATTAACCCATAATGCCTGGGTCTGTCCTCGGATTTCCTGTAGCGATAATTAGTCACTTCATTTTCATCATCATACATACATGCTAGCAGAGTATTGATGATACTCTGAACTTCTTTCACACCATACATAGGCAACCGTGCTAACCTGAGGTGCAAAAACACAGGCATAAGTGCTGTAGTTCTAGTTTTAATGTTTTATCCTCTCTTAGTGCTGTTTTGCTCTGGGGGACGGACATTCTTGCATCAGCTCATTCGCAACCACGTGGCCAAATTACTTTCTGCCATCATTCTACTTCTTTACCAAGCAAAGCACCTAGCCCCGGATGAGGGCCGCGGTGACGCCGCCGCCGCCGCTCTGGGTGGTGAACGACAGCTGCGGCCGCTGCTGTCATTGTTGTCGCGTGCATTTTACAAACCTTGCTGCACACACCAGTAGAGCTGCGAGAAGATGTCATCGAGCAGGATGTCGTCGAGCACCTCATAGTACTGCGTGAATACGTCGCAGATGGCGTAGAGCGCGTGGTTGCAGGTCGTCGTCATCCATTCCGTTTTCTGGTCGGGGGGGGGGCGGGTGGAAATAAAGACGTCGGTAGCGACGACGCCGGAAGAGGGACAAACGAAGCGTAAAAAAAACCATCAGCAGCGACACTGGGCAGATGCGAAGGGCGTCGCTGGAGTTTAGCTGTTATCGAGCGTGCAGAGCAAATACACACCGTTGCCTTCACCAGCCACGTTGTAGAACTCGAGAAGACTGGCGAACTTAAACATAGGAATTAATGAACACTTTACTCCAATCTTATTTGTGGATTACGAGAATATGCTGCAATTTTAAATGTAACTATATATGATAGAAATTTTAATAAAACCTACTTTGAAGTGTAATCCACTCTACACAATACAAAAAAATTTCACCCACCACATGGATTTGAAAAATCCTCCAAAAAAAATCAATAGTCCCATCCCAACATTCTGTCCAAAATCAATAATTAATTCACAGACGCCTGTCTGGCACGTCAAAGCAGCATGCGTCGCAAATGGTTTGATAAATCACACCGTTATTTTACGACACATATTTGTAAAGAGAACAGCATAATGTAGGGGTGCTGTGTTCCAGGCTGCTGTTTAAACGCGAGTGACGTGGAAGTCCAGGCGGCTGTGGATTTCACTTGGTGGCGTATCCAGTGGCAGTGATGCGAACCTCCCTCCCCTCCCGCAATATCTTTATTGCTGTAACATTTCACCCATGTTCTGTCCTATCAACTGCTGTGTGGAGAAGCACAGCACTGTGATAATTAAGTGACTGTGGCCAACGCTCCCGACGGGGGCACCTGGCTTGCAAAAATGCAAATTACAAATATTGACGATCATGACGATCGCTTGTGTTGTGATCGAAACGTCGTAGATTTTTTGTTATTTTCTTTGAACCTATCTACGTGACTTTACCGAAAGACCCAAAGAATATGATGAATTCCTGCAGTCAAGAAAGCTTTAAGTCTACAAATATTGTCTTTTGGAGAGGTCGGTATTTGCTGCTCTCATGTTGAAACTATGCAAATGTCAGACAGAAGTAATGTCTCCTTTCAAATGTGTTTGAATTGGTCTCTCTAAACATGCAAATAAAATAAATACGTAAACATTTGTGGATTATTGAGCTTTGGAACCATATGCTATGTATACTTAAGTTCCTTTTGTCAACACTCCACTGTGGGATGATGGCCACCCCATACCTCGCGGGTCACTGGAGTTTATTTGACCACACTTCAGGATACCGGTGAGTGCGGGTCAGTGAAGTTGAGCAGCATAGGGGTGGAAGCATAAGAGTACAGCACAACAATAAATGTGCTGGACTGCCCCTCTGCAGCAGCCGATAACAACCTGTTTCATGCACAGTGGTTGCCCATCCGAGTATTATCCAGGCTCAACCCTGCTGCTTGAATTCCGACATCTGACGAGATCGAGATCATTCCGGGCGCTTTGAGCATAGCCTCCCCACCGCCCCCAAACGCAATGATCTTTAAACAATGTAAACAAAACAAGATGAAGCATGCCACTATTTACCAATCTCTGAAGCCTGCAAAAGGCTATGGTTTAATAACCTCTGGATACGCCACCTGCCCGATTGATTGTTCACCCGACCCAACACCTCAAAAAGTCGGTGAAAAAAATGTTGCCCCTTACGCTTTTCACCTCTGTCTGCTGCTCGGGCAGCTTCATGTTGTCAAAGATGCGGAACACGATTCGGAAGAGGTCCTGCCACCAGTGCTTCTCAAACGTGTGCCCGTACGTCTTCATGATCTCAAACATCACGGTTAGACCCCTGCGTAAAAAGGGGAGAGCCACATATTGGAGTCGACGATTCTAACAGTCACCGTTAATACGCGTGCTTCACACCCATCACGAAATGGTTTACGCGAACACTTTTTCCCCCCAACGCAAAGCCAAAATTACGGGGCACAACCTTAAAGCAAGGTTCTTCCACTATATATTTTGTGACAGGCCACGCAAAATTATTCTGAGCCCCTGATTTACTGCAAGAGGTTCCATATTTTCATCAAACAATCCAATTAAATATTGAGCAGTAGATTTCAAGCCAATAATTACTCCAACATTCACTCCTTGCCCTCCATTAACCGTGTAACTCATAGCCGACATACACAGCCCCATGTCAATCCAAAGCTGGATGCCGGTCTCCCCACGCTGAACGGGTCGTGGGGGGTTATTTCAAAATACTAAACCGCGCTGGTCAGCACGGGTTTAGGACGGTAGGGAGCAGATAAGTGGCAGCGTAGCTATACAGCACGTCAATGGGTTTTGCTGCACTGCCATCTGCTGTCCACAATGCAGCCCCGCATATATTTGTAACATCGATCACATTTTCACAACAGATTTGTTGGGTTAGATCGCGTAAATATAAATGTGTCGTTAAACCCGCCGCCACCCGACACAGCCAATTAGTAAGGTTTGTCACGTGAACAGAACGTGGCCAATTCGTTACTAGTGCAGCACACCGGTGTGTTGGAGAGCAAAGCCACAACATTTACAATCCGAGTACAACGTTTCGCCATTAATAACTAGCTTCATCAGGCGCCAGTCAGAATTGTGGAGAAATCCTCCTGTTTCGTTCCTTAAATAGAGGGGTAGATGTGATGAAATCACTTGTGAGCTCTTCTTGCGTGAAGTAGTGGTGGAGATTATTTATTTATATGGTAATCAACGTACATTATAAGCATGCACATTATGCTGGCCCATTGTTCTGTATGAATGTTGAACTTGTGCAGAGTTCGTACACAGCCAACCATGCGAATCGGAGGACCTGCCATGGATGGTGGTCACCTGTCCGAGCACTACGCACAGGCTCAACACCGAAACCCTCCTTTAGCGTCGGCGATCCGATAAGAACAGGCGAATCGCGGGCGATCTTGTCAAGGATCATAGTCAACATATCTTCGTCATCATCGGTCATGGACGATGGCCCCTTCAAGCTACAGCCGTCTCTCGACTTGCGATCCTTGATGTAGTACCTCCGATTCGCACGGTTGGCTACGTACGTACGCTGCAAAAGAAGTTCAACACACATACGTACACCTGCCCGACTCCCACGTTACAATCGTGCAGAGCTAACCTGGTGCGGACGTCCAGCTTGCAGCGGTTGATGATGCAGGAGAGCTCGAAGAGGATGGGGAACCACCCTCGCACCCACACGCGGTCCTCGGGCACCACGTTGATGTCGTCGCTCGTGTGCTCGCGGAATGTCTGACAAGAAAGATCAAGAGTCACGTGCAATTAACCCATTCCAAGACGTCTGCAAGTTGGAGGGTGGGGTCCCGTTCAACCGTGGACCTCGGAACACGCAAACGGATCGGCGTTAGTTTTATTCAGGCGTAGTAGCGCCGCTGTTTGTACGCACCGCAAAAAACTGTAGCGACGCAACCACACTCAATGATAGCTGGCGACAAACTGTGCAGCGCACCGTGCCTCCCACATGTCCTTGAGGGAGCCTCGGTACCGATAGCTATTTTGAGTTTTCCACTTTGATGACGTACACGTACGAACGTCATCGGAACGGCACAGGGTTAAGAATGTGCACAGGTTGATCCATTTAGACATACCCCAAATACTTCCAATGACCCTCTCTCAACTTTCTTCCCAACAGATTAATTTCGTGGAAGCAATTGTTTGCTCCATATCTCCAGGAGCAACTGAGAATCATAATCAGAATATTTATTTACACTGGAGGAATCCAATGAGCTACAATAAAGCTCTTTTCCACAGATGTCCAGTAGTTTCACAGGTGGTAGCATGCAGCACCTTGCGCAATTGTATGGTGGTTTCCACCGAGGGTCCCCCAAGCCGAGACTTGCCAGTTGGGGAAATGGAAAGAATGAGATGGAATGTGATGTACAGCGCTTTGAGATGGTGAGGCATATAATCCAGTGCCACGAGATATACGTGCAAAATAAAAATCCCTACAATATTTATCACTACACGGTACTCTTCGGGAAACTGCAGTGGTCTGGCCATTGTAAGCAGGCTTGGCCAACAAAGTTGCAAGAAAGTGTGCCGTGAAAGAGAAAAAAAGAGGAAGGATCCAGATCAAATGTGGGGTTGCAAACATTGGCAAGCGGGATTACGTTCAACCACAGCTGTCTATTACGTCAACCGTGAAGAGACTGTCAACATGCAGTTGTGACCCACCAGTTAAGAGAATTAATGTGGCATTCAAGGACTTCAACAAAGCCATGCTTACACGGCGCGGCTGTAGAGATTGGGTGTTTGTATTGCTCCATTGCCATTGAGCCACTTTGAGAGCGATCGATTTGATCCCTGCTAAGGCCTGCTCAGTCTACACAAGAATTATGAACGCGTGCAGCGTTCTTGCAGGTGAACGCTAAAAGGCACGAGGGTTATTTCTTTTTTTATCACGTGCTCAGAGGAAGTCTGAATATAAATCAAATTAAATGTTTCAATCCATGTGAATGTAATAGTTTTACCACCACCCCATCTCTGCAACTATATTTGAATTATATATAATCTTAGCTCTTTCGGTAATTGGGAAGACCCACTGCGAATGCACCATCTTCAAAAAAAAAATCTTCAAACATTTTCCTTGCAATAATTACAAGCTTGTCTCACACATCCACCGTGATGACATGGGCCCAGATGCTCAGATGCATTTATTTTACACAACGGACAGCGTGTGCGTCGCACCACAAACAAGCTACCTCTTTCACTTGCTTTAACACAAAGACGCAGGCGAAGGGTGTGTGCGCGTGTTTGTGCAATGTGATAATCACAATAAAAGCGCCGTAACAAGGCAAACCATTACAAGAGCGCTGAACAAACAACTAAAACATTAGTCGAGTGCAATGAGAAACAGATACAGTGTCACTTGTGGCTATTGACAAGCAGAGTAGTTTTGACTGAGCTTTTGAATGACGGAAGCTACGCAGCAGCTCGAACAGGCAGTGAAAGACTGTTGCCGGCACGTGGGTCGGCAAATGCGTATTTGTGCGTGTGTGAGGGGGTAGCGGTTAGCGCAGCTATGCTAAGAAACCGGCGACCCGAGATCGATTTCTGCTCACGGCCAATACCGGGAACGATTATCTGAACTGAGCATCCCCTAGGTCGACTCAGCCTCAAATGAGTACCTGGTTGCGATGTGTAATCATCACCACTGGGGAGACAAAGGCGTGGTGCTGGCCACCCACCACCCGCTTCGCGTGCCCTGCCGGCCTTCATAGGTGCTAGTCGCTAACAGCACTTGCCCCAACAGTATGTTCAGGCTTTAGGGGGGTTCTTTGTCTTTGAATGGTGTGTACGTGTGTCAAACGTGGTTATGTTGGGGGCATCTTTGTCTCTGCTCTCACCTGTGGACGCTCTGACACGTATTTGGCACAGTGCCGGATGAGGCGGATGGCCTCCATGCTCGTATCGGGGAAGGCCGCGTTGCAGGCAAATTCCGACAGGCACTTGACGGCATCCTGGAACGAATCGATGGTGGTCGGGAAGTGCCTCTCGAACACCGTGGCTGGGGCAGGACACAGGAGGTGGGAAGAGACGCAAAAAACAAGAGGACGCCGGTGACGTACGGTTAACGAGATCAATTTACTTGAAGTTGACCTGCAGAATGTCTAAAGTCACCAACAGCAATATATATATAATAATGGACTCTTAAGACATTATTTGTGCACCAAATAGCCAAAATGGAAAATAAATTGAAGTGAAAGTGTCTGCAGCTGCTATCGCCACTGTTACCGCATTGTTAGAAACAAATTATTTGCTAAGTATTTAACGAAGTAACAATTATAGAGGGAAGAGTAAAAGGCATGGAGACGTTTTTTCCATCCACAAACCTAAGCAATGCCTGGAACATGACGACGAGTGATGATAATCATGATGATGGCAAAGTACAGTATCTTAGTCATAGAAAGCCATTGCATATTTTCAGGTTCGTGACATGGTGAACAATTGCACACACAGACCCTGCTACAAAGCACAAGCGTGTATTACCATTCATGTAATATAATGACGCATTCATTTGTAATTGTTCACGCGCCTTAAGAACTATTTTGTAAAACGAGCTCCCGGGGGGTGAGGGGGGCAAGCGGTTTCACAAAAACGCTCGAGTGGAGTCAAGCAGCTGCATAGCTCGATGGGGTTCAAGGCTCGAGATGGTGGCGGCGCTGGGTGTGAGTGAGCGATCCAAGTGAAAGCTTCGGCCCCGAAGCAGGCTCAGGCTCAAGAGAACCTGGATTCGTGAGCTCAAATTAAAATGCTAATGTCCATGACAAGCTCACGAGCATTGTAAGGCAGGTAAGGCCCACTTAGCAATATAGTTTTTTTTCAGACGCAACCTGGCTACAAATGAGAGCTCAACGAAGTGGCTTATCATATTGAAATTTAAAGCAGACAGATACTCTAAAAGCATGTTTCTAAATGTGGAGTAAAAAAAACTGGAAGACATGGAGAAAAATCCCACACGACCACAGGGAGAGAGACACGCAAACTCCAAATATACAGGCATCCTGGTCGGGATCGAACCCACGATCTCCTGCATACCAGGCAAGGTAGTTAACATCTTGCCACCATGGCGCGTTTATTGGCACTCCAAAGGGCTTGCGCCACCACTCTGGCGTCAGCGTTCTGGGAGTTTTGCGCTACGCACTGACGATGTGGCTGGTGGTCTGGAACGCGAGCTCCACGATGCTCTCGTCCTGGTCAGACGCTGCCAGGTGGAACACGGAGAAGATGTTCTTCCAGCCCGAGCGGATGTTGGCCGCTTGCGAGTTCACCATCTGGGTTATGCAGCGCACCACCATGTCCCGCACCGTCGGGGACCTGCGCGCCACAGCCAAAAAAATCCGGATGTTCGTGACATTAGTGTGAAAGAAAAAGAAAAGAAGAAAAAGATATATATAAAGGCGCAGCCCTGCAATTGCTTGTTCAAGTAACTGCTGTACGAAGGGTCTCCACGAGAGGGAGCTCTGCAGACCACGTCAACACTGGCCAGATACAGTCTCACCGCACCCACACGCGACATGCAGATCGACCAAGTGTAACGTAGCCATTTATACCGCCAGGCGGATAGAGACAGGGGATTGAAGAAACTTGCACCGTTGTTTGTTAAAATGCCGCACAGGGAGATCAAGTCGGCGACCTCTGGATTGGAAGTCCATTGTGCGGTAATACACCGTCGCTGTATCCCCCTCCCATGCATATAAACCCTGGCAGAAATAAAAAATAAAAAAAAACCTAAGCAATGCAAGTCATTAAAAAGGTTTCAACAACGACAGGCGAACGAGAGAGGGGCCACCCCCACCCCCCCCCTCCCCTCCGTGGAAGAGTGCTCCCTGACCGGTTCCTCTTCATGATGTGCTCGAAGGGCCGCAGGAAGTCCTTCTGGAAGCGGAAGTTGGCAAGCTCGCCCTTCTCCAGGAACTTCATGGAGAGCTGCCGCAGCGAGTCGAGTGCGAAGAACGCCACGTCCTCGTTGGGGTTGCAGCCGACCTGGAGCACAAGGCAACGCGACTCATGTGCCACGCCGGAGGTTGGCACGTGTGACCACTAAGACGTGCTTAATCGTCAACCCTCCCCTGGTTTCAGTGCAATGTTGAACAGCATCAGAACATCGCATGGCAGTTGACGCCATCTCCTAAATGAAGCATAACACGCAACATACTGTGGCCAAACATCCCAACGCCGAAACATTACCTGCGTATTATATGTTGAGTTACAATTACTCATGGCTGCGTCGCTGTTACTGAGAAAATGTTGCAGGATCTTCATGATAAAAAAGGTCCTGATACTCAATGAAGCTCTCTTGGGAAAATAAAAGGATTAAGACAGCTGCATAGAGCTCAGTGGGGTCTTACTTGGTAAAATAAAAACATATTTTGTTTTATGGTTTTATATATATATATTTATATAAAAGATGTACCGGCGCAACGCGATAATTCAACCGGGCGGCAAGTAGCAGAGTAGGCGACGAACGGCAGTGGCCAGAGTTAGGGGACGAGGCTCGCGGGCGCACGCACCTTGTTGAAGTGGTCCCCCACCACCTCCCAGATGCGCGACCACTGCAGGCGGATGCGGCCCATGTTGTAGTAGGAGATCTCCACGATCTTCTGCAGGCTAAACATGCGCGGGTGGGACGGCGACGCCAGCTCGTCCATCGACACGGCGCACAGGCAGCGCACAAAGTCCACTGCGGGAGCAGACGAAAAACCGTTTTGAAAGCCGTTGTCTATTTTTGAATAAATAACATAAAAATGATGGCTTGTTTTATCGCCAAAAGATATCTGAATAAAGGAACCTCCTGAAAAACAAATCCCCTGTTAAATTCTACTTTATCACTGGTGATCGAATCGCAATGATTTAAAACTCGTCAGACCTCAGAAGCTAAGCTGGGTTGAGCCTTGATGGCGCAAGAATGGGCACCCACCGTGTATAACAACAGGTGTTGTAGGCAGGTGCGGGGCTATGTTGTAAGTAGAAGCCAGTGAAGCAACGTTACATTTTGTACGGTACTTTGCTTCGTCTATCTCCCCGCCTTCACACCTTTATCAGCACGTTGAGGTACGGTCAATTAAGCTCCTTGAGCTGTACTGCGTGTGGAGACCCTCACCCAGCAATGAATTGACAAAAGGGCTATACACGTACAAAACGACTTAACCTTCGTTGTGGGCGAGGCAATCAATCATAATGGGTTCGTTCGCATTCAATCCTGAACATCAGTCAATAACAAAAACCAAGTCGGTATAATTCAGACATTGTAATTCAACAAAGCGAATTGGATTTTAGAAAAAAATTTGGGAAATATTTCACTCGATATTCCTTTGGCTTGTAAAATACAACAGTGCGAGCTCACCGATAGCATTCCCGTCCAATCTTGTGGATCCAGTGAATATTCTGTAAGACAAAATTAAAGTAAACGGCAATCGGCGACAGCAGCTCAGAAGTCCGAAAAGCGTACACCGATGATGCTCCGGAATAAACGCTTTGCGAGCGCAAAGGAGCGGAAATTCGTCCTCGTTGAGTTGCAAGCGCACCTGTCGACGGCAACGACCACACTCTGCGAGCTGGTCTCTCCGATGGACTCCTGGATACTGGCGATCTGCTTTCGGTCCACGTTCCCACCTCCCAGCGGACCTGCCATCGCAGCACACAGGATTCGCTCTCGGCATATTGCTTATCTCTCAACCGCGACTGCTAACCCAATTCATTCAGGTTTCTACGGCAAATGTACCGGGGAGAGGAAAGGCTGCGTGGAAGGATCATATGGTTATGGCGATTGTGTCAGCATCAATCATTGGGAATTAAAATGTTAATGAAAACTAGGAAACATTTAAATAATAAAGAATCGATTCGTTGCAACTTATATGCTTGTACATTATATTCCATTAAAATAGCTGTAGATTCAACACGTTTGACCTTACATGCAAGATTTGAATTGTGAATCAACCGATGTATATATGTTAACATACAAGCCAACTGGAAATCTCACTCGTAAGTACAAGCAAGCAGACAAGTCATTAACATTTGCGCGGTTGGCTCAAGGCAGCTCTAGTGGCTTGGGGAGGATGTGGCAGGAGGAGTGGTGGGATGAGTGGTGGGAGGAGTGGCGGGATGAGTGATGGGGAGGATGTGGCGGGAGGAGTGGTGGGATGAGTGGTGGGAGAAGTGGCGGCGGCGCAGTCTCTCACCGAGGCCGGTGAAGTCGTCCGTGGTGATGCCTGCGCCAGACGCCGTGCCCTCACGCCGCCGGGATGTCCCAGTGATGTAGCGCGACTTCACACCCGTGCCAATCAGCTGTGCCAGCTCCAGCTGGCTGATGCACTTGAGAATCTGGGTGGGGGTGGGGGGGGTAGTACAGAGATAATCGGCCATGAACCCTGGGAAACTTCAGGATCCTGAATCATAATAAAAAAAGGTGAATCACAGCAATTGCTTTCTCAGGTTCTTATTGCTGGAAGGGCCTCTACGAGAGAGAAGTTTAGACGCTAATTAGCCTACTTTTCCACCCAGGCCAGGCGGCTTGTGTGTACGTATGTTGAACTAAACACAAATATAAACATAACCTAAACACAACTGTAAGTGCCAAAGAAATGAGTTTTCAATCTAGATTTAAAAGTGCATAGCTCCAGCGGCTATCCTAAAATCGTAAGACCCACACTTTACACCACCACACGAATTGTTGTGGTGTTGGGTGGACAGAGGCAGGTTGCTTTCAGAAACTTTCCCATTGTTTCAACTACCGTGCTCGGAGATCGAACCGGTGACGCCTGGGATACAAATTTCAGTATTAATAACAATCATTTTTTATTTTACCCAGGAAAAACTCAGTGGATTCTCAAGATTAATTTACAGGAGAATGTCGCTTGGGATGTATGACAAAACGTACTGGTCATGCTGCCTCATGAACGCTCAAGGTCAAAGTCACGTGAAGTGGATTTTGTTAATGATTTACTTTCATATTGTTAACCTTCACCCAGTTACAATTTACCAAGTTCTACATACAACATTATAGAGTTTCAGATTTAATAGCACAAGAACTGAATGTTGCTGCCAAACACATATCTTGTTCAGAAAATACACAGGGCTTTGTTTATGATCAGCTATGCAAGCGTATTATTAAACACCGAGCCAGACTGGCAATAACCAGACCAATATAATTAATGGGTCTCTATCTAAACTTGTGGTCCATCAACAATCCACTGCCGAATGAAGGCTGCTCCACATGTTGTCCTAGTCATGGGGGTTGTTTGACCACAGATGTCACCACGCCGGTAAGCGAGAGTTGAAGGGGCACCACCGTTACATCAATCTCCATCTAAAAATAATCCGCCCGAGCCGACTCATGCTACAAGGAATTTATAATTTAATATTGATTTATGTTCGTGCAATAGTTTTGATTTCCCAAAAGATAAAGTTGATTTTGCTCTGATATATACATTTCATCACTGTACTTTATTTAGCTTTTGTCCATTTAGTGACCCAAGTCACGCTTGCAAATGAGACTACCCTGTTATTTAGAGTTCTCGACTGATTAAAACCAAACAAGCTTCAACTTGAAATCGTACTGAGACAAGACAGATTCACCGACGGCTTTAGGAGCCGCGCGATGATTTTCTTAGGGCGTGGGGACGCAGCGGCGCCGCACAGCTCACCTCGTGCCAGGAGTTGCCCAGGTAGTTCCCGTCGGTGTGCGCCACCATGATGAGCGTCTTGATGGTGTCGATGTTCTTCTGCTTCATCTCGGTGATGCCCGAGTTGGCGGTGAGCAGCGTGAAGCGAGCGAGGGCCTGCACGTAGGCGTCGCGCTCCAGCTGCAACGAGGACAGCGATCATTTAACCATCTTTTGGTTCAAACCACGGTTTGCTCGGCACTAGCAAAAAGTGTTTTGACCTGTAGCATGGTTGGTTGAACACAAAATGGAGACAACTCAAGTGAAGTTGGTAGACCAAGTTCTGAATATGGGTGGAGGAATCAATAAGTGAAGTTAATGGGGAAAAATAACCATGGTAGTTGCGATAGAAGAGTGATAAGGAGGCGACTGACCGCCAGTGAGCAAGCGATTGGAAATTAGTGAGTGCTAAATCATCAGCTTTGTAGAGCAAAAACACATAGTTGCCTCCAGACACGTTTAATAACCAAAGACTCAAGTGAACAAATAAAATGTACTTTATTACCTTAGACAGGCTAGTGCACACCTCTCCCTAGGCTAGAGCCCACCTGTCCCTGAGGCTAGGACCCACCTTTCCCCTAGTCTAGCGCTCACCTGCCCCTAGCGTAGCGCCCATCTGGCCCCTGAGGCTAGAAACCCCGTTCCCTAGCCTAGCGCCCACTTTTGACCCCTAGCCTAGTGCTCACCTGTCCATGTAGCCTAGCGCCCACCTGGCCCCCTAAGCTTGAAAATCCATCCCCTAGGCTGGGGTCCACCTGTTGCCAAGGCCAGCTAGCGCCCACCTGCATGTGGAAGATGCACGCGATGCGGATGGCCCCGCGGATGCCGTCCAGGCAGAGCGAGGCCACCTCGGTGTCGTCGCAATCCTGCAGGCCAACGCTGAACGCCGCTAGGAACGGCGTCCATGCGAGCTGCACACGCACGCAAGCCGAGAGAAGTTAGCATATTAAAGAAAAAACATCTCTATTGCAGCAGTTCATTTATTTCTCGATCTGCACACCGCAGACAGCCGAAGCTTTTAAATTACAGTTGACTCTCGATGGAGTATGGCTTAGCCGCCTGCACCGCCGCCGGTAGATTATACACTCGCTTGTACTCCAACCCTTTCCCTGACTCTCGCTCTCCCACTGCACACTCTCTACAAACGCACTCTTTCAAGGGTTTGAGATGCATGCTTTCACAAGTAACCTCTGGGCAGACAGACACAAAGGGAGAAACTACTGAGTGACTGCAACCGACATAAAGGCAGCTGGCATTAAGCAAAATAAACTGTTCAGAGTCTGTGAACACTGCTTGAATGCTTTGCAAGGGCATATTGTGATTGTACAGTGCAATTGTAAAGCAGGCAGTGGCTTTAAAAGTGAATCTGGGTTTGATATGGTCCAACTGGTGCTGAGCTGAAACCGCTGAGAGCCTGGGTTCGAATTTGGACAGCCAACCGAATGTGTTAACTGCATTCCCGAGTTTACGGAGTTGATGCTTTAAGTCCACTCACCAATGAATGCACAAAAACATCACCAATCAAATTTGGCTTCACATTGAATTTGCCTAAATTACAGCTGTGACAATTAAACGTATTGGTTTGTTCGGCATGTAACGAATGTTTCCCTGTTTAACACGTAGGCTTTCGCGACCAATATCATCCATAATAGAGGTTTTTGGGTGAGATCGCGCATCTATGCCTCTATAGAAAGAACGAAAAAGGAAGACTTCTCTACAAATCTGGCTGTCGCCTGTAGCTAGTTGTAATTACTGGCGAAACGTCGCACTCAGTTTGTAAATGTTGTGGCTTGGCTCTCCAACACCCCGGTGTGCTGTACTAGTGACGAATTGGCATGTTCTGTTTACGTGACAACCCTTACAAGTTGGCTGTGTCGGGTGGTGGCGGGTTTTAACGACACATTTATATATTTACGCGATCTTACCAAAAAACCTCTATTATGAATGTTTCCCTCTCTACCAGGACGGGTGGGAAAGTGCCCCGCCCTCCCGCCCACTGTGTGCCACGTGAGAGTTCCGAACGGATCTTTCGTCTCGCGACAGCACGCCAATTGCGCAACCGGGATTAAACTTGGGGAATAAAAAAGAGGGGGCGACGACATGGAGCACCCCTCCCCGCCCGCCCGTCCCCCCCACCTTGAACATGGGCCGCACGTGGTCGAGGTGGGTGGCGCTGGTGAAGGCCGCCTGCACGTGGCTCACAGCCTCCATCAGCGCCTTGGCAGTCCTGGACATGGCCTCCATCTCCAGGTTGTAGAGAAGCCGTCGCTGCCTCTCGCTCGCGACGTCTGTGCCGTGGCGAGCGGGGGGAGGAAGGGGGCGAAGAACGCTTGGAGTGAGAATGAATCGCGCACCTCCGATTTGCACGGTTGGCTACGTAGGGTACGCATGACGTTCAACCAACATGTATACAAGTGGCATCTGAACCTGTTCATGCCTTCCTCAAGTCAATCCTCATTTTAACTCGTATACTTCATCTATTTAACGTATTCATTTTTAGTAATTTTCCTTCCTTTCCTATACCTTGCACTCCAATAATTTTTTGTATTGTTTGTTGTTGCAACGTTCTGACCCCGTGCCCCTGCTGGACATGTGAAAAAGAGCATCATAGTTCATCGGATTTCTCCAGGACAAATAAAGATTCCGATTTTGACGATTCTGAACCCAGCCTTAATTGAGTACCTCGCAAAGGCGTGCAAATAACAGGAATAGGGAAACAATGTAGGTCGGGTAAAGTGCTCGCCACACCACTCCCTTTTTGGCCAAATCGAGCCTTAATCGGTGCCCATGAACAGAACTTGCACTACCACGTGCACAAGGATCTCTAGCACCACTAAGGAGCAGCGTAAATCTGTAGTGTGCGAGATCGGGGGGGGGGGGGGGGGAGCGTACTGGGCTTAGGCGGCCTGGAGATCTGGGCGAACTCCTTGCTCTCATTCATTGCAATCTTCTTGCCGGCGATTTCGTCGTAAATGGAGGAGAGGTACTCCTCGGGCAGGTCCTTGCTGTCGTTGATACCCCGGTTCATTTTGATGTACTGCTCCTTCGACATCTTGTGCTTCACCTGTTTGCCAAGGGGCCCGCGTCAAGCTTTTATTGCAAGAGCCGCACGAGATTTTGCACGCCGCACACTCCTTTTGTTTGCGTATATGCAGGACTGAATAGTGGGCACAGGAAACGTTTCTCGATTTATCAACTTAAAATAGTTTCTTGTGCTCCTGATAGTAGGCGAATATAGATTCGTACATGTACAAATCAAACATTCTACGCCGTTTATATTGAACTCTAACGTACACAGAGGGAGAACGAGACTATAAATGAGAAGAAAAAACGTATTGATCCTTAAATGGCGACCCAGAAGCTTGACAATTTTCCAATTGATTGAGTCGCGGGTGGTGGGGGTGGATCGTTAAAAGTGGAGCTGTAAGTATATTCCTCACACACTTGGGAAAACGATGACAAACGACGCCTTGACAGGCTGATTATTAAACCACAGAATTCCCGTGGGGATCCAATGAGTTAATATTACTCCTTGGTGGATTCGGCGTGGCTAATGCGCTTTTAAAACACCGTTGTTGTCAGCAGATAATGAATGATACCGGAAATTGTATTTATATAAAACAACACTCAGGCGTGTTAAATTTTGTGATTGCTGTGCGGTCCCAAAACAAGTTAATTTGCTTTGCTTACTTGCAAGCTGTGCAGGTCTGTCGTGAGCATAATTATCGAGTAGGCCAGCACATATGCTGTATCCGCGCTGGCAAAAACCGTTTGTCTGAAAAATAACAGGACAACCAGGATACATATATTACCCAGAGTTGAAAAGAAAAAGCATCCATCTCTGTGATATATAATTGCAATCAATGCATCAAATGCTGCCAAGTCGAAACAATGTAAACTGATTGCATTGAAAGTTGCTTCATCGGCACTCCTTAAGCGACAAGAACAATGCGACCGCACAATTCAGAGTTGGGTGAGAACTGCAGAGGAAGCGTCTTATTTCAGTCGAGTAATTTAGCACAACAGATCAATGGCGATTAAAAACAACATGTATTTTACTTAAAAAGTAAACAACAGACCTTTATATGATCATGAAAGTATAAGTCGACAAATATCCATTCCAACGTTTGTATAAATATATGAATACTCACAAGACACAAAACACTAATTTATAATCATTAGTATATATGATGCAGATCTTGCTTCAACACTCCTTTTTGATATGCGAAAAAATACATGTAGCTACCCACAAGAAACTGTAGGATAATGAACAATAATTGTAAATGAAAACAACTCATGCAGAACATGCATTTATTAAATGGTGCGGATACATTTTTAGACACTGCTACCAAGTAAGCCATTCACTTTTTCAGTGTAATTTTGCCCCTTGTGTCTCCATTGCAAAAAAAAAAGAGCCTCAATGTGTCATAGGGCTTTAAATATGATTACAAAGTATAAAGCACAGGCTTCTAACCAAATCACACAAAATGCATCCAATGAATCTGGGCAAAGCCGAGCCTGGCTCATACGACCACCGTGCATGAAACAGGTGTTACATGTTACCGCATTACCGCAATACAGCAAAAATGCATTGTTATACTGGACTATGAATCAACATCTATGCTCTCTGCCATCACCAACCCACACGAACCAGTAGTGTCAAATAATTTCCATACCCTGCATACTGTTTGGAGCAGTGGCGGAGCCAGTGGGGGGGGGGGGGGGGGGAGGGGGGGGGGTGGCACGTGCCCCCCCAATGATCTGATCGAAATCCCTAATTTCGAACATATCATTGGGGGTTTGTTAGTAATAAATCGGCATTTTGCGACCCCCACTGCCACTGTGTAGCATATTATTACGTGCCAGGGACTCTGAGATGTAACGGCAAAGCAGGTAGAAGCGACTCACAGAATTGTGCGCAGTTGCGTATACAGTACACGACTTCCCTGAAGGTATACCTTCAGCGAGCGCGATGCCGATCACACATGCGTCAAATAAAAAGCAAGGGACAAGTCCTTACTTACTAACGACTCCTATCATTTTTCATTGCTGGAGTGGTTGGCCCCCCCCTCTACCTGAAAATTCTGGCTCCGCTACTGGTTTGGAGGCCCTCATCCAGCAGTGGATTTACAAGAGGCCTGTACAAATACATACGTACATAAAGCATAGATACACAAACACAAAACAAGAACAAAGATGCCCCGTATAACCTTAACAGACTGCCGGGGCAAGTGCTGTTAACGAGCAACTATGAAGGCCGGCAGGGCACACGAGGGAGTGATTGGCTAACACCACGCCCGGCCGACCGCCTTTGTCTCCCCAGTGGCGATGTTCTCACACCGAACCAGGAACTCATTTGAGGAGTCGACCTAGGGAGTCCCAGGACCGGTTTAGATAATCGTCACCGGCGTTGGCCATGAGTGGGACTCAAACTCAGATCGCCGGGTTTACAGCACAGCGTGCTAACCCGCTACGCTACTGCTCCCCACACACACTCACCTCCGTAAACAGGTCCTCCTTTGCCAGCAACAGCCGTGCCCGGACGTCACATGCAAAGTGTCTGAGCACTTTGCTCGGCGGAACACACACACAGCGCACGACGATGACCCAGCAAAGCAGCATGCAGCACGGCACTCACCCCTGGTTGCACTCGCAGAAGCGAGCGGCAAACTTCTCCATGAGCCTGTCTATCTTCTGGGCCTCTCCGGGCAGGCGGAAACCCTCAAGGAAGAGGCGGAGCGCCGACACAAAGTCCTTCCCGGAGAAGTCCATCTGGTCCACGTAAGTGTACATGGTCTCCTTGTTCAGCTTGTCATTCTCCCCGAGGTAGTCTCCCACCTGGGTCTGCAGAGACACGCACACACCAATATACACACACACACACGACGAGCAATGAGGGGTCAAATAATGGGGACGGCGGAGGCTGCCCTCTTTTTAACACGAAGGTTTTTTTTCGCAAGCCAATTGTAACCCGCGTGTGGTCTTCCGGGTTAGGCCACGTGCTGAGCATTTCTTCGCTCAAGCTTTTGCCGTGCATCATTGCAGGCACGTTCAATCCCTCATGATGCCTGCAATAGAGTGGGCGTGTACTGCACCTCTTCCACCGGGTCATGCTGGGAATTTCGTTGCTTTAAAAACGAGCAGCGATGCTAAAGAAATGTGTTGGATGCTCGACATGTTCACGCTGCCAATATCCCCCAAAACTATAATTATCAGGTTGTACAACTGCAATGCCTCAGAGATAGACATGGTGGCCCACAGGACACGAGCTGAGAAGTGATGTCAGATGATATTTAATACACCTACTATAATCACCTAGGAATGTCTGTCCTTAACGCTCGTAACATCACTCCAATCGACCAGCCCCCCTCATTAATATTCATGAGCAGGTGACGTCCTCCAAATGGACATCCCCACCCCTCCTCATTCATGATCATGAGCGGGTGACATCACTCAATATGGAGTACTCCCCCCCCCCCCCCCCCACGAATAATCATGCGCAAGTGACGTCACTCCACATCGAACCCCCAACATTAATAATCATGAGCAGGTGACGTCCTCCAAATGGACACACCCCCCCCCCCGATTCATAATAATTAGCAGCTGACGTCACTCCACATGAGGGGGCGAGGCGCCTCCTCCCCCCTCCTCGGCGTCAACTTACAACCCTCACTACCAAGGCAGAACCCTCGCATCACGCAATCTCCGTAACGCTATTGAGTCGTCAAAGTAAAAAGAACGTCGTGATGAACAAGGGATTATAACCTTAAAATGAAATGAGTCTGTGTCACCGTGGCCTTACAAACTGCACACTAGTTGATGCAATGAATATCACGTCACGGACTGAGTTTCGCTCGCAAGTTTCAGATTTACTGCAATACACCCGTCCTTGGACGGGCAAAAGGCGAGTTTTTACAGATTTAGTAATTTGTCAACCAACTACTGGATGAACGCACGTCCACGCCGGATCAGTCCATGAGGGGTGATTACACCATATTTCCACCACACTAGTCGGTGTGAGCTGGAGAGGAGGGGGGGGGGGGGGGGAGGTGGGAGAGACCCAGAAGTGGTTCAGATTGCACTTGCCACCCATGTCAGCCATAGACCGGAATCAGACCCAGGTTGTCAGGATTCATAGCACAGTGTGCTGCCACTGCTCCCAGCCCCATCAGGACATTACATTTCAATGTTTTTAAATGTGTACGTACGGATGTCTCTACAAAACGCAGTTTGAACAAGCGCGAAGAGATTTCAAGCACTTAGCGTGTGCGCATAGACGGTGATCTGCTCACAAGTTTGTTGTTTTTAAACAAATAATTTATTGTCACTGCATGGGCACTTGTATGAACGTATGTGGACGTGAATTAAACATGTCGTAAGAGTGCTTCAAACTTATCCTGTTAAAAATAGATCAACGTTCTAAAGTTCGTCATCATGAAAATCTATGAAATATTGATGGCCGAGTCGTCTGTTTCATTGTTTGCCCTGCATGGATGCGTCTGCATAGGACATGGGATACGGTGATATAACATTTCACTTCGTGCACACTGCACTAGTGCTTTGAAAAGGAAGTGCTGCTCGTTGGAACTCAACATCCGCAGCCACATTACCCGTGACTAATTCTCCCTGGCTCCAGTCGATCCATGTAAAATCATATGATTACAAATGGATTATTCCTATCATCCTCATTTCCATAGATAATACGCGTGATCCAGAAGTGGCAATAAATTCACTATTATCATCATCATCGTTATTTAATATTAGGATCAATATCAATAGCACTCCCCAGACACTTGAATAAAGTACCACTCTCTGGTACTCTTCTCGTTGGTGATCGACCATACTGTGTATGAAGGAACTTTAAAAATTACCAACAAAGTACCAAATTGGGTAAAACCACAAATCAACAGCGCGACGTACTCGCAGACTGTATGCCGGTCCGTGATAAATAGCACCTTCGTAATAGCCCCGCGCTAAACAAAGGCAAAAATACCAAAATATATTAACTTCTTTCTCTATTATCAAGGGGGCGTACCGAGTCCAGTCGGTTCTCGCTGTGCAAGAACTGAGCGACGTCCTCCGTCGTGGTACCCAGCATGTTTTGCTCCTGCAGGAACTGAATGCCGCGCTTGGGTTTCTTGTTGAACCTGGTGCGAGAACGCCAAGTTCGAGACGAGTTATGCCCGTCGCACTCAATCAGCAGCAGCAGCAGCGTGCGTGGCATTTGATCCTTCACCTGCATTTTCCTTTGCGGCAGGCTGGGTTCGTGTGTCTTACCGCAGCCAAAGCAATTTGCTGAGTGGAGACTCGTTTTATTGCATTTTGTTACGGCATTCGCTTCTGTATTTTGTTTGCTCTAACTTCACGTTACTTTTTTTATTGTTTCCTTAACATATTTCTGTTGTTCCGGCATCACGGTTATTTAAAGCGTGCATCATTTTTTTACTATTTACACTCTGGAACTTATTGGTTGTACAATGTATTTAGCCTTATATTCTATGGGTCTTTCGGTAAAGTCACGTAGATTAGTTCAAAGAAAATAACAAAAAATAACAAAAAACTACTCCTGATGACTACCACTTGCGTTGCGATCAAAACTTCAGTTTTTTGTTATTTTTTTTGTTATTTTCTTTGAACCTATCAACGTGACTTTACCGAAAGACCCAAAGAATAGGAATTCCTACAGTCACGCAAGCTTTAAGTCAGGATTTATTTATCTTTACTTGGGTTTCACTTGATATTGCATTTCTATTTGTTATTGGGGGGGAAGAAGGGGACACATTGAGCTTGCATGTTCTTTTTCAAAGGCGAAATCTGGGTTGAGGGGGGGTACAGGAGAAGTACAACAGAAAATGTCTTTGTTGTGATAAACTTTTTTGCTGTTTGTGCTTTCTGTTTTGATGACATTTCTTAACTTGTTCTTATTCATAGTAGGGTTTCAAATTGCTTATCAGTGGTTCTATATGGGATTTGGTCCTTCTATATAATTAACGTACAGCGTTACGGGATGATATTCGCATGTATGACACTACATAAAATGAATGTCTTTTTATTAATTCAACGATTTACAAAACAGCGTCTAAAACGACAAAACACCTTGAGGGGGAGGAGGGAAAACAATCGGCAAAGCGAATCGCCGTTTTTTTGTGTTTAGTTTGTTGTCCCTTCCCCCCCGTCGCACCCCCCCGGGATTAGCACGGGTGGCTACGTACGGCGCGCCAAAGAAGTTCAACAAAACGTACGTGTCGCGAAAATCAGTCGCGCTAACCGCGCACTCACAGCTCGATGCCCTGCTCGATGATCTCCTTCTGCTGTTTGAGGACCTCGAATTGCTCGGGGTTGTCGGCGCCCGACAGCTGCGTGCTCACACTGCCGATGCCCGAGGAGGCGGTCGAGTCCAGCGAGTTGACGCTGCCGTAGCGGCCGATGGTCTCGGGGTGGCGCGAGTCCACCGTCGCGTCCTGCTCCGCCGGCCGCTCCTGCCCTGTGTCCGCACGCACCAACGCGAGTGCCAGAATACCCGCGCACGCACCCACGCACGCACGCACGCACACGCACACGCACACAAGAGGTGTGGGGATGCTTCCCCGACCCGTCGTTTGTACAGAATCTATCAGAATCCTTTACGTGGGCCGCAGGAATCCTGTGGCCGCACGCACAAACGTGAGCGCCGTAATACCCATGCACGCACGAAATATTAAAAAAACTTATTTAAGTCGGATTTATCAAGCTTGGGCAAAAGACAGCTAAAAATTTACAAAAACAGTTCCAGACCACACCGAGATAACACACAGTCCCCTTCAATAATATGGCACATTAACAACGTCAATCAGGGATCCACTGGGGAAAAGAGGATTACACAGAAGTAGTCCATTTGGGATCCAGAGAGAGGGGGAGCAAATGGGATCCACGGAGATCCAAACGGTTTCCACCATTTAAGATTACATAAGCTTACTTCAACGTTTAGACAAAATGAAAAGTATTCTTTTGCACCGGAGGCCATTGCTCGATGCATTTCGTGGATCTGTGCTGCGACAATACCTCGCCCTTTCCATCTTATCTCTTTACTTTCCAGTCAAAGTACTTATTTCGTGGCACCACATCTGTCCAACATTCTTGTCGACTTTGAGTGCACGGATTTACGATGTGCAGTGACCACGAGTGTTCTGTTTGCCCTGCGTTTCGATGCACTATATAGATGCACGGCTGAAGGTTTCTCTACGAAGTGTGGGTCCCGTGGGGGGTTATAAGACCATACTTCGCCGTGCTGGTCAGTGGGAGTTTGCGAAAGTGGGGAGCACAAATGTGGTAGAACAGATACACTTTAATCGCTCTGACAGCTACCGGCTTAGTGCGGCCTGGAAGCGTATTATTAAATAATACACATTACATTTAAAGAATTACTAATCTACAACTCATTACTAATCATAACCAATGACTGATTACTAATCGATTATATAATTACAATACCCCCCCCTCCGCCTCTAATCACTGCACCTGATATGAGTTAAGTGATGACGTCACCCTGCTGCTCTATATAAAAACCGGGAGCAAGCGAGGGCTTTACCATTCTGGCGAATTGCCCGATGATGCTGGATGTATTTACCAGCGAAACGTCGTACTCAAACTGTAAATGTGGATTAACTCTTCAACACACCGGTGGGCTGAAGTAGTGAATTATTTGTCTTTTGTCAACGTGACACTTTTTTTGCTGATTGGCCGTGTCGGGTGGTGGAGGGTTACGACACATTTATAAATAAACGCGATCTAACCCAAAAACCTTTATTATGAATAATATTGGTCGCGAAAGCCTACGTGTTAAACACACATAATGACAATGGGGATTTTACTGCACTGCCCACTGCTGCTCGACACGCAGCAGCAGCAGCCTATAACAACCTGTTGTGCATGCAGGTCACCAGGGGCGGAGCCAGGATTTTGACTTTGGGGGGGCTGACTTCAATATTCTGAGATGTCCAGTGTAATGTTTTCCAATGGGCGCCACAAATGTATAAAAAATATATATTGGATTTGAACGGAGTTTATTAATAGGTCGGAGCCGCTGATGTGGCTAATGAGTTCGATAAGTTCGAAAGGCTGCCGCTCAAGCAGCCTGCAGGGCAGCACAAGGTGGCAGCCTGCAGTATTTTGCAGCAGCCAGATATCCGGTTATCCCGATTACCGACTTTCCCAAAATTTCAGGGGGGGCTGAGACCCCCCCAGCCCCCCCTGTGGCTACGCCCCTGCAGGTCACCAATCAATGCACTATCAAGGCTTATGCCCCGATAAGCTTCTGAGACCGGATGACATCAAGAGCATTCCACGAAATGTTTTTCACAGGGGGATGCTCCATATGAACCATTATTATTCCAGCACAAGCAGCATATCTTTTCTTTAAAGCAATTTAACGGACGACCTTTCCGCAAGCTGCTGTGTCAACATGATTTATTATTTATATTATTCACCTCATACGGGGAGAAAATAAAGTAAGCAAGCAGGAAAACAGAACGCAGTGAATGCTATTTCATTTCTCTCAGTGAGTGCGAGCAAGGCAGCGCATGAGGGTAGAGATACCAAGCTTACCTAGATTGCTCTGTGAGTTTGGGTTGATGTACTGGTCCTTACTCCACTCCACCATGCACTTGAGGATGGACACCAGACAGTCCAGCCCCTTTTTGCGAAGGCTCAACTCCTGCACAGATTGAACAGCGACATGAGCCGAGACGAAGCAAACTCTCAACATTAACTGCCTCTTACTGGCAGGCGATTGAACGTAGGTGTGTTTAAACTATAAAAAAATCAATTATTTGTGCTTTACCAGGTCAGCCCCACTGACCTATATAGCTCTTTTTTCAGAAGCAGCCTGGCCACAAATGATAGCTCAACTTAGTGGCTTATCATCATGTGGAAATGTATAGCAGCCAAATACTCTAAACACACATTCTTAGTTCTTTCGGTAAAGCCACGTAGAAGGGAAACAATAAAATAATAAAAACATGAAACAATGAAATTTTATTGTTTTATATTTTTTTATTATTCTTTTTATTATTTTGTTTCCCTTCTACGTGACTTTACCGAAAGAACCCAGAATATGAATCCCTGCAGTCACGAAAGCTTGAAATCAAAACTCTAAACACATGTTGATTCTAAATGTGGAGGGGAAAACCAGAGGACCTGGAGAAAAATCAACTAAATCAAGGGAAAAATATACAAACTCAAAAAATATACAGCAGCAGGCGTCAGGGTCAGAATCGAACCCACGACCTCCCGTATACCAGGCGAGGCAGTTAACATCTTACCACCATTTCTCACAATTTAAAACCGCAAATCGTGACATCGAATCATTGGAGGGATGAACTTATACGTGCCTACAATCCACGAACAAAGCCTCGATGCTTCTTACATATTAAGTAGCTACTGGAGCTATGAAATTTTAAATCTAGATTGAAAACGAATTTCTTAATAATTGCTTTTTGTGCTTAGTTTGTTGTCCTTCCCCCACACCTCCTATTAGCACGGTTGGCAACGTACGGTGCGAAATAAGTTCAACATACATACATAGTCGCCGCATTAGTGGATACACTAATTGAGTGCCATTACAGATCAAGTCTTTACACATTTCTCCGCACCTGGTTGGGAGTTATGCCGAGCTCCTGGCCACTCCGCCCCTGGGCAATCTTGGACAGGTCGTTTACCAATCGCTCAAAGATGTTTGCAGCATTGAGATCGCAGTCATAGTTCACGTAAATGTCCACCACGCATTGTGCATCTGCAAGTGCGGATGGGGAAATAAAACAACCAGACACAAGTATTGTTTTCATGATCATAATCAGATGGCAAAATGTTTTCTTAATCACATACGTCTTCACCTTTAAACAATGCTATCTTCCCTTCCTTTGGAAGAACAGTAGTTCTCATATTATAACTAATGATTAAATTAGGATGAATTAAGCAGAATCATAACAAAAAATGCAAATGTCTAAATTAGGCCATGTCAACTAAGACTCCATCCATTATCCATAATAAAGGTTTTTTTGGGGTTAGATCGCGGGAATATGTGTCGTTAAACATGCCACCACCCGACACAACCAATCAGTAAGGTTTGACACGTAAAAAATAACATACAAATTAGTGACTACCAAATTGACAATCTAACCCAAAAAAACTTTATTATGGATAATAATCCATTCATTCTTTTAAAATACATCTATATTTATGTAGAAGGGAAACAATAAAATAATAAAAATATAAAACAATAAAATGATCACGACGTTTCGACTGCAACACAAGCAATCATCATCAGGTGTGAAAACCACAGCAAGAAAAACATTTTCACACCTGATGACGATTGCTTGTGTTGCAGTCGAAACGTCATGATAATTTTATTGTTTTATATTTTTATTATTTTATTGTTTCCCTTCTACGTGACTTTACCGAAAGAACCAAGAATATGAATCCCTGCAGTCACGAAAGCTTTAAATCAAAACATCTATATTTTCAACCGTACCTGCGCAAATTCGCGTGAGAGTCTGAATCACCATCCACTTGTGCTCAAATGAGCTTGAGGACGTCTCCAAGATGTTGAGAAAAATCTCTTTGAAGAACACCTGTGGGGGGGATGGGGGGGGGATGGGGAAAAAAATGAGCCAACACTGCCACGTAGTCGGTCCCACGAGCGCAAAAAAAACCCAACAGGAAACTCGCCGGTCCAAGTTCTCACTTCGATCTGCATCTTGAGGTGGGTCTTGAAGTTGGACAGGAGGGTGAGGAAGATGGCGAGCGAGAGCTCAAAGACCTCGGGGATGGAGGACACCCCGTTCTTGGACAGCGCGACGCACAGGTACTGCTTGATGGCGTTGATGAACATCTCGTTGGTGCGGAACACTGGCCCGGCGTTCTGGAGAACCGACAGCAGCAGCTGCAGAGAAAGGATCTTGGAGCGCAGCTCGTGAGACCTAAGATGGAGGAGGAGGAGGGGGGGGGGGGAGACATTTCGACTCGTTTATTTAATCAATAAAAACTTACACAATACATTAATGAGTTTAGATTTTTTGTCAACAGTGCTTGCGCAATATTATTCAATGGTAAAAAAAAATCAAAGTACATGTGACAGGAGAGATGCATCGGATGGGAGTGAGAAAGTGCATGTTTATTTGGACAGTTCCACAATTTCAAATGTACATTTCAGATATCTTAAATATGTGAGTAATCGTTTAGAATAATCATGAGGTGGCTTTTTTTACTAGGGCACAGAATGTCAGCCAATTAGTACTGCAATTCAGGTAATAAATAATTGGTCCACCTTTCATGACGAGGGATGTTCATAAATTACCACGGCGTCAATAAGTGTCAGACGAACCGACATCCACTTGCACTTAGGGAGCAGAACATAAGAATCGCATTGCTCTGGTGTATTCAGGCTCGCGTTCGTGTGAAACCACCAACTTACCCCACAAATAATGTACGCTTTACAAGACGAGTGATAATTCGTAAATTACACCACCGACGAGTGATAATTACTCGGGAAATGACGCCACAGCTGTGTTCTTTAGCCAATTTTGTAATTTTTACTGTGACGTTTTCCCCAAATTTGCGCGCAAGTGCCTGTTTGTTGCATATCAGGAGCTCACTTTGGATCGGGGGGTCCGTCGGAAAGTGGCTTCATGGAGAGCTTGCAGAGCGAGCGGAAGACAAGAAACGCATCCTTCTGCAGGATGTGGGAGAACTTCACCACTGGGGGCTGCCCAGGTGCCACGCCAGACTCCTGAAAATAAACAAAAAAAACATTAAAAACAAATCACAATTTACAATTTGAATGTATAACATTGATGTATCATGTTTGTACTGTAACCTATTACATATGCAAGTGCAAGCGCAACATTCAATGAACCTGAATTCTCACTTTAAAAAACCACAAAGTTTTTATACCATTTACCAAATGTTTGGTCTTTTCCCAGTTTTAGTCCAACTGTGCTATCAGCATCCTGTCATTTGGAGATGTATCGGTGGAAATGCTCTCAGAGAAAGTGCATCACCCCCGTGTGTTACAGAATGGCCCAAGTAAGCAGATATTACAGAATTACTTCTGAGATCGTTACAAGCGTACGAACCCAACAATAAAAAAAGACAAAACATAAAACAAATAAAAATTAGAATTTATGTGACGTCTAAATCTAAACCGCAACTTAAGACAGCGGGGGCATGAGCACAGCTTGCCACTCACTTCTACGTGAACATGAAGACTGTACATGTACAGCTCTTTTGTCAATCCACTGCTGGATGAGGCTCTCCGCACCCCGTGCAGGTCGTCGGGATTATGTGACCATGCTTCCCCACGCTGGTCAGTGCCGATTGGTGAAGACGGTGAGCATAGACGTGGGGGGAATAGAAGTAAAAAAAAATTTACGGGATTTTTCTGCACGGCCCCTCTGCTGCCCATCCAAGAAATAGCCACCTGTCATGAATTGTGGTCACCAAGAAATATCCAGGCTCAACCCAGATAAGCTTCTGAAATCTGATGAAATTGGGCGATATGGTCATATCCATGCCGAATAATAGTCGATCGGCCAGATCATAAATTTGAACCACGTAAAATAGCAAACCTGCAGAATAACTCAATTACGTGTATGGTTAATTGTGAATGAATTGAAAATTACTCAATTTAAATGGCTAGCCACCTTTTTAACGGCAACACAGAAATTGGAACCACTAAAGTGATGTCACCTCAGCTACGTATATATGTTGAACTTCTTCCGCACCGTACGTAGCCAAACCGCGCTTATCGAAGGTGCGGGTGGGTACTTACACGCGAGATATTCCGATCCCGGCTCATGGACTAGAAGCGTAGCAAAATCTGCCACAGTTGCAGAAGGACGGAGTGGGGTTGTGGGGGGGGGGGGGGGGGCTTCATACGACGTGTTACACCGACGCGCCCAACACGCCCCTAACCTGCGTGTCTGTGGAGGACACAGAGATGCGATCGTCGGGCAGGGAAGGCGTGTACGGTGGGATGGTTCCTCCTGGGACCCCGTTGGCGTGAGTGGGCTCTGCATCGTTGGGTCCACTCCCCTCCTCCTCCAGGGTGCCAGTGTGGCTTCCTGCGCTCCCGTCTTCCGATTCTAGAAGCACAAAAGCCCGTCAGTGTTTGTTATTAAACATTGTTTTTTTTTAAGTTTGGGGGGAAAAAAAAACGTGCATGCACGCCCACATGGATTGTGTAACCCTTTCCAACACACGTCTGTCTTCGGAAGTATTGGGTTAGCGGTTCGGAAGCCGACAGCCAACTGTCAGGGCAAAGTGAGTTTCCGTATTTTGCTCTAGTTGGTATCTAAGTTTTGGAAAACAGGGTAACCGCAACACTTTATTATAAAGTTTTGCATTTATATTTGAACGCTGCTCATCTCTTTATCAGTCTGAAGCCATTGCTGGAAATTCAACATTCCTTTTACAGGAGCAATTATATGCAAGTCTTACCCACCGTTGACTTGTATAGCTGACCCCGAAATGCATTTGAACTCCCTCCAATCGAAAGCCACACACTCACTACTGCACCACCTGGCTAAACCTCTATGATTTACTTGAAATAATCACATGAACTGAAGCTATTTCATGAATATTTGTTAATCTAAACGGTGAAAATTATTTCAGAAAGGTGATTAATGTACCAATTAAATATCGACCTTGAAGTGGCTTTTTATTTCTATAACAAACTACATTCATTAAAATTGCAGAATTAAAATTGGTGCAGTTATTCAATGGTTTCCAACCATATGGAATGTGTGGTTCATCAAGAAATTGAGAACATTTTTCTTCTTTTCTTTTGATGATAATGTATTTCATGTGGTTTAAAATGTTCATTTGTTAACCTATTCAACGTGCCATTTTTATATCAATGCTTCACTGCATGTCCCTATATTTAATTAAGCGTTTTAAAAAACATGGTATGCATCCATGCACTCAGTCATGCCAAACATTGATGTATCACGTTTGTACTGTGACCGATTACATCTGTAAGTGCAAGCGAAACATCCAATGAACCTAAATCCTAATTTTAAAAAAAGCACAAAGTTATTATCACATTTACCAAAATGTTTTGTTCTTTCCCCCAGTTTTCGTCCAACTGTGCTATCAGCATCCAGGGAATGCTCACAGAGAACCTCATCATGCCATGTGTTTCTCACTGCTACAAAGAAACATCTGTCTCACATCAGTCAACTGATGTCTTATTTTAATTTCTCAGGTGTGATTTCGACAAATAAGTGTTACATCAAATGTAATTCAATGTTTTTTTGTGCAGTCAGTTTGAATGGGCTAAGACAATCAAATCACCACACTAGATGTCGCAGTTAATTCACGGGTGGCTTCCTGAATTCAAACCCACGATCTCCATCGTGCCATATATATATTTTTTCAAATTTTAACAAAATGTATCAATTAAAAATCATTATTAAGATGCCATTAAGGAATACATTTTAAAAATTTTAAATTATACAAAGCCGAAAAAAACGCAAAAATTCTGTGCTATGATTTTTATGGTTGTTTACTATTTTTATAAAGAGACTTTCACTGACAGCGGGGATGCGGGGGACTCCACCACAAGTGGCTAGAGGCCCCGTGTGTCCTATTGACCTTCACACAAGTTTACTTCAACATTATTAGCGGTTAGCTCTTCTGGCCATGACAATGTGTCACCGGCACTTAAAGATAATTTGCAATCAGAATTAACTCTACTTCCCTGTCACGGTAAAAATCGGTTGGGGAAAAAAAAACTCCCCCCCCCCACACCCCAAAATAGAAATTGGAAAAGGAGGCTTTTTGCAAGCCAATAATAGATCCAGTGGCATAGCTATCGAGCCTGCAGGCGGTGCAAATGAAACGGTGCGCCCACGCGTGGGACAGAACCCAGGGCGCCGCGGTGGCGAGATGTTGACTACCTCACCTGATATACAGGAGGTCGTCGGTTCGATCCCGACCCTGACATCTGCTGTATATTTGTAGCTTGTGTGCGTCTCTCTCCCCGTGGCCGCGTTGATTTTTCTCCGGGTCCACCCATTTTTCCCTCCACATTTAGAATCAACGCGCATGATGAGTATTTGGCTGCTGTCAATTTCCACGTGATAAGCCACTTCGCTGAGCTATCATTTGTGGCCAGGTCGCTTCTGAAAAAGAGCTATATGGCTCAGTGGGCATAACCTGGTGAAATAAAATAGTTTAAATAGTTTAGGGCTCCAGGCTTTGGAAGTGGGTGAGTGAAATTGGACAGGGAGCACATTTCCTTCCTTGCAACATGGGGCCATTGCCAACCATGCTACGACACTACTTCAACTCACTATTTTAAAATATTTTTTTTCCTTTTACCAGATAATCCCCACCGAGCGATACAGCTCTTTTTCAGAAGCGACCTGGCTATCACAAACGACAGCGCAACAAAAAGTGGGTTATCATGTGGAAATGTACAGCAGCCACATACTCGTAAAACCTTGAACCTAGGGCACTGAGCATTACCCACATCTGAGCTGCCCTCAATCACTGGAAACCCACAAGAGGGTAAACGGCCATGGGTTGTGCATTGCATTGGACACCTGCAGCCACTGTGGAGACGACCTCGTTGAGGATTTTCTGCACGATCTCTTGCGCGGCGACCACGGGCTCAGGGGTCTCCCCGTCCTCAGCACAGCTTGGTTCGCGAGAGTCTGAAACTCACGCAAAAAAGACAAAGATCCCCCGTATAGCCTTAACAGACTGTTGGGGCAAGTGCACACACAAAGATGAATTAAATTATTTCCGTAATTTTTTTTTTCTCGGGTTAGGCCAGGAAATGATCTGTTCAAATTTGTGTTTAGATTCTCCAACGCCCGATACAGCCAAACTAATTGAAACCGTCACGTATGCAAGCAATTTAAATGTGCCATTTATTATCGTTTCAGCTCACCGGTGAGTTGAAGAACAATTCTCACGACCGGTTTTTATGCTGACGTTTTGGAACCTTCTTCAGAGAAGAGACAGTAAGGGTGTTGAAAAGTATCAACTTCTCGCTTGGAGACGGTGCTTCACGGAACGTTCATTTGTTCCACCGAGGTGGGGATTTGGGAAAGAGAGGCTTGATGTCTCACCGTGAGGCGGGATGCCACGGTCTGCTTCCGTCTGCTCGTTCTCAGGCCCGTCCACTCCGTTCTCCGCTCCTGCCGCCTCAAACACGGCACCACCGCTGCCGGCACCGCCTTCGTCTGATGCCACCTCCGCCCTCTCCGCATCGCCCTGCATCGCGACCAAGGGTTAAGTCAAACGAAAACACTCCCAAGCAGAAAACTCAGCACACTCAGCAATCATCACCACCTGGTTATCACCAACCAGGGGATGGCTGGATGGCTCGCGGGGGGAGGGGGGGTGTCAGGGGTAGGTGGAGAATATACTGGGTCTAGCAATTGGTGATAAGATGATTTATAAGAACTCCGAATAAAAAGGACTATCTCGCGACATAACATGACGGGGGTGGGGGGGGGGGAAAGAATACCAATGATTGATATTTTGACAAATGAAAAGCAATGTCATATTTAACAGGTTATTTTCAACTGATTTTGGAAAAAATGTAATGGACAAAACAAAGCAATGAAAAGGTAGCATAAAATAATGAGAACAAATTTTATCATGTTAATAACATCTCAAAATAATCAAGCAAAAACAAGTCTGTGAAACAAAAATAAAAAAATCCTCTTGATATATTGTAACAAAGTTCAATTCAAATGTAATGTATTTAAATTAGATAAACAAGCAACTTTAACTGCAGATATTGCTATACTCCCCACAGTTCCTTGGTAATTAAGGGAAACGAAATACTCCGAGGGTGTCTGGTTATTTGTTTTCAAAGTCCCTCGTCTAAGTTGTAGAAGAGAAGCTGGTACACTTAACTTGCCAGGAATTAACCTTTTCCACCCCAACTATCTTAATTGCTCTGTGCCGACAGCTTCCCCAGTCAATGGGGACTGCAATGTGTTTAATTAGTCATCACAACAAAAAAAGCAAAAATACAGAATGGCACACGCCACAATATGGAAACATCGCAATTCCAATTCAGAATTAAACAAACGGTCTTAGTAAAAACGCGTTGGCAGTGGGGCATAACTAATACTAATAATAAAAACTCACTCGTCCATGACGCTGCTCATTAACAGGCAACTTTTTGGGCAATGGCTCTTCTTCGAACTAAACTATTTTTTTATTTTACCAGGTAAGGCCCACTGAGCTAGATAGCTCTTTTTCAGAAGTGAACCGGTCACGAATGATACCTCAATGAAGTGGCTAATCGTGTGCACATTTATAGCAGCCAAATACTCTAAACTCATGTTTCTAAATGTGGAGGGAAAAACCGGAGGACCCGGAGAAAAATCCACACTATCACGGGGTGAACATGCAAAGTCCAAATATATACAGGCGTCAGGATCAGGATTGAACCCATAACCTCTTGCATACCAGGCGAGGTAGTTAACATCTCATAGCAGAGGTCCTCATTATGGAAAGATTATTACAAAGAACTGCCCTGTCTCACCTCGATTTCAACTTGAACTGGGGGGAAAAAAGGAAGATGCTGAACAATGGGGGATTAAACACTAGAAGGAGCAGGGAGTCCCAAACAGGGGTGCCAGCGAAATCTAAACGGACAAAATACAACCTCCCACTTGCCATGGGAGTTCGGAAACATGAGTAGAATTAATGTGAAAGCGGTGGCGAAGGGGGCTCTGATCTAAGGTGGTGTAGACCACGAGGATAGTACAACCACTGAACAGTAGATGAGCCTCCACTAGATCATAAGTGGACATAAATGAAGCATGGCGATGATGATGCTACCCATCAAAGACTAGAACATGACTATGAATGAACATGCAGACTAAGATCATTAAGATCATTTAGTAATGTTAATACAGACTGCAATGTACCTAGGAAGACCAAAAATGTTGATTGGGTCATATAAAATAAACAAGTTTTACCATGTTCAAATTTTACCATGATCAAATTCGACTAGAAAATAAAGCACCCCACACACACACCAACACCAAAGAATGAACTAAATTATTAAAAAGCTTAAGGCGATGAATGACTGATATTCTTTTCCCACACCTCCGATTAGCACGGTTGGCTGCGTATGGTGTGAAAGAAGTTGAACATACATACAAGGCTGCCAAATTCTACACACACATGCTGTGTCGTGCGATTAGACTTTCAACACAAAAACGCCGAGACTACACGAACACCAGAACACACGACGCATCTCCGCCCGGCCTCACCACGTGGCCGTGCTGCAGGGCCGGCGACGGGGAGTGCGACGTGCCGGGTGTGCCATCCGCGTCCGCCTGCTGGCCCTCGCCGCCGGGCTGCGACCCCGGCTGGTGAGCGTGCCTCGGGTGTTTGTCCCTGTCCATCTGTTTCGCCTCCTGCAGCTGAGAACGCCCGAACGCGGACACATGCCGAAAAAAAGAACTGCACGTTAACCCTCGCAAACGGAAGTGCGGTCGCGCACAATGGGCAGGCGGGCAGCCCGGTGTAACAGGAGAGAGATGGCCTGCGAGCAAACTGCCAGGGATGCACCACATCATGGGTCGTGCTTGGATGGGCAACCACCCTGCACAACTGACTGGTTAAAAGGCTACGGGGATAGGTAGCGGGCAGCAGAGTGCAATCTACTGCTGTGCCGTATGATGGTCCCACGCTTATGCTCTGGTTTGCGGCTCTTAAGTGTTTGGCAAACCCTTTGAACATTCTGGCCAGTTTTCAACATTGTAAGTCCTTCATCGCAACACAACTTTATACAGAAGGGTTCATTCAAATTGGATCACCTTCACGGCGCGTGTTACAGCGTAACAGTTAAAGCCCCACAATGAACGATTGTTGTACGACCTGACAAAAAAAAAAGACACAATCGCGTCCAGCCATTTTTTCGCACATACCGCCTGATTCTCCATGCGAGCGAAGATGACATTGAGCATCTGCGTGAGCGTGGCCTTGGCCGTCGTCTGGTTGATCATGTTCTTGCTGGCCAGGTAGATGTTGTAGCAGGTTCGGACCGTCTGTAGCAGCGTTCCCTCGTGGATCTCGATGTTCTGAGACGTCACCGCAGTCAGCAGGGCCTGCGGGCGCGGGACGCGTTAACGTCCGTGAGCACCCTCCGGTTTGTGTGTATGTACGTTGAACTTCTTCCGTGCCGCATGTAGCCAAGCGCGCTAATCGGAGGTGTGTGGGATTTGAACGCTCACGTTTGTGCACAACGTGTGCCACTCGCATCAATTGTTGTTGATTGAAAACGGAAACTATAAGTCAGGCGTAGCGTGATATAGAAGAAACACATCAAAAATTTGGTTCAGTGTATACGTGCAAAAATCCCTAATTAGAATAAACAGAGGGCTTCACACATTTTTTATACAAACAAGCATGACCCTTATTGACATTGGACTGCCAAAAGAATGTTAATCTTACTAAGATGCAGCTTGTTACAATCATTCATTACTTTACAAGTGCAAGCAATTCTTGGTTGCCGGGCAATACAAATTAATGAAATAAACAAACCCTCTACTGGACTAGCAAAGATGACTCAACATTCCCAAGCGATGATGCAATGTTTTAGAGATTGTAGGCTAGTCTGTATCAAGAGAAAGCAAGGTCCGTGAGCAAGCGAGCCTAACACCAGTTGAAGAACACCACAATTCACCTACGCAGTAACGGGGAAGCAGGCTCATACACACAGACGTGGCGTGGCACCTTTATGATCTGTAGCTGCACTCCCTCATCCGTTTGGGGACCCTGAAAGCACCCGCAGATGGTTTCTATGATACGGTCGATAAGCCTCTTCCCTGGGGTGGTGCTGTCGGGCGCGTTTCCAGTCAGATGTCCGTACGCTATCAGTTTCTGCGCAGACACACGTGGAAAACGTTGAGGGACGACAAACATTTCAGCAAACAAATCTGGGTGCAGAATCGCACCACGTAGTGCTCCTTTGTTGGTTGTGCCCTCTTTATGGGAATAAATCTCCAGCTGCGGCGCACGACAACACCGTCATAATCGGGCTCACGGAATCGTATTTTTTAAGCCAGGATGAACAAGGGCTATGCCAGCGACAGTTGTCGGCTATTTCAAAAACAATGTACGCTGCAGATTCTGATAAGGGGCACAGATATACATAAAATGCTCTTGTGGTTATTTACTTTATTCAATTCAGAATCAAATAAAACCATAGCCTGAAAACAGCTCGTTTATCAACACAAGCAATTGACATTAAAAACAACCTAATACTTGTGACTGAAGTGGCAAAATCATGAATCGAGAATTTTCCATGAGAAACAAATGTGTTTATGCGTGCCTGCTCTTTTGTTCTAAGATTGGTACTGCTGCGCTAGTTTCTCCTACTTTAATCTCAGCGCATCTACTGTACACATGGCTATGTGTTTCAGCATAGATAACACTGGCATCCCGATAGTTCAATGTACTGAGATTTCTATTTGGAAGTGAAATAACACTTGCATACAACAGCAAATCGGGACATCAGTGCCACTAATAAAACCATACCTTTTTCAACATTTCCCCCATCTCTGTGTATAATCTATGTAACCAAAACACACCAACAAGATTCTGGATGATGCTACTACGCGCCATCAACAGGAGATGAGCAACCTTTACCCGCATAATTTTTATCTCGAAGAATATTTTTCTACAAGCCATGGGTAAAAAAATAAACATTGCAACAGGCAACAAAATTGATCAACATGAGCCTCTTCTCGGGAGACTGTCAGGTAAAGCCAACTGATGTAATGTCATTGGCACAGATATCCGTCAATCATTCAATTTACTTACAATAAGTATTGGCTTAACGCCTCTGGGCCTGAATTGTGACTGACTCGTGTACATATATTTTCTCCATTTGAAAGATGCATTTGCTCGGCAATAAGAAATAAATAAACTGACAATATTGACAATACTAAATTATTATTATGCTTGCTTTTCCCAGGAAAACCTCACCGAGTCTCATGGGTCTATTTGAGGAGGGTTCTGAAAAAGTTGTTGCAGTGGAGGGCAATTATTTCTAGGCGCATTCCCACCGATTAAATTTGTCGGGGTACATTTTCAAATTTAGAATATTTTGACCGTGACGCCAGCAAACAATAGCCTACTGTTAGATGACATCACATGTTATTAGCGTCCACTGCAAAGCATACGGTGCCTTGTTTGAGTTAATACACCGGCACTAATAACCAGCATTCAAAGCGGCCATTCCACCATCTCCAATAATACCGGAAAAAATATGAACACTTGTTGGAAACTATTTATAATTGACTTCTTTTTATTTAGGTCGTAAACCCTCCTCCACCCGACACAGTCAATGAATAAAAGAGACACGTGAATTAAACGTGCCAAATGTATTTACTGTTTCAGCACACCTGTGTGTGGCAGAATAATCTCACAACATTAAATGGGAACGATATTTCGCTGGAGATTACATCCAGTATCATCAGGTTTGTTAACAGCTCCGGTCTCAAATTGGTTTACGACACAAATTTTATTTACACGACCTAAGCCAAATGAAACCATTTACGAATCATATTGGCCGTGAAAGCTTCCGTTTAAAATTGCTGGAAACGTGAAATGAATTTGAGCTGAAACATTCTTTAAAGGTGTTATATGTTATTGGGTTACATTGTGGGTAGCACAACCAAGTTAAGAAAAATCCATTGTTGGACTAAACATATGCTCCTTCACCAACCCACCCTGATCACCCGTTATGACATCGGGTGCAATAACCCCCATAACCCGCACAACGTGGAAAACAGTGGATTGACATACATTTACAACAAAATACCAACCCTGCTGACAAGGGTCAAGAGGCTTGGCGAGGCTCTTCCAGATGCCACTGGTTTAATAATAATAATATCCATAATAATTCAAACATCAAGTTTGGAGGGGGTTTTAGTACCCTTGTAATGGCTTGCCATGTTACGGCGCGATACAAATCGTTCTCGTTATTATTACCTGGAGGCAGTCGAGGGAGGTGCTCACGATACGGGAACATTTTGACTGGCAGGCCAACTCAAATGGCAGGAAGTACTTGTCCGCTTCGATGAAGTTGGACTTGGAGCGGATGGGGGGCAGTGCCGACGAGCCAACCTTGCCGTCCACCACCGCGGGAGGACTGCAATAGCAACATCAACACAGCATACCGGTGAGGTGGCCAGGTGGATTCAGTGGTGAGGGTATCGGAGCTGACACCAGTGACATTCTTAGGCTCGAATCCAGGTTCAGCCACCTGAGTTCTCAGGTGTAGTTAGTTGATGGGCCTCAGTCTGAGCATCAGAGACTGCACACGAAAATCTCAATTTGCTTCGATACTTAACTTGACTAAATTGCAGCTCCGAGAATAAAAAAAATTCTGTTTGACTAATGTGATGAATATTACTCTCATTGGCAAGAGGTGGCAAAGTGCTGCCTATTGCACTGTACAGATGTCACTTGAAGAGGTCTCTGCAATATCCACCTCTGCAGGCCATTCTCTAGTGGAAAGGTGTGCACGAATTCTGCGAGATCCACATGGATAGTTCTTCTCAAGGCATGACATCGAACGACCAATTGGGGAAAAAAATAGGGGACAGGAGTGTTTTTTTTTTAAAACATAGCATACTGGTACTGCATTCACATGCTCGCCAGTTTATGGTCACTGTTGTAATCTCAACGCATAAAACCATTAAGTGCAATGCCACAATTACTCTCAGAGGTTTTAATGTAATGAGCACAATTGTGTCCCCAAGTGACCTATCATTTGTACGGTCACCGCTTCCTTTTTTGTATGCAGATATAATTGGCCACAACAGAGCAATGCGGCAAAACTTTCATTTAAGCTATTCGCTGGCTATCGTGGGAATTCATAGGGATGGCTGGAGACTCATGTTGTGGACTAGCCTCAAGTATGGCCATTTAAAAACCTAATTCCAATTCTCAATCCTGTCGTATGTCGGGGACCGAGCCAGTAGTCCTTGAAATTGTAATCTAAACTGTGCATCTATGACCAAGACTTCACTGCCGTCAGATAACACAATGCTTGGATTTACACCAAACAGGGCACCCTTGTGACATTGAAATCACAGGCTTAGCAATGTGTTAAGTAATAATTCGTAGGCTTTCGCGACCAATATTATTCATAATAAAGGTTTTTGGGTTAGATCGCGTTTATTTATAAATGTGTCGTAACCCTCCACCACCCGACACGGCCAATCAGCAAAAAAAGTGTCACGTTGACAAAAAGACAAATAGTTCACTACTTTAGCCCACCGGTGTGTTGAAGAGTGAATCCACATTTACAGTTTGAGTACTTGAAGAGTGAATCCACTGTAAATGAGGATTCACTCTTCAACACACCGGTGGGCTAAAGTAGTGAACTATTTGTCTTTTTGTCAACGTGACACTTTTTTTGCTGATTGGCCGTGTCGGGTGGTGGACGGTTACGACACATTTATAAATAAACGCGATCTAACCCAAAAACCTTTATTATGAATAAATAATAATTATTACAAAACCATAACAGAGTACAAGGGAGCGAGCAGGAACCACATTCAAGTGTACATTATATATTTTCTTATTCCTCCGTTGAAAGTTGTAAAGGCTACGACTCTGGTTGGTGAGTGTAGGTTAAACCATGAAGCAAAAATCACTTGCACGTCAAGGTGCTTTAAGGGACAAAAACATTTACTGTGGTTATAGCGGACAAACAAACCAACAAAATGGCATGGTCTGTGCCAAATACAGCACACCATTTTTCCATTTTCTCCCAGTGTAGATGCTATAAACGGAATACTTTTTTTATGAAATAGGAAGCAGAGAATTCCAATTTTCAAAAGTATCCAAGGGTCATCTTTTCCTCTTATGAAACGACAGCTCCTGACTTGTTTATAGCAACATTGTGCGATGAGATTTTCTCATTCAGTTCAGGCCACTCAAAGCCCTGTCTTGAAACACATTTGCCAATAAATTCAATCAACGGGGCACAAACAGAAGTGATAAGAAAAAAAATGGCAGTGCTCAAACATAAGGACCTCTTCAACATAATACACACCATTATTGTAGAGTCAACACAAACACTGAGCAATTGGCATTCAGGATGAAATGGCTGTTATGTTGTTAAACATTACCTTAAGTTTTGTATCGTCTAACTTTTGAAACCCGAGGTGCTATTATTTGTTTTTAATGGACTACAGTATAGTCCCTGTAAAGGGCAATTTGTAACCGGTTGCCATTTAGGAACTATAGATGCTGTAGACCATTCGGTTGTTGTGAAACATTTTGTTCCAAGGTGGCTGTGCTTGAAGAATATCAAACAAAGGCTCGTAATGGCACCTCTAATAGTGTGGCATACACCTCATTCAGAATAACGCGGTGAGCTTAATGCATGCACAATTACAGAAGAAAATAAAAAAAACATTATAAAAGTAGACCTCTTATTCCATAATTCACTTTGAATAATCGTAAATGCGTGCAAAGTATGACCATTGGCATCAAGCCTTACCTCTGCACCTCCGCTTCGGCTTTTATTTCATCTGTCAAAACAGAACAGCGCACACTTGACTGAGGGGCAACGTAACACAATTAGACAATGTGCAAGTAAACGCTCGCGCGCAAGAGAGTTGTCGTTAACAATATATCCAAGCAGGTGGATACCCAATTAACTGTGCGAGTGCTCGTTCTGAAATGGAACGGAAGATTAACAAAACCGTGGCCGTGAGAAAAAAAACGGCTACCTGAGAAGATGAGGTTCGCAAACGTGCAGGAGAGGATGGATCAACAAGGACTGAGGCATCGAATGTGGCACCGAGTATCGACGTAGTCATTGGAAACGTGATTTGCAATGGAAACATGCCAACTTGGACTTTGAATACAGATCACTTTAATTATAACCTTAACTTGAAAAGAAGTAGAATCCAAATTATTTTTCATGACCGTAAGCATTATCCTCTGCTGAAGAAACCGCAAGGAACAAAAGCTGCTCTGAAATCGAAGGAGGTCCTTTAAAGCAAAATTACCACGAGACAAAACTTTGCAAGTGGGTATGGCAAAAAGAAAAATCACAAATTAAATGATAACGCACAGCAAGCGACTAGGGCGAAAGTCATCATGACTTCAACGTATCAACATTTACCGAGGTGCCATTTATTACACCACAGCACTCATTCCAGAAAGCCACCACTTTCGCTCACTAAATCACGAAGGCGGTTAAAAATGTGACCAAATCCGAGAGTTGTTCGGTTAATTTCATCCCCACAAAATTTGCATTGACGCAATACGTTGGCGTTGTACGCTGCCTACCGTCGTTTTGGTTAAATCTTCAACTTGTGCGGCTGTCAACTAATCAAATGGCCTAAGGGAACAAGACATCCCCTTGTGGCCAATTTGACCTGTCAATGCAATTCGCACCCAGGAGCAAAGTGCTTAACCCATTAACAGACGTACACAAGAGACGGGTCAACAGGGCACCGAATGCATGAATGATGGGCATGTGTGGATACCAATCTAGGCAAGATACAATTGGCATGACAACATATTAAAATAAATTCAGGATATCTGCTCCTAAGGTGAAATTTAGTTACCAAGTAGTTTGTGTGTGGGGGGGGGGGGTCAGATTTTCATTCCATTGTAAATGACACAGCCTGCTTAGTAACTTGTACAGATTGTCATCGTTACACAGTTACGCCGTTTGTCTGCCTTTAATCCCAGAAGAGAGTATCCACCAAATCCTCACGCTGACAATGGCAACCTACAGTTAAAAGCATATTCAAATTACCACAAAGGATAGAAAGTAAACGAATTAACTAGCTAAAAAAAAATCCTTTTGACAAATATATCAAAATAGCTATTATTCCTTTCATTGAAAACTGCATACATAATACAACAATGTGTGCTACCTGGTTCATATTCTTGGATTTGAAGGTCATCTTCGAGAAAGATAGAATGTAATAGTGCACGTGCTTAAATGAAGAAAGAAATCCACTAACTGCAATGAAAAAGGTTTGCAGTTGTGACACAAAAAGAGAGGCCAGTTAAAATAAGAAAAATACAGCCATGTGAATGTTTCTACCACAACATGAGGCTTTCTACCTGAAAAGGGAGTTAAATGGCAATACATACATCATAAAACGTAAACGTTAGTCTCAGTACGAACTTGGAATCTACCATAATTAGCTAAAACGTGCCTGCCCTTGCAGGTCCATGTTTTGCCAGCATAAGGCCCCATTGTGACAGGCACAAAACAACGGCGTAAATTTAATCGGTGACTCCCCCCCCCCCCCCCCCCGCACGATTTACATGAGATTTATTGGTCACAGTTGACGTGGCGACAATGGGAAAAAAGCCTCGCTGGCTCACTTTGCAAAATGGCACGGGGCTCAGGTTTAAATCCCGCAATCGTAAAATGGGCAATGAAAGGCCTGCTTGTGCCATAACCGTGGAACTAGAGAAGCATGTCATCCGGCTTTTAAAGTGGGACAGCACAGAGGCTGGTGCTATGGCAGGTGCTATGTGATATGAATAACAATTACGGGGGAAGCTCGCCTCTGCATAGACTGTCCGCACGACTACAGCATACTGGGGATGACACACTTTGATGCGTTTTTTTCCCCCAAGCTGGGGCTGCTCTCTCGCTGACACCTTTTGGGAAGCACGCGGACGAACAAAGGGGAGAGAGGTGCAATCACTATTGCGCCAGAGACTGCGTTTGTGTTTCGCTGTCTGCACGTAGAGTAGGCCCTACATTGTGGTGCTACTGCTTACGACAGCCACGTCAATGGTGAGATTTTTTTTCTTCCAAAAAAGTGTCGCGTGCGTTTCTGGGATGCTTAAGCAATTTGCTGTCCCGTGTTGGTGAACACGTGTAATTCCATCTAAATAATTAAACGTGTAATAACCATCATGAATTCCATGCCGACTCCACAGGCTTGGCTTTAATGAATGGAGAAAGACCATATTCCATTTATTTACTTGGCTTGGAGTAACTCCATCACCAAGGACCATAAAATGAACTAAAATAACATAACACTGCACCATAAAGTGAAGCCTTTCATTGTTAAATACATAAACTATGTGCCAGATTCTGTATATTTTGCAGTATTACAGCCTATAACCTATGACTAAACCACCCAGAATGTGCCTCCTGTATCATCAGATCCCGAAAACAAAGTAGGGTTGAGTCTAGGTAGTGCTTGGGGATGGGCGAAAAACAAGCATAAAAGATGTTAGAAGCTTTGGGGCAACGTTGTGTGCAACAGAAGGTAGTGCTGATTTCTATGCTTTCACATTTATGCACCCTGCTTTTGACAAACCCACACTAACCGGCGTGGTGAAGTATGGTCAAATAACCCCATAGATTTTACATGGTCTGGGGTGGCCCTCTTCCAGCAGTGGATTGACAAAAAGGGCTGTACATGTGGATCAAAACTAAAACTATCCTTTCGTGAAACGTCTAAATTAAGCCATAATTCCTGCCCACAGCATCGCAGAGCAGAACTGGATGGACTTGTTTATCACAGCCCATTCCAGTGTACAACGAATGGTTGAAAATGGGAGTTATATTCACGTGAAATTTGCAAATATGATACCAGCCGATAACAATAGCACTACTGCACTACTATGTATGAATAAACCTACAAGCCTGCTTGAAAATGTTAGAATTATACGACAGTCGAGCATTGTTTGAGACATGCTGCTGCCATCATCAACCACCAGCCATTAATTAGGAATTGACCCCAGATAAATAAAGCAAACGTTAGGGACTCACAAATATCAATCATACTACAGGAAGGACGTAATTCAATTAATGTATACAAATCTAATGTGTAAAATGGCACAAAGAAACATGTAGAAATTAAGCATATGTAACTTTGGAATCACAACTATACAATGCGTTGGGTACAAGTTGGCACTGGAATCCGATAGCTGGTGGCACAATCTTCCATTTGGCATAGCGTGCAGAATGCTCAAAGGCATTACGAGCAAACCAAGCGTGTACATTAAGGGTGCCCTTAGATCAGCCATTGCGAACATTATAATTATTGAAGAACGTATTACGTACTTCAACTCGATATTCCCAGACTCGTCTCACTTCTTTTGACTTTGCATTTAATTGGCCAGGGCTCAACAATGAGCAAATAACAATGCAAAGTGAACAAATTTCTCGGCAAGGGAGAGTTGAGCAGCTCTGAGCAGACTGCGCCAGCAGGAACCATCCACCCATCACTCTTTAAACTAAAACCTCAAGTTGTCCAAATATTATTTTAACATCACTCAATTAGATGCCCATAATGAACAGGAAGCATTTGACCTCTTCAAAATGTAGTCGCTATTAATTACTTGCCCGTTCAATCTCACTATATGATGAAAACATGAAGGCAGATTTGCTCACAATTAGAAACTTTTGATCGGGAGCCAAATTAAAAAAAAACCCAACGTAACAGCAAATTGCTTCTTTAACTGCATCAGTCGCAAGAGCCTATGAATAATGAGATATCTTGTTTACAACATCCCTATAAAACAAACATCGCACTGTATTACGGAGAGCGAGAAAACCATTCAACGCTGCACTGTACTGCAACTTGCCTGGTTCGAGTGTACAGGCTTGGGTGGTCGTTTCCAAGCCTGGTTAACAAGCGTTTCATTATTAAAGTGCCCCTCAATCTTTAATGCGTTCCAATAAATTACTGAAGGGCCCGGTTTGGTGTCCACTATCTGGCTCCCAAGCTTGGCAAAAAAAAGGCCTTGCAGTAACTAATGTTCTCACTCGCAATGGGCACGAAACGCGTACGTTGGTATACACAGTGTGCAGTGGGAGTGACGACAGGCCACGGACTAAATTAAATATGCATCAAGTAGTTGGTTGCTAAGAGGTGCCATATTCTCTATGCGGATGGGACGTGTCAGTTACAAAGGCATTCCTGACACTCGCGAAAAATTAAAACGTTTGGTTATTTAAGGCACCATCAATCACTGCATTATAGATTTACAGCAGTGCGCAGCGCACACCACTCCAAATATTTACTGTATTCCACGTTTAAAGCTCGGCTGTGACCTTAGAATGCGCCTGATCTCGAAAGGTAAGCAGTCTGTATAGTTCTTCAATAGGTTAATCACCCGCACTTGATAGGTTAGTATAGAGCTTGATGGGCTACTGCAGAGGGCAGTAGCTACTGCAGAGGGCAGTAGCCCACGTTGATGCTCCCCGCATTCACTAACCTGCACTGACAAACATAGTAAAGTATGGTCAAATAACTCCCATGACCTGCAAGGCAAGGGATGGGGTGACTCTCATCCTGGAGATTTGACAAAACAATGTTTTACATTACTGTACATATGTTCACAATTACAGCGTCTGAATGAAATGTAAACTTCATGTGGACAACTTAAACGCATCGACACTTAAGACAACTTTGCAGACGTTACTGCATGACTACAGTACAAAACAGCATACACATTTGCTGATGTACGTTCCCAATGTTCGTGATGTAAAATAGGCTGTTAATAAATTGTCTCCCGGGGTTCTACATTGCGCTGCATGACGGGGGAAAAATAATGCCAAACGTAAAAAAAAATTGCTAATAAAAAAACCCGCATAAAATTAATCAGTTAATCAATTGCTGTAAAAAAACACACACACACTGGGCTACCTGCACTATATACAAGGGGTTCATTATAATCAGTGACCACAAACGAGCGGCAATGCCAGCAGGGGACATTCAAAGACACCTCCTTGTGACGCCTTTAATCCACACTGTACCGAGGGACCAGGAAACAAGGACTTCAACGCCACTATTTCACAAGTTGGGTAAACAATGAGAACACCATGACGGCCCGGTTAAAGATGACTTAAACACTGTCGTACAAAGGGGAAAGTATTCATGGGAAAGTATTTATGATTAGATTTCGCCCTTGGTCAATCTACTCCTGAATGTTAAGGCCTTCCCTACATGCCATGTTGGCCACGGGGTTACGTATTACCATACTGTACCACGATTGTGAGTGCAAGTTAAGAGGGACGGTGGCGTCCAGGGCCAACCGAGATTATGAATCGCCGCCGACGTTAGCCAAGGCATTGGAATCTAAATCGGATTGATAGCTTCAGAGTGCGTCTCCGCTCCACCTGCGTGTTTTGGTAATGGAGAATTAGCATTCACTTGCAAGACCATGACTTGGTTTCAAATGAGTAGGAAAAAAAATGTACTCCACCGAGCCGAATAACAAAAGTATATGTCAATCACTGCGTCCTAAATACATTTCGTTTCCTGAAAATTGGCATTAACTTGGAATGGGGCCCGCGTGTAAGTCGCAAGTGTTTTCAACGTTACAGCGATGTTGTAAACGCCTCTTTCGCACGAGTAAACATTTATTCGGGTAACAAACAAAAAAGTAAATCCTAAAGCCGCAGTGCTGAAGACCCATATGCGTGTCGGCTGAAAGGTGACATGAAATGGTGACGTTGAGAATTCGTGAACGCCGAACAGCATCAAAACCGTCGAGCCCGATTGCAGCAACGATTACCTCCACACGCGTGCCTTATCGTCAGCCGCATATACAATAACAAGTTGTTTTTTTTTGCGTGCAAAGTATCGATAGTTTTTTTTTATTTAAATTGGCGGAAAAAAAAGACGGATTTTTTCCCCCCCCCCCATCTCTTCTCACGACAGCGCTGACGTTACTGTAGCAGCCAACGGACGGCCACGACCCGGAAGCAACGCGAATCCGCACTTACGTGTACGGGCGGCGATGACTAAGTATTCCTTAACCTGCATTTTTTAATCAACGAACAAGGCCAAAGCAATCGCTACATTGCACTAAAACTGTTTTGCAGCGACGGCAATCAAAACCAAAGGCTGTCAAACGCACTTTAGCTCAGGCCTACCTCCACCGGCGGCGACCGCCGGCCCCTCGGCTAGTTGACCGGGCCGGATGGAGCGAGGTGGAGGCCGGCAGAGCCAACTATCCGAGTGCCGTTGCGAGGCCTACACATCTCCCCCCCCCACCCACCCACCCAACCCTCGCCCGCGTCGCGGAATGACAAAAAGCAAATCAAATCGCGTACCGAGCGCGACCTCGCAGGCTTTCCTCAGCTGCGAGTGGTGCGCCTTCTTCACGTCCTTGTCGGCCAGGATCTTGTCGAGTGCCCTGGTGAGAAACATATTCTTGGTCTGTCTGCCCTCGTGCATTGCAGCCGCCCTCCTTCAACACCACACACCTCCTCCCCCCCCCCACCACCTTCCTCGCTCGCTTCGCGGGCCGCTCTCGACGATGGCTTTGTCGTCGAGACGTTGAAGTCTGTTTCCCCGCCGCCGAAAGCAGAAAAAAAACCCGCCCCGACCACCACCGCAACGCCACCGCGGGTTACGGGCGCAGTCAACAGCGCCGAACGCGTCGCAAGCGAGGCTCTGGTCCGCACCGCTGCGCTAGACCGCCATGTTGCGGGGGACGAGGGCGGGTGCGACCACTGGAGGCGGGCGTGGAGGGGGGGGTGGACGGTAAGTGAGGGGGGGGGTGTGGGGGGGCAGACCAAGTAATCGATTCATAATCAGGGGGGGGGGGGGCGGGTTCGGGGGGGGGGGCGGGTTCGGGAGGGGGCGGTTACATTTTGATTTAAAGCTTTCGTGACTGCAAGGATTCATCTTGTTTGGTTCTTTTGGTAAAGTCACCACGTAGAATGAGAATAAAATAATAAATTGATAAAATAAAATAACACGATAAAATTCTCACGACGTTTCGGCCACAACACAAGCGGCCTTCATCAGGTGAAGGGACGAGACTGTCTGGAGGACAGCGACTCTAAGCTTAAAGGTCGCAATCTGAGCGTGGCTTTTTCGCTCCAGCGCTGTCCTCCAGACAGTCTCGTCCCTTCACCTGATGAAGGCCGCTTGTGTTGTGGCCGAAACGTCGTGAGAATTTTATCGTGTTATTTTATTTTATCAATTTATTATTTTATTCTCATTCTACGTGACTTTACCGAAATAACCAAAGAAGGGGCGGTTAATTTAAGTAAATTTTTAATTACAGCAAAAATAACTTTTTTTTTAGTTTTGACATTTAAGGCCCACTGAGCTATGTGGCTCTTAATTAGTTATTTGTTTTTCCTCCAGAAGCGACCTGGTTGTCAACAAATGGTCGCTCAACGAAGTGGCTTGTCAATCATGCGGATATTTAGAGCAGTCAAATACTCTAAACGCGTGATGTCGACTCGAAATGTGGAGGTAAAAAGCGGAGGACCCAGAGAAAAATCCACACGACCACGTGGAGAGAGAGACACACAACAGGCGTCAGTGTCGTTAAACCCGCCACCACGCGACACAGCCGATTAGTAAGGTTTGTCACGTAAAAAAAACGTGCCGATTAGTTTATACTTCAGCACACCGGTGTGTTGGAGAGTAAACCCACAATTGAGATTTACAATTCGAGTATTGTGACGTTTTGCTGGTGATTACAACCAGCTTCATCGGGTGATTAGCCAGAATTGTAATTCTCCCTGAAGTAGTAACTAATATGCACGTTCTGTTTACGTGACAACCCTTACTAATTGGCGGTGTCCAGTGGTGTCCGTGTTTAACGACACATTTATATTTATGCGATCTAACCCAACAAGAACCTTGATTATGGATAATATTGGTAGCAAAAGCCAACAATGTTAAACTAATCGTACGGTATTTAAATGCATGCCTATACAGATCACGATACATCAATAGGGATTACGTGTACGCAGACAATAACAGGTCCTGCTATTTTATTGCACGCAAAGGACAGGTACAAGCATGATGTACAAGCATGATGTAAAAACATGATGTACATGCATAATGTACGTTGGTTACCATATAACACCCCCCCGGCAATGTATATCCATTGTACTTTATATGCATTCATTGACCGCCCCCCTTCGCACAAGGGCTCCCAAATGACGTTATCACATATATCCCTCTAAGGAACTAAGCAGAAGGATTGCTCCACAAATCTGACTGTCGCCTGATGAAGCTGGTTGTAATTAATGGCGAAACGTCGTACTCGGATTGTAAATGTTGTGGCTTTGCTCTCGAACACATCGGTGTGCTGTACCAGTAAGGAATTGGCATGTTCTATTTACGTGACAAACCTTACTGATTGGTGACGGGTTTAACGACATTTATAGACTCTACAAGGTGTTTTAAAATGATGGACCCAAATTCAAAGCAGTATATTTCACGATGGCAACATGTTACAATTACACAAAAAGTTACAAACGGATTAATGAGTTATCAAGTTGTATGGACAACATCGAGACGATAGTTGAATTCGTCCCAAACGCCCTCAAAGTGTCTTCTTCCACTGAAGTCACCGCTGCCGTGATTCTGTTTTAGAGGTCATACAGATTAGTCGCTAATGGTGGCACAAAAACACCACGGGTCTTTGACGTATCCCCACAAGAAAAAGTCGCAGGGTGTGGTGATGTCTGGGGATCTTGGGGGCCAAGAGTGTAGCGCCAAGTCTAGGGGTCCCGTGGGACCTATCCAGCGTTGAGGCAGTGTTGTCAGTGTTGTCTTGCGAATGACTGAGACTAGGGGCTGTTTGTGCGCTGGGAGAGGCATCTTGCGGTTAACCATTTGAAACTCTATGCCCCCGCTCTTTCAAGTGGTAAGAGTTTCATTCATGGGTGGTTCGTGGTTGCTTGTGTTTATACTCTCTGGTTCTTTCGGTAAAGTCACATAGATAGAAAAAAATTATAAATAAAGAACACGCCGTTTCGGTCGCAACACAAGCGGCCGTCTTCGGGTGAGAAAAATTATCTGCTGTTGTGGCTTTATATAGGCACGGGGGGGGGGGGGAGGAGTTTGGCTGTAGGGGTTCACAGGGGGGAGGGTTTGTGGCGTGCATGGACGGGTGGGGCTGGAGAAATTAGCAAGTAAATGGACTTGTAGTAATCGGACAAGACACACGGGTGGGTGGGTGAAAATCATAGCAGTTAAAACTTAACGTGGTGTATCACATCCTTCCAATGATTGCTCAATCTGAATCCATCTTCTCGATTAAAGTTTTGTCTGTGTTTGTATATCTGGATGGCTTCGTGAACAAATCTCTGATGGTGGTCCGAGGGTTTGCATAGCACCTTGGTCTCGGAGAAAACAATGTCACGTGTGCCCACAGCGTTGAAACAATGATCCGCCACCACCGAGGTGTTGGTTCTGCCGTGTTTCAAATGTTTTTCTTACCTGAAGACGGCCGCTTGTGTTGCGACCGAAACGTCGTGTTTTCTTTTATTATTTTTTCTGCTATCTACGTGACTTTACCGAAAGAACCAGAGAGTATGGATTCCTGCAGTCACCAAAGCTTGAAATCAAGATTGAACCCTGTATTTACACGATCTAACCCAAAAAAACTGTATTATGAATGTAATAATCGCCTGCGTGTTTGCCTTGAAGTATTTTTCGAAGTCAAAACAGGCAAAGACAATCACTGTCGTATTGTGCATTTTGTCGACTAACTAAAAGAGGTAACAAATGCAAATCAAATGTACTGTTATGAAAAATGGTCTTGGGCAGGACACTTCAAGAGATGAAGAGCAGTAGCCAACATGTTTTTATTATTATTATCAGAAAGCATGACAATCTGCAGATCCCAAAGAGACCAATGAATGAGTCCGGGCATGTTGTAGGTTATGTAAGATTTTGGGAATTGTAACAAAATAGATGTGTTCATGTATTTTATGTGATCTTAATAATTAAATTGTTTACGTCGTAAATTAAAACAATGTAGTGTACAACTGCGATCATAATTTTTTTATATATATTTAAAATAAATGTTTGAGAATGCTATTCAACATTCTGTTAAAGAATCACCCTTAACATAAGTTAATATAATGAAAGTAAATAGGTCTCCCAGCATACTGTACGTGATTAATAATAAGTGAAGTCTTTTTTACTTTTCTAGAATACATCTTGTGTTATTGAAACGTTTTCTTTCTGTGACATCCAGCTCAAGCACGTGAATTGAGAAAGCTTGCTGGTCGTTTTTTTACACACCCTCAAGAAGGAATGCTACCGCTCTGGGGCACTCCTCTGCGTGAATGACTTCCTAAATGATGAATTTCTGGATAAACGACTTGGCAATGTTATAAAAAAAAAGTAGACGTTAACTGCACCCCAACAAACGATCAATCATTTTTCAAATCGCAAATGTAAAGTGATGCATTTCTGAAACATTTAGGGCCTATGAACATCACAGCACTGCAACATCTATAATTGTAAAACTGAATTAATAGAGCCAATATTGAAATTACGACCAACGTGCGTCTCGTCAAATGTCGGCTGGCTTTTTTTAAAAGGTAAAAGCTATCAGGTTTAACCGGAAATGTGACGAAGCACACCCATACAAAGACAAGCACATTCTTAAGATGCTTTCTGATTATATCGTAAACATCCAAAACTAAACGCAGACAAGTAAAAATAAATGTCTAACTATAATACTATACTTATGTAAGCACATCTTTAAACTTGTAATCATGAAAGATAATGTAATACTCTATTATTTAAGGTAATACATGTCAACTGCGCACAACTATACTCTATATAAGAGTTGCTTTAAAATACACTAGACTGTACATTGTATACAAAACTTCACTTACAGTACTCTATACTTTGGGGGCACTGTGGTATTATTATGCATTACAGTATTGCACTCTTATAAGAGCCATAAAACAATTGAAAATAATGCAGCATATTTCATCCACTTCTGATATCTTTTCTTTTTTTGTACAATTATTTCCCAATATTATCCCGAATACGCTATTGCTGTCATGTGAAGAGGCAAAATATCCATTAGGATTTATTGAAAAGTTACGTAACCTTTCGTGTTTGAGAATAGCGCATGGAAAACAAATATCACAGAGCTACCTCTGAGATTCCTTCAAGGCGCTACTTTCCCACAATGAGTAATGGTCATCACATGGCATTCAAAGTGATGTTTTGTTTTATTGTCAGGTCCGGAATTTAGCAATATTAAAGTACAGAACCAAATTGAGTGTATTTTCAATGCAGTCAATGATGACCGGACTGAGAATATAAACTCTACACATTTGAGAACCGAGTTGAATCACAGGCATATTTAACCCCGGGTCTTGGCGGTGCCAGGTTCACCCTTTGACCTCTGCACAACCTTAGTTCTAATATATTTCCCGACCAATATTGCAGGAAACCAGTACATTTAAAATTACCTTAAAAGTACACAATGCATTTTGGGTATAAACAGGTTAGCAGCTTATATATTCGAAATCGCACAAACCGTACCCGCACAAAGCAAAGGAAACCTGGAATGTCAAGCCATCATCCTCCCCATCTTTGACTTGCGACATCGACCCACTCGCCTCAGAAACGGCCTATTCCATTATACCACTCGGCTCTCCACGCTGCCTCTGACGCCCCTTATAAAATGCATAATTGCAACCTCTACATTACTGTACCTCCAATTTCTCCCTCCCCCTGGACATATG